TACTTTCATCACATTGTCTGCTGTTTCTATTTCATCCAAATTCAATTACCCTTTAACTCTCTCCATTAGACTGTCTACATCGAACGTCATTGGACACTTAAATACAATGTCAGGTTGTGACTTTGACAAACAGAAGCATGGACATTTAATACTGATTCATACAGTGACTGATACCATATGACTTAGACCCTAGTTACACCGACAAGATACCAGACCAACAACAGACCCAACCAAAAATAATTCACAACTCCGTTCGACAAAAAAATCATTCGGTTTGAAATCGAGTTGAAATTGGAATGACAGTTGTCGACTATGAACTTTTTTCCAATTTCACTTTCAATCATCTCTACTATACATTGTATTTCATATCGGGCCTAAAATCAAAAACTCTCAGTTCAAAAAGAAAAATGCACATGCGTAATCATGAAGTCTCTTCTTCTAATATGATGACGATCTTTTAATAATCTTCTGCTATTTTCTTCAAGATGAAAATTTTATGATCAGTAATGTAGACATTCTACCTGTACACAGAATATACCATTTCCCTCATTCCCTTTATTCTGTTTTCTCACCCACTGTGACATGTTTCCGTGTGCATAATCTCATGAAGCCATACAAATACATTTTGTAACTAAGAAACAATCAAGGACAATTACATTTCCTTAATTGTCGGCTGGCTGCAATAAGACCACATGATCGCTATGTTGCAAATGGCAGTCATTATCTTAGTCCGATATTGCTGGCAGCCACTTGCATACTGCATAATGCATATTAGCAAAAATAAAGTACATTTGTACAATGTACATACATGTAACTACATGTACTTTCTTTGTCAAAATAGCTAAATTTGGCCAATGGTTTGGAAGAAACTTTACAGGGGGGAAGAAACTTTACAGGGGGGCAGGGGGTAAACCCCCCCCCCCCCTTGCCCCTTTGGTTTTTTTTTTGTGGTTTTTTTTAATAAAAAATAAATTTAAAAAAAAAAAAAAATTATGCCAATGGTTGACCTAAAAGAGTTGACCTTATCCCCCCCCCCCCTATAAAAGTAATTTTATACACTGCAGTGACTGCACATCACTTAATAATATAACGATGTTCTATGTAATTTATAGAGTATAAATGTATGTATACAAAAATAGTAATAAATACTTTTTAATAAAAACAGCTCTCGTAATGCACAAGTACCTTGGATGTGCAACCAAGCCGTTTGAAGATTTCCCTGTAGTACAAACATTAATCTTGGATAGTCCATGACAAAAGGAACTGCAGGATTATTTCGTCAAAAGATGCAAGATGAATTAAACCCAGAAGAAATACTCTTAAATGCTCTGCGTTGCCCACTTCCCTCAAGGCCTTAATTGCATTTTCAATTTCTTACCCTTCTTTGAAAGGTTTGATACTCCCAAAACAGGAAAATATGTTCCTAATAAGTTGTTTTTTTCCAAGTTTGTTCAATATATGGGGTAGTGAAGAAAGAAAAAAGAAGAGAAATAAGTCATTCCGGCTGGGAGAGTTACAAAAAAGCTTTGCCAAATCCCCAGATGTGGTTTGGCTATTACATTAAATTTAAAAAGAAAATAATTTTTTTTTTTTTCTCAAGAGAATGTCGCTATTACAATAAAAAATCTAGAAGTGCTCCTGTGAACAAAAAGTTGTTTTTTCCACTGCGATAAAGTCAGTTGTGGTTTTGCTGTTCTGCATGTTGCTAAATTTCTTTGCACATTGGTATTTCAATGAAAATAAATAGCATAGCAGACAGTATTATATTAACTTGCTTTCTGTAGAATGAGAGATATTTGTGCATGATAAAGTACATGTTTTTAATGAATGATCACATTGTATGGACAGCAAAATCAGATCAGTAACCTCTAAGTTATAACAAATAAAAGAGTATAAAGAATATAAGCTGGTATGGATGTGTTTTAGAATGTTCTATCCATTGTGTGAACATGCCTTTTCTACTCAAATGTCCTCATTTCCGATCAATACCAACTAATGCCTAAAATCCCATCAACTCTTCCCAAAATCCCACTTTTCAGGCGTTTCTACAGTTAATGGAGGGGCTCTGAGCGAGTGAACGTGCCTGTTTTCTTCTCCCCGCTTCCTAAATCGACGGAATGCGCCAGGTGAGGTTTCGCACATTATTAGCAGGATTATAGGGAACAAGAAACGTTGAACGAAACATGAATAGGGAACCCTAGCTATTGCAGTAGTTAAATGGAGTGCAAATTATGAATAGAAAACATCTACTGGTAGTGGTGTTGAAATATGTCTAGGCTTGATGCAATGGACTATTACTGAAAGTGACCTTCTAAATACTGGAAGCATAGCTTTTGTGTTTTTTTTTTAAAGAATCTGCAAAAGTGAAATGTTACTTTCAACTGCTCAAGCGTGAGTCATCAGTGCTCTATTGAAGTACATTCAACTTAAAAGTCTACATTGGTGATAATGGACTGCCTTGCATTATACCCTAAAAAGTGAGAAACAAAATGGATAGTTTGGCGTTAGTTTAGTAACACCTTTGGAATAGACATTTCATCTCAAAGGATGACCCAGTATACAGTATATGTAATAATAATAATAATAATAATACTCATTTTTTTATATAGCGCAAATTACAATTAAGTCTCTAAGCGCTGTGGAAATAGAAAAAAATCAAGAAGTGAGTACAGAAGAAATGAAATGATAAGAACATAATAGCATGATGAATATCCAAACTGAAACTACATGTACATGTATAAAACATTGTATTGTATAAAGCATGGTACAAAATTACATTTGAAAAAGGTAAGACTTTAACAGAGGCTTGAATATATCAAGAGAAGAACATTCTTTGATATTAATAGGAAGTTTATGTATTATGTAATCATCCAGATTTTATATTATCATAATCACCCAATGTCATCAAAATCATTAATTAGACAAGAAGGGAAGAAGGGAAGAGTATTTTTTTTTTAAACATAACACAGTGCATTAAATAAACATTCCTACATGTGCATACTGTATATTGAATGAAAGCCTTTCTGCAGTAATTCAATATTCAGGAATACGGAGTCAAACAATTTTCTATATTAACATGTTGTGTACAATAGTATCGTCAGTTCCCCTCATTTGTTAGTAAACAGAAACACAATGCCGATTGAACGCTCACAACAATGCCATTGCCAATTGGCACGATGGCCTTTCTGAGTGTACATGTAGATCCATAAATAAACAAATGAATCCTTGCAAAGTTGCAGTCCTCATGAAAGTCATAATGATATGTACATGTACATGTAGACATGTTATTTACAGAGAGTATTGCATTGTTATCATGGTCACATTATTCTAAATTTATCCTTTAATTGCTTCTGTATCATTGGATGAATGGAAAATAGCATTGTTGTATTGTACACGTACAGTACATGAAAATATCCAATAAACAGTATATCTACATTCTATGTACATGTAGTGTACCTACATGTACATGTATCTCTTTAGGGGCAGAAAATAGATCAATTCAATGAGGGATGAAACAATCATGAAATTATAGGCTTAGCACAATCTAGGACAATAGTAAGTTTTCAGATAACTTATTCACAGAAAATAGTTTTTATTTTTATGTTCTAGTCTATTAGTCTAATCATTATACACTATACTATAGTCTACTGTATATTATTATTATTTCCCCATTATTTGATAGTAAAAAAAAAAGTCATATGGGTCAAATAAAGTTTTACCTATTCTGCAGTAAAATATAAATGAATACCAGATAATATTATAATGAACTAATTGGCATTCATTTGTATTCTCTAGTACAGATGTGTCCAACTTTCACTTGAGACAGCTCTAGCTCAGTTTCTGATTTGTCTTAAATGGTGGCAGCAGTGGGATATGAACCAACACCAACAATTAAATAAATAAACATACTAAAGTAAAGTTTATCTTAATTCCAATAAAGTTGAGTGTGACCATGTATGGACCTTGACTACATTGTATGTTTATGTTGATGGCTCCTTTCTGTAAAGGTTCTGCACCATTTGCCCTGTTTATGACACATTTCCTGTGCATGATATTACACTGTATTTCTGGACGGAAAGATTTGGACGTTATTGATGAAACATGGCAGGCAAGCCAGGCATATGTCGCTCGTTTGCCTTGCCGCTCGCTCGTAATATCTGCCCATTACCATTGCTGCTACATGAGCAAACAGATTAGCGGTCCCATGGGAAAAAATTGTGATTCTTCATCTTTTTTTTTATAGCACGTTCAGTAAGTTGTTCACCCTGCCTAAGCGTATGTTTGCATACATGTATATTCCTTAAAGTTGGATACAGGCACTGTCATATTTTTGCTGTCAATGTCATACAAAACTGGTATATTCAAAGTTTTGCTTTGCAATTTAGCTGTACGGCTAGTTTATATTGAATTGAATTGATTTGAATTTATTCACCACTTTAATAAAAACATACAAAGGCAAAGAATACAATAAAATATTTCTTGCAAACATAGATAAGCCAATAAAATGGAAAATACACTAAAGGAAATTATTGATGATGGATTTATTTGAACAGGTAGATATGGCTTCTAAAAATTATATTCTTCAGTTTCCATGATGTTTTCGGTGGTCTACTGTAATTTTTATGATCATTCTAATTCTATTGCTCTGCTCTTGAAGACCTGACTTTTCTCCTTATAATTTCCTTTCCGTTCCCTGTTCTATACTTTCGAAACCAATGATACTATTTCTTTGCAAAATGTAAGAATTCAACATAAATGTAATCTATAAGTGACATTTCCAAAGCTGATAATGATATTTATTTATGTTATTGTTCCCAAACAATATCATGATGTAGTTAAACTGGGAGCGCTTCAGTCATGTACACAAAACAAACAAAGGAGTTTGATTTGCTTAAATTCCAGTATATAAAACATTCTCTGTAAATTCTGGTATATTGAAGACAGACCATAGAAAATATGAGCAATGCAAATTTGAAGAATATATAAATTATTGATCTTACCCTTATTCTCCTCATAGCAGCTACAATCTCCACTCTGCTGCTTGGTCTAGGCACATCCAGTGTGCCAATATACTGCAAAGAAGAAGAAAACAATATATAAATAAAAACAATCAACATGCTAATGTACATGTAAATTAATATCTTTCCAAATGATAATAGTGCCATGGTAGTTTATAGGGATGTTGAGAACCCCCCTTCCCCCCCCCCCCCCCTATCGAGGAGCGGGTTTAGTTTGCAGGCACATCCCCGTGTCAGTCGCTGTGCGTAACAGTGTCTGCAACATGAGACTAGGCTGACAACCTTCTGCATCTATAGGCTCTGTACTTTAGCTGCTCCGGACACAGCCAGGGACTGAGGCAGCTAGGCTCTGCTCAAGGCTTTAGATACAGTACATTTATGTGGTAAAGTGTCAAATAAATTAGAGCCTGTGTCCGAAGACTACCGCCCCCCCCCCCCCCTCCCCCTTCACATTGCCTATAAGCAGGTGTGCTAGGTTTATCTTCTGCAATATGTCATTTGAGGTCACACACCAGGAGCTGTCTGAGAGCCAGAGAACAAGAGTCCTGTCACTCACTGACTGCTTGAGAAGATTTGTAACCAACACCACCCACTTCACATCTGTTTGATGGGAGTGGTAGCATTCCTTATCTCTTCACAAGTGACGCAAGTGCTTCATCTGCATTCAAAAGTACTTAGGATGCGTTCAAGCGAATTTTTTTTTAAAGCTAGAATCACAACATGAATCAGAAATCAAAACGTGTTTAAAAAAACATGGTTACTGCGTGAGAGCATTCAAGCGATAAACACATTTACTTTTACCACCGACAAAAAAAAAATTGCTTGAAATCGCTTGAACGCAACCATGTTTTAAACTACCGTAAACTTCTTTGAAAAACGTGTTTCTAGGGTGAAAAGGTGTCGCTTGAATGCACCCTTACATGTACATACTAGGATTACATACTGTTCATGCTCTATACTATTTGTATGCACTCTGTTCAATCTATTCAATTCATATGAAAAGCAAAATTATCAAATGCCGGCTGACTGAACTACAATTAGGAAAACATATGATTCACTTTTTTCCCTACAGGCTGGCATTCCTTGGCAAAAATAGTACAGCGATGCGGCTCATAAAGCATTATGTACAGTTATTACATGTACTGTGTATTAAGTGAGGAGCTAGGAGCTAGTAAATAAATACCAACATAATTAATTGTATGTGTACGTAGGCCTGCATTTATATTGTTTTAATAACAAGACATATGTAAGCCTCAACTGGATATGAATATTCTGTATATGTAGGTTTATGATTCATAAATAAATTAAAAATGACCCAACACTGGCCTGCTGAACACCAATTAGGAAAACATATGATTTGTTTTCCCCTGTTCGCATTCCTCTACCAATTAAAGCATACATGATACAGTGATGCTATTCATAAGGTGTGATGTGTGGGTTAATGAGTAGAGCAGCTGATAATGGACTGACCACATGGATATATGGCAGGATCAATCAATGCGATAATGAGTTGGGTGATAGCCAATCACGACAGCTAGTCTAAACTACCATACTCGGTTGGATTCAAATGTAACGCGAATTTACTAGGCCTAAAAAAAAGATGTTGTATTGCCCTTTATAAAGCATTAAAAACTGAGAAATATCAGCCCAAAGAGGGAGGGAAAAAAAGAAAAAAAAGTATTTAAAAAAATATAGATTTCCGACCGACTGACCCATGTTTTAGCACCTAAAGCCAAAGGGCAATACAACATCTTTATTTTAGGCCCTATACTTGTACATGTGGGCCACAATAGCAACTAATGTACATTTACACAATACACATCAGGTTTAAAGGGAAATCATTCCTTTGTAGATAGATAATTACAATGAATGTTTAAAAAAAGACCATATGGATATTGGTAGGATCAATCAATACATGTAGGTGTAAGCTAATCAAGATGGCTAGTCTTATAACTAAACTCCATTTGATTCAACAAGCAAAGATACAACAAGCATAAAGGGAGGATGCCAACTTAAAGGGGAATAAACCCTTCATTGAAAGTTGACAGAGTGGAAGTAGAAACGTCAGAAGAGCAGATTGGTAATTTATAAAATATTATTAAAAACAAATTAAAAAAACGTCTAGATCAACCACAAACTGCTTAAATGAACACCCAACGGGCCCCTTTCTTTATTTATATGACACAATTCCAATGAAAATATAGCCTATTCCATCCACTAGGCATCACTAATTACATGTACATGCACATACTAAAATATTAAATGTCAAATAGAAACACGCTACCCTGTACATGTACATGTACATGTACACAGCTGGTCATAAAAATATTTGAGAAGCAATATATCTAAATTTTCAGGATCATTGACTGCTCACAGTGCACTATCTAGCAGACTATAACGCCTGCAGAGGCGCAGACCAAGGCAAGAAAACACATTATAATGATATCAGCTCTGGAATCTTGACTTTAATAAAAATTTCAGTCCATATGCCCTGTAGTATAATGGCGGGTCTGTATAAACAACTACTCGCTTCGTGGAGCCAATAACCCCTCATTCATTTTCAAATTCATTCAAGAAAGCTACTAATATGATTTCTTTTCCACCGGCATACATACATGTACAGTATTAGCTGTGATGTAGTGTTGTTCTATTTTTCATTTACAATATGAAATAAACCATTCATGCGTTTACAATGTACGTGACAAGTCCATTGATTTTAAAAACCTACAAAGTTTGCAAATGACTTGTTCTATTGAAAACATTGTTTATTCAGTGCAATATACTGTTGATGCAAATATAATGTAGATTTGAGAGAGAGCAGACAAGATCCCCCCCCCCCCCCCCCGAAAAAAAAAGAAAAAAAAATTTAAATGCAGAAAGAAAGCTTGCTTCTCAATCAGATTAGGGTACATGTTGCTTTAAAGATATTTGCAGATATTTTACATATTTATATTATTATCCCAATGAGAAAATAAGACTTATTTGCCCAAACATATAGGATACATGTAGGTTCGACAACCCCCTGTTCAATATTTCCTTCTTTTTTTAAATCTTCCTGACTTGACTTGTACATGAAGATGAAGATTCAATCGCTAGCACTAGAAGAAAAGAAAAAGGTTTTTAAAATAACTACCGATACAACTACCGCTATAACATGTAGACATGTATATCATAAATAACATATGCAGCATACTGTGCATCTGACCTGTTTTCAAAAGTGACTTCCTCCCGACCAACCCCCCCCCCTTCTTCTTTCATTCCAAATCAAGTATTCAATGAAAGAGAGGAAACAATTATTGATTTCCTATAGAAACGTCAATCAGGGAGCCTTAGCCACGGTCAGTCCCTTCACATTTGATACATTGTTTTTCATCGAATGCAAACGTAAATGCAAACGTAAATAGCCCTAAAACACCTGCAAACTATAATTAAGTGATTACGGTAGTCTCTTGAATGAACGAGATACACTACAATGTACATAATTGCAACAGAATGATGTGGTATGCACGAAAGCAATAAAAAAAAAAACATTAGTTTAGTCATGAATGCAACGCACTCCTTTCTTCGTCTATTCACAAGGTCGAACCACTGTCACGTTTCACGTAAATATATTTGATTAAAGCAATGAATGGGAACTGGAAAAACATACTGTTTACATCAGCGCACAATGTACGTTTAACCGTTGTCCTCTGGAGTGAAAAAAGTAGGTCCATGTTCTCACACACATTCAGGAATGCATGAAGGATAGTTTAGATTGTTAATTTCATTTATCACAGTGGAACTACACTGTATACAATTGTGTAAAATTCTTCATATGAATAGGCCATATTGAACATACAAATGTAGAAATAGCTGATTATCTTGTTGGACATAGTTTTTTCTCAAATGTAGAAATAGCTGATTATTGTGTTGGAAATAGTTTTTTCTCAAAAGAATTCTCCCTGTGAATTTGCGAAGCAACTTCTACATGTATGTTGTATTTACATACAAATATTAAACAATTAAATGCTGCTTTCTCCTTTTTCTTTTAAAGATTTCTCAGAAAATATCAATTTTCCACCACTTTCTGAAATATTAATCCGCCCCTCTTCCCTTCTCTGTCTCACTGTTATGTGGGTGTGTAGTTTTTTTTTTGTCTTTTTTTTGTCTTTTTATTCAGTCAATTTGCTGTCTATTCCTGTTGCAAAGTGCAAACTACATGTACATATATATTCCGTTTAGTCAATAGGATTTTAGAAATTCTACATGATGTACTGTACTACTGTATTGCCATTGGGAAGAAGAAAAAAAATCTTAATTGGAACGTCAAACTTCTTTTCCCGAGCTCTCCTTTCCAATCCAAAGTCGCGACAGAGAAGATTGAAAAGGGGTGCCTGGCTGCCTGCTCACTAAAGGTTAGCGGGGTAGCAGCGAGTCGCCCACCAAGAAAGGCAAGGGGATTCATCAACTTCCCTGGGCAAAAAGAAAAGACACCGCTAGCTTCGATGACTCATCGCTCTTTCGATGGAGGATCGTGATAAAGCTAAGATGCTTGCTCAAATACCACCGCATCTTTCCCCACAACGCTTTGATACCCGCATCCGCGCCTTCACCGTATTATCGGAATCGAGCGAGAGGAATGCATTTGCTACTTGTTGATTTTAACAGCACTTATCGCATTTCCTGCTTCAGTGGATGTGCACTATACAATCCTTTACAGTGCTTATTTTTTATGTGAAGGAATTTCAGGCAATATAGGATTTCCAATTACAAATTTAGAACTCATTTGGCATATTAGATCAGTTTGCTCTCTGCATACTTTGCCGATACTGAGAGAGCCAGAAAGACATTAATGAATATATCTGTATGCTGTAACATAGTGCTATAAACACCCTTCTATATCTCAGCAGATAGTAGATTTGTTGCTGTACACTGCTGATGACATGATAAGAGGACCTGACAGAACTGTTCTGATTATTGATATAGATTATTACTTGTCAAAATTAAATCAATATAGATTTTCCAGTCAGTCAGTGTATATTTACATGTGAATAGTCATGTGTACATAAAGGCCGAATACTGAAGACTACAAATACATGTACGATGTTCAATATGATTTCAACCACTTCAGGCTTACATGTATGAGGCCATAAAACATGCAAAGACAATCTGTATTTATGAGGCTAAATCTGTTTATTGTGTTCAGAATGTGAGAATGATAAGTGGAAAAATACATACATGTATTTGTACAGGTTGCCATATTTTTCATACATACATGTACCATAAATGCTGGCCTCTTTAAATATAATTTAGTTTTCTAAAATGCTACATATTGCATCAAGAAGAGATGGAATTTGTATCTACTATTAAAGTGACAAAAGGCTTACAAGCACCTCCTTAATAACCAGTTTCCTTCTTTCTCTTTCTTCGCAGGCCTATCAATGTTAAATTGGGATGATTATACATGTACTTGTACATGTTGTTCATGTTTAAGCAAAGATTTGTGGTCAATATGTATGTTTTTGTGTAAACACATGTATCCAAATGATGTACGTGATGGATTGTACATTACTCGTCATCCATGAGCAGTCAACCTTGAACTTTGTATTTTTACATTCAAGAATCATTGATAGAATTGATCGTTCTTGCCTCAGGCGCTTGACTACAAGAACAGGGTTTGATACCGATTGATCTCTGAGGTCCTTTGCTTTCCAAGGAATTACAAGAACTGTCTTCAAGAGGTCAAATTATGATAAAGATGAAAAATTGATGTCAGTTTAGAAGAATATCTTAATATGTCCACTGAAAAGCTAGACTGCTCTTCAAATGCCGTGATATTGGAAATATGAGAAATGGCTTAATTGTTGGGGCCAAACTTTCAGGTCACATACATGCATTTTACACCTGCATACCGGACCAGTACAATTTGTCACACATATACGGTACCGTATATATTGTTCGTTGTGTATGATTTTCAGCACGATTTGCTCTATATCGTTTTATTATTTTTATGATTTCAAAACCTCATACCTTTAATATGGTTCACAGTCCACAGACCACAAGACCTACTGTACAATCATTATTATGTAATACAATACATAATCTCCATTTCTAAATCATCTTTTCAAATTGCAAGCACTTTCTGACTATTCTCCGAGGTACAATGCTCTCCAAGGAATGACTTGTAAGAAACCATAATAGGCAGGTTATCAGGCCTGTCTTCATCAGCTCGAGATTGCCAAATATCCCACCATTTGAACTATCCATAATCCCGATCGCAAATTATCCAGTTAATTTGCGTCTTCATCAGCCTGAAGTTGCAATTAGCGGGATATTTGGTAGAGATAATCATCCCAAGATATCTTGGGCTAGTTTGCAAAATATCCTGCTATTTGTCCGGTGCGTCTTCACCAGCCCAAAGACTCGCACTATGCGCAAACGCTGAGCAAAATATCTCGAGCTAATTTCTCAGGCTCGAGTTTCAAGTCTCGAGCTGGGCCATTCCATGAGAAGAAGGACATGACATCAAAAAAAGAAATGTACCTCTTATGTTAATTCTTTGATTTATCACTAACCTTATGCCATGGATGTTCATAAAACATTAGGGCCTTTCAAATTCAATACAATTTTTTTTTCATTTTTGTTGATTTCCTAAGATCACAAACTATCATCAAAAACGTACATGTGGGACTGTAGCTGAAAAAAAAACAATTTATTGCAGATTACACAGGATTCTTGTAATATTTTTTCCTGAAAATTTCGCTAAATGGAAAAAGATGAATATATTTCCATATTCTAAGGGGTCCTGTGATATTTGATCTATTACATAGGGGTGAAAATGGCCTCCGGACAAAATGTAACGCGAGTTACCGTAACGTGAGTTACCGACATATTTGCTTCCTACATTTTACTAGTCCATTGTTTCTTATCTTTAATATTGTGATCTTATACTAGTAAGTCACAACCTACTATCAAATTAAAATAGGAAAGATTTTGTCAAGATTGTCTAGTATGAGGAGAAAAGAGGGTCTCGTAGAATTGACCATGTCCTTTTTTTGTAACGCGAGTTACCGAAATTCAATAATCCAAGAATCTAAAAATGTTTGTTCTTCAATTTTCTTTTTTGTTTCATTCAGTTGTTCTATATCTACCCTGTCCATGTTTGAAAAATGTATCTTGTAGATCCTAGCAGTTCTAAAGATATAGGCACATTATCGTGTCAATGTACCCATTAAAGGTAATACAAAGTTTTGGTAAATTTGAAAATTGGGTGGATAGTGAATATTTACAATTTTGAAATATTTGGATGCCCCTGTGGATGTATTATAAGCACTAAAAATATTAGCCCCTAAAACACTTCTGTTTTCGAGAAAAATTGAATATACAAATTTACCGGTGCTCCCGGTAAATTTTGATTAATTTCAAATGACGCCTATATGGCCGTACAATGGTAGCTGCGACCATTTTAATCTCAGAATATGTAATTGTGATATATAATTTCCAAACGGGAATAGGTAATAGGTCGATTTTAGTCATTAAACATTGTTTCGTAGCTAAATTAATATCTTGACCTTGAGAGGGAGCTATACAACAATAAGAGTTTATTGTTTATAATTTCATAACTTTAGACTCGATTTCAACCGCGACAACGATCAATGAATAGTGTAGGAACGCATATGCTTCCAATATGTTAATTTAAACCAAATTCATGACCTCATTCCAAAACTTTGTAATACCTTTAAGTGTAACGCGAGTTACCATGGAATGGCCCAGCTGATGAAGACACGATTTGTAACTTTGGGATTATTTCCCAAATCAGAAATAGCAGGCTAATTTGGCAATCTCGAGCTGATGAGGACAGGCCTCTTGAATACCAGCTTATCATGCAGTCAGCTACCAGGATGAGTCCACCTACATGTAGCTGTGCAAGGTGATAAGCTGCTTAACTTCGTTAACACAGGTAATTGTGAGAAAGATCACAGGTGAAAGTGTGGCCCTCAGACAAGATAATCCTATTCTACACATTTTAAAGGCCCGTTCAGATATATATGGTGCGGTAAACCTCCGTAAAAAAGCCACCATGTATGTAAAATAACAGACTTATTTGCCCAAACATAACTGAGCTTGATGTTCTATACAAAAACTTGAAGCATATATCACACTTTATACACCATTATTTAAAAAACTGAGACAGTTTTGCCTAACATATCTGAACGAGGCTTAATCCCTTCTCTCTCTCTCCTTTGCTCGTGTTTCAAGGAAACATCCTTGCCAGGCATTTACAAAAAAAGGGTTTTACTTTTCTCTATTGGAAGACTTGATCCATATTAAAGCCACTTGAAACAACTTTTTGAAAAAAGATGGTTAAGGCTCAGATTAAATAAAATGTGCTTACAGACTACTTTGCCTCTACCACTCCTTTGTAGCTCCTACATAGTACACTGTGTGTCATTCTTGTTTTCTTATCTGTAACAGTACAAACCGCAGGTGGAACATTGATTCTGATAATTTTCCCTTTAGAAGCAAAATGTACCTGTACATGTTTGTGACCAGGATGGTGCTAACTACATGTACATGTACATGTAGCTACGGTCAACCAATTGGGTAGGGGATTGTCAGACCACTTTTTAATTAAAACAATAAAAAATAAATCTCAAATTTGAAAAACAAAATGAATTAAATAAACAACCAATATTTGGAAACAATATTGTAGCACAATTCCTGAAATTAATAGATGTGGTTAAATCATAATTGCCTCAGTGTTAAACATTCCACAAAATAAAGCCTCCTCACAAGGCTGCTATTCCTGAACTAGTTGTTGTGTTTTTGTTATTTTTTTTGGGGGGGGGGGGGGAGGGGAGTGTTCATTTTTGTTTGTCTATTTTTATTTTTTTAATAGAGTAATTGCATTTTCAAAAGACTCAATGACAGTAATTAGACCTGATATATTGCATCATCATAATCATTATCATTTTATGTGAGTAGGCTGAGTTAGGCTCATATTTTTTAATAGAGATCATTTTGATAACCATGGCAATGTTGTCCTTCAAAGCCGACCTAGTACATCTTGCAGTTAATTGCTGCACCCCATGTTATGCATGCAAGGCAATCTAATTTTAGCATTGCAAACCACTCGTCCAGAAATAGAGAGGTACTGATCCACGGACTGCTTACAATCGGGAAACGAAGGACTTAATGAGGAGGAACCAAACGAGGGGAGAAGGCACGTTGCACGGTAGAGTATAGATTAGGACCCGCCTGTCATCGCCTCGTACTATCTCATACTTGTGTAAAGCTAATATCAATGTACTAAAAAATACTACAAATCTGTAGTATGTAATGTAATAATCTGTAGTTGTGCTTCTAGTTTTGACATGATTAAGGTTTCTGGAAAGAGTTTTGATGTCTTGTGTGACTTTATTTAGTTTTGTACATGTATGTATATTCTGGTCCTTATTCACCTTGGTAGATTATCGAAATGCGCAGTTTACTTCAAGGATTATTTTTTTCATTTTAAGGGACTATTTCTGCATATCAATCTGTATCCATTATTTAAATATTTAATCAAATATAACTACCGTAAATCTTTAAACTTTAAAGATAAAGGTGAGTTCTGGTCATGCAATTGCATTGTGAAAGAAAAGGTGTGGAATGGATCAGAAAAAGTTGATCGTGTAGCATGTACATTGTAAATATTGGTGTGTACTGCAAGGTTCTGGAGTCATCAAAATCATAATAAATTTGGCCCAGTCTTGGTAAAGTTACAAGCACTGTACACAGAAAGATGTACATGTATATATATGGGACTACACAAATGGTGTCGGGGCCCGACACATTGATTTTCTTATCTTTCTATGCTCATTACTCAGCCATTATACACTTTCTACCAAAATTGTTTGGCAAATGACATTCTGGGAGAATTTATTTTCTTTTTTTATCAGAACTCAAGTTTATCTTTAAAAGCATCCTGAACTTGTTATTCTTAAACCAACAAAGTAAAATAACAAGTAATTTATACCTGACTTATTGTTATAGAACAGATATTTACCTTTGCTTGAAAGTGTATTCCATGTTGGAATGCTTCCTCACTGTGAAGCGGTATGCGTGTGTCGTAGGCATCCTCAACCAAGTTGTATTTATTGCGTCTCGACGGCATCTTGGCGATGACGAATCAATCCAATATATTCCCAAACAACAAAATACAGATAAAATGCTATCCAATAACTCCACTGAGATTCCGATGTGTTCAGAATTATTTTGGTAAGCAATTTCCCATTATGAAGTTGTCTCCAGAACTATGTCGGTATAATAAGCAGTAGATCACAGAGTATAAATCTGTAGCCTGCTGCATGCAGGTATGATGGTTTGATTAGTAAATCTACTTTTCCTCAATGATCTTCGATTAATTCACAACGGATCAAGCACACTACATGAAATGCAAAGTCATGACAGACTTTTCCTCCCAGTCTCTCTCCAACTTTATGTTCCGTTAAGAATCCACAAGTATCGAAAATGCTAGACTCCGGGACGGAAAAACTTCTCCCCGAGCGAAAGATTCAAAGCAGCCCTGAAAGGATGTCATTCGCTTCTCGCTGGCAATCCCTGTATTCCTAGGTATATGTATTTCGGCGGCGGGGACGAGGTAACTTTTTAATGAGTGAGCACAGAAGGCCTCCTGGAGATTAGCGCAAACCGAGGAAGAGAGGGGAAGGACGTCCGGGCCTTGGGACCCTGAGTCACATGAGCTGTGAGGGTGACAGACACGATGTTACGTGAGAGATCAATCGCACCCTACGGCTTGGATTGGATTGGATGTACACTGCACTGCTGAAGTTGGGGAGGGGTAAGAGGTGGAAGAGAAGGGGGAAGAAACAAAATCAAGTTAAAGTGACAACTTTGTATTTATATGGACAAAGTGTGCCATTCACAATTTCACATTATGTTTAAACATATTCATTGTCCTTACAACCTGTTGTTATTAAGTGTTCCAGCATACATGTAGCCACCTCACTATTGCAGAAATAACTTCATTAGCTTGGGAACCAATGCCTGAAGAGTCAATCAATAAATGATTGCGAACAAATTTAACACTGCCAGAATAATCCATTTAAAATCATATCAAACTGTTTTACAGACCCCTCACCACACAAACACACATTTACTAAGCCAGGACAACTTGAAACCATATGTATCCCTCCCTCCTCCCCCACCCCCTCCCCCATTCCAAAGATTCCATGATCACACCAAAGCATTCAACAAGCAATCAGAGTCACCCTTTATAGAGAACTTAATGATATACTAAAGAATTTAAATGATTCAAACAAAAAGCAACTAGATTTTTTTCTAAAAATAAAGTAAAGAAAGTAAAGGAATGACAAGCCATATGAATGTACATGTAGTTCAACTCCTGAGAGACAGCCTGAGCATACTTAGCATCTCAACCAACCCAACAACAGATTCTGAGATTGAACAAAAAACATATCGATTAGAATCTCACAGCCAAAACAACACGATCAATGCTCAACACAAAGTGAAAACACGGTCAGTGACACACATTTTTTCAATTCAAAATTCACTTTCACTTCAAACTTTAGTCTCGTTTCACAAAATCAGAGAAGATCTAGCATATTTCAAAATCATGCGAGTCATGAACCTGTAAATTATTGTTATTTTAGCATTCCTGATAAAAGCATTGAAGCCAACATAATTATGAAAACAACAACACTATGACCCACCGAAAATTGATGACCAACCGTACGCAGAACTCCAGGCAGGGCATTCGCTTAGCAAAAGGGGTATCCTGAACTGTATAGGTAACACGTAGGCTTACCGTTGGATAGGCTCGCATCTAGGGCTTGGAGCAGAATGCACACTTTGCACGTTGATTTTGCATGTATGCTCTGACAGCTGCGCTACAGCTGCAGTGGCGCTTTATAGTGAAGTGCTCTTTGTCAAATTGAGTCTAGCGTCATCTATGTCAATATACACTATAGTCCCTAAAAAGTTTCCCTTTTTATTGCAAGACAATCTATTTTTTTTTATACATTGCCGACAACAATCTAATATTTCCGTATTATCTGATGCAGTGGCGGATCCAGGGGGAGGGGGACCTCTCCCCTGGGGGAAAACAGGTAAAACACGAAAATTTTACCCCTTTTTTTTTAGATGGGCCCCCTCCCCTGGCACTAAAGGGGGGGGGGGGGTGCGTTTTTTCAAATTTTCGAGGGCCACCAAAAAAAAAAAACTAGTGCTCCTTACCCCCCCCCCCCACCCCCCGCTTATTCACCGGCTGGCTGTTTCACCGATACATATATTTTCTCACGAGTTGGGCCCCTCTTCGGCCTCCTCCCCTGCCGCTGCTGGATCCGCCCCTGATCTGATGACTGTATCAATCTAATGACCTCTAAAATTTCGCTTGAGTCAGACAAGACATCAAATGAAATTATATTTTAATTTTTAATTTATTTTCAAATTTCCATAATTCAATTCAACAATACTTGGTAACGAATATAAAACAAACACTTTGGACCTTCCCTTTCGGATCACTCAAGAAGAAAAAAAAATGATGAGATATTTCTTCAAAATAATAAACATTTATCAACTATTGGAGACAGTAAAAATATGTGTTGCATTTGTATAAATAATGTATCAGAAAATACCACTAGCGTATTTGAAAGAGACACGGGGCAGTTTGGCACCTGACAAAATTGTGCAACCAATAAATAGACAATTTTCTTTCAAAAAAGCACAATAATTCTAAAAGCCCAATCGTTACATTTGTACTTAAATAAACATATAAATGCAGATTTTTCATAGATTGTCGACCAAGCCAAACGATGATGCAATAATACTTAGTAAAGAGTATAAAGTTAAACTTCAAAATAAAGAGAAAAAATCCGGGGGGCACGAATCCTCAAAAATATCATGAGCCTATCACAAACCTAAACTAATCGACTTTGTTTTCAATTGAAACAACTAAAAATATTCTCAGAGTCCATTGCTTCGCTCGACTGCAAATAACTAGGCCTAAATAAAACGTTAAATTACACACTTTGCAAATCAAAGTAGGCTATGATTATGGGAGTTGAAAAACTAAAATGAAGAAGATCATGTCCGCCTTGTCAAAGAGATCACGTTTTTTTTTGCATGGATCAACATTGGACTTGATCCTGTGTCTCCTTTTGGTCAAGAAAATTTCCCTTTTTCTCTTTTTATAAGATTAGTACATTCTTGAGCTTAAAGGCCGTCTGTAGCCTACTAGTTTGGCTAGGAGGGATTCTAGCAGGTGGCTATCTCATCAACTCAGCTCTCAATAATTAACATAAGAAAAGGGGGATCATGGGGGACCAATGGTCACCGATTAGGCATTGTTTTCTATATGAGGGAGCAAGTAGCTACAAGTAGTACAGTGGGAATTAAAGTTATTTGTCCTTCTGATTAGGTTTAAATTGTGCTTTAAAAACTGTTTTAAAATCTCCTACTCGGTCGCTATCATACGCACGATCCTTGCATGCTCATTTCCCAAAATGACAATAAAATCGGGGCCCAAGTTGAAAGCTCAACCTTTGGCCAGTCGTCATTTTTAAATGGGTTTATAATGATTATTGAGTGATTGGTCACCGCACTCCCTTGTAAGTATGAATGTTGCAAGTGTTATATCAACATCATGCCAATTGTTTTTTTTTTTTAAATAACGTTTGTGATTGTTAAAATACACTTAGGTGTGGATTTGGGATTTTGCCAGTATGCGTATACATGCTTCAAAATTACGACATTCATTAATTCGACGTGCAAAATCTTTTTCATCAGGTACAGTGATATTCCTTTCCCAGCATGTGACTCCAACCCCATCCATGCTTGTTGCCCGATTATTAAAACAAATGTAAAAAAAAAGTATTAAAAAAAAAACACCCCGTCTTCCCTGCCCCTCCAATGCTAACCGCATATACCTTCTGTTATTTTCTATTATTTCGAAATATATTTTAGCAATATAATCATAAACCACAGGCGATTTTTAAATAGTCGGTTGGTGGCCCTTCAATTTTTTTTTGGTTCTGTCCACACAACTTAAAAAAAGAACTTGTGCAACCACTGACGTAGTTGCAGTGGCGTAGCTTAAGTCCATCCATTGAAGGGGTATACTGGTTTCATTATAGGGAAATCAATAATGGGCCTGCTAGGTGAATGAAATGCGAGAGAACAAAGACCTAGAATAAAAAGATGATATGAGTGTCGTACCCTCTTCCTCCTCCCCACCACACCTCCCCATCTCTCTCTCTGTCTTTCTCATCCGTTCGATTTGGGGCTCATTCCCTGTTCCCCATGCCCCCCCCCCCCCCCCGTAGCTATACGCGACCGTGTATATTATATATAATGGTGATTGATAAAGCAAACCGGTCAGGGGTGAATACAACGCTGCTTTCACAAAATTGCTGAGATATTTAACAAAAAGGAAAATTTCACAAACTATGTGACAATAACACAAAAGGCCAGGGGCGGCGAACCCGGGGGACGAGGGGGGGGGGGGGGACACGTTCCCCCTCAAAAGTGCAAAAAAAATGTTTTGCAAATACTGAATAAAGACTGCAACATACTTTTAGGCTCTGGAGGGCCCTAGAGTGCAGCGTTTAGACTAATAAAAAAAGCAAACGTATATTCACATCCTTCATTACTCAGTTAATGACTCACAGATTACATCAATATCAAACTTTATGGGAAAGCCTGCCAGACCGACCTAGAGTGCAGCGTTTAGACTAATAAAAGCAAACATTTTCTCGCTCGGTCGCTACTCTCCCTCCCATATTATATCCTTCAAAATATTGAAGTAAATATTGTAGACAATCTGTATTCCGTTGGTACCACTGTGATTCCAACGGAATACAGATTTTTCCTCGCATTTCGTCCCCCCCCCCCGGTCATGAAAAGAAATCGCCGCCCCTGCAAATGGCAATATATATAAGTGTATTTGGTCTTTAATTTTTTTTTAAAGAGATCAAACAAATAAAACATAAAATCAACAAGAAATCAGTGGAATCAAATTGGAAAAGGGATAGGCCTAAACCGAATGTAACATACATTAATTCCAAATACAGCATAGTCACAAATTATTATTTCACAAAACAACTAAGTAAACAACTAAGTAATTGCCAACCATTTCTAGTTTCTTTAAACAAAATCATGAGTTATGCTTAGGCTTTAAGACCATGTTCGTTTTATTTGTCAAATTTCGGAAACTTGTGTTAATCTGTAACAGACATGTCATTATGTCAATATAGCCTTTCGGACTTTGCTTTGTTTGCAGTAAATCTCATCTATCGGTTATCACAGGACGTATGTTGTTACAAAATGTATCATCAAGTGCCGTTGTTATTACAACACAATTTATTGCTGCATTTAATAGTTGCCTTTGGTCATATCGCATTATAGACGGAAATAGTCACGTTTAATTGCTTGTATAGGGTTACATTGGTGTGGCAAATGTTGTCTTTATTGATAGTGATATGTTGTAAATATATCATATTCTGTATTTTTGTTAAAGTCGATTATATTCTGATCTAACACAAGTTTCAAACAAGTATTTTGTTTAATATACAGACTTTGATTTTACTTTTGTGCAATTTCGTAGATGTCATTTAAAGGCAATATCAACATGCCTTGATATTATTCGTGCATAACATTGGGATTTAATAGATTTTATATTTTTTTTTTTTGGGGGGGGGACTGAAAATTCTCATAATCACCCGTAAGGGAAAATCTCATAACTCCTTAAACATTTTAATTTGCGGATCCAGGCAAACAGGCTTGACTGTGTCACCTCTTTTGAATATGAAAAATAATGAGATTCGGAAAAGAGGACTAATATATCGAAACAGTGAGTACACGCATTATAATTTAAAATAGAGCCACAACAACAGGATGACGATCATGGTAGACCGAAGGGGGGGGGGGCCACAGTGCCCCCAGTTTTTTTCTTCAAATATACCACAGTGCCCCTTTTTTTACATAGGAAAAGTGCCTTCATTTTATTTCAGATAAGTGCCCCTTTTTATTTGTAATAGGAATAAGTGCCCGTTTCGAACTATCATAAGTGCCCTTACCGCCTCTCAAGTTCCCCCTTCATAAATGATAATTGCCTCTATTCAAATCTGACATTAATTGACAAGTGCCCCTTTTCCATTGTAAATAAGTGCCCCTTCACCTTCTTATAACTGCCCCTTTTCATCTCTGTTGAGTGAACGTTTTCACCTCTGATAAGTGCTTCTTTTTACTTTGTCCCATGTCCTTTTCCCTTTCTAATGAGTGCTATTTCCCTTCACATAAATGCCCTTTCCCCTTTTAGTATGAGCTCCTTTCACTTCACATAAATGCCCCTTTTCACACCTCCGATAAAATTAATGCCTCTTTTAAAATTGATAGGTGCCCCTTTTCCTTCGACAAGTGCCCATTTTTCATAAGTGACACTTAATTCATCTCAGGTGAGTGCCGGCTTTTCAGGTAAAAGAAGTGTCCCTAGCCATCTCTAATAAGTGTCTCTTTCAACCTAGCTGATAATCGTCCATTCCAAATCTAGAAGGTGAGAGGCTTCCGTTTTACTTAGACACGTGCCCCCGTCCCTTGTTATATGTGCTTCTTTCCCTTCTCATTAATGCCCCTTTCTCCTCTAATAATTGCATTTTTACTATATGACACGTGCTTCTTTCTTTTCTAATAAGTGTCCTTTTCCCTCTAGATAAGTGCCCCCTTTTCTTTTTTTACTTAACATGTGCCCTTATCTTAAAGCGACTAAGAGCAACTTGTAATTGAGAGGGTTTTTTTTAAATATTGAAATCATCCCTGAATGTATTAATCACGATGTAGGGGCATTATAAGAATGTCTAAAAGGGAAAATTTTCCCTTTGAGGTTTCCTTTGTAGGTGCACCTTTTTCCCCAGAAAGTGCCCATTTTGGTGCCCCCTTCCACTTTGGAAGACGCTCCGCCGCCCCTGAGAGAGAGAGAGAGAGAGAGAGCGATCCAAGAGCTAAACATGATAGTTAATCCAAAAGATCTTTGCTATGGGGAGGGTATAGGGGTCATTTGTTTTGGAGGGGGGAGGGGGAGTGCCCAGCCCCTTTGTTGGCGCAATCGAGATGCATCATAGCATCTGATAATGAGACGTCTATAGGCGTATATTGATATTTTATCTTTAAAAACTAAATTAAAACATGGAAAAAATCAGGCCCATGGTATAGATTCGATTCTTGCCGGAATTTGCATCGCTGAATTTGCATAAATCAATGTCTCTCTATACACTGCTGCGTCGAGTCCGTGACTGACTTGAGGGAAGGAGGTGAGAGAGAGGGGGAGTGAGGGAGTGAGTGAGAGAGAGAGAGAGAGAGAGAGAGAGAGAGAGAGAGAGAGAGAGAGAGAGAGAGGGGGGGGGGGGAGGGGAGGGAGGGAAGAGAAGAGTGAATAGAAGAGGAGGGAATGGAAGGAGTGTCAGGGAAGCGAGATGCCTTGGTGATGATGAGGAGCCTCACACCTATACCCTCCCCCCCCCCCCCCCACACACACACAATCAGTATCGCAACGTCATTGTTGTATAGGGGCGCCTCGCTGATAACTTTGTAACGTACATAGCGTATATATCCCGACTCCAACATAGATTTTAAAACACAAAGAAATATAGATTAACTCAATTGAGAGTAATCAAATTTAATATGGTAATATTTTGAGAGCGGTATCACCATACGTGTTTCGGGTTGGCCGTGGGGTCGTTGGTTTTATATTTTGTTACCTCTCCTTTACAACTCCTGCTAAATAATCTGAGTCTCCTTTAATTTCCACTCAATCCACATAAAATGTGATTGTTTCAAACACGGTTGATAAAGCAATTTTGGTGTAAAGGGTTAGAGTGCAAGTACCCCACCCTCGATTAGCAGCTGGCGAGTGACGTCATATCATGAGAGGAGGATCCATAGACTTGCCATAGCCGCCATATTGAACGATTGGCCAATGACTGTTGTATGATGAACGCCTCTTCCTCATAAAACGACATCTGTGTTGAACCTTTTAAATGTGATCTGTTCATTAATGAGTTGATGTAGGCGATTTAAAGGACTATTTTACCGTTGCTTAACACATCCTCCTGCCAAATAGGTCAATAATTTATCTTCAAATCGGCGAATTGTAAGTTTTTTTGATCCCTAACATGATTATTGTATTGACTGTCGTAGTGAGCCCGGCTTGATACAATGATAATGATTTTGTATGCATTGCACGCAGAGCTGTGCGGCCGTCGAGATTGTCAATGGTGGTAGCTGTGTGCAATGTTATTGTGTGTGAGATCAGTGGATAGTATTTTGGGGAAATGAGAAAGAATGAAACCAAATGAATATTGTTAATTATTGAGGATGAAATAGTGAATTAAGGACTGTGTCATTGAACTTCAAACATGATTGATAAATTGCTTAAATAAAAGCAAAATTGTGAATGTGATTGATGAAGTTTGAAGAATGTTTTTGCACATTAGCTTGCCTTTGAGATTGACTTTGAGTCACAACAAGAAATAAATTAGTCATGTCTAGTGTTCTATTTTGGTGACCATATTTAACCTTGAATTTTATTTTATTTTTGTTGGATTTCACAAAGAGTAATTCAAGTAATGGCAGTGATTAGATTACAATTGACAATGTAGCTTTTGTCTAATTTTGTATGTAGTCTATGTCTACATTTATTCTAAGTAAGACCATTCTGATTTGTAAGGAAAATAAAGCCCATGCTCAATTACTTACTACTTTAATACACGTCTCTAACTGAAATTGTAACCCTAACTTGGAAATAATGCAACTATTGCTTCAGATATGTATTTTTCTATTATCTAGTCAAGCAAATGGACTAAGTCAACTGGGCTGCTTCAGATTAATCTCTGTTATTCTGTTTTGTTGGTTGCCATTTTTCTTCCCTTATGAAATATGACAAAACAAAATAACGTAACAATTTTCAACACACAGGATTGCAATTGACATGAAATCCTACATGTACACCATAGCACCAAGCGTTAGCAAGGGGGGGGGGGGGTAGTATCCAAATTGTTACTTATTTCCAATTCAATGAATAATCCCATTTCCCCCCCCCCTCCCCTTCTCAAATTGTCACCATATTAATTTTGAAGAGAAAAAAATCTAACGACTACAGCTGTAGAAAAATGAAGTCTGCAAATAATATGCAAGTTACAGTGTACATGTAAAATACCCAATGTTCAATTTTGCACAGATCAAAATACTTTGTAAACTTTATTGGTATTTTTGCAGACATCAATAATTCTTCAAATGCATTTACACTGTATTATAACTTTACTTTTAAAGTAGATATTCATTGATTTTAAAAACTAACTTTATTTTTATTATTGCAAAGTTGAAACTTTGATTCGACAAGGTTATCAAAATTCAATGATTGAAAACATTCAAAATAATGATAATTATAAATTACAAAACGCTTAAATACAGCCCCGGCATAGCACCTGAAGAGCTCTGCGAATGCTGCTGATATGTGTGAGATCACAGTATGCACATGACTTGCACAAGCAGACGATGTCCCATGACATCTCACACATTTTCAGTGCCTGTGTTTTCACCTTCTCTTGAGTTCTTTCTCTTACTTCACTACCGTCAGGCTAAATGTATAATATATTGCCTCACTCTAATTCCCGCGCATGGTTTTATTTTGAACACAAATGCAGCGATACAAAAATAAAGGAATCTGTCGCTTGTAAACAAAATAAGACGCCATTGTATATTCAGCTGCACACACCGGGGTATGTTCGGCGTTTCAAGAGGGAACAAATGCCGTGATTAATATCATTCCGGGGGTTTTTCAATTTGAAACTCTGGTTTCTTTGATTGTTAATTATCCCTATCCTGTGTATTTACAAGCAAACAATTTTAGTTATCAGAATCGGGTCATATCCCCTTTTGAATGGTTTGACATGCCATTACATTTATATACACTAAACTCATTATAATTTGAGAAATAATAGCTTTGCAATTATGTACATTCTCTATGGGATGTTGTCTGCTTGGGCAGTGTTGGTCCATATAGTGACGTCATTAAAACATCGTTATTTTTCCGGCGAATTTCTCGTATATCCCAGCTGCTATAGAGGTGGTTGTATTTCTATTTTTATAAATCACCCGATATGTAATTGACCTAAAACTTGTCCGATGGCCATCTTTTAGCTTACCAGTCTCTAGTGATACATTATTTGACATATTTGTGATCTTCTTTGAATTTCACCTTTAATAGTTCTGAACACAGAGCAGAAAGTATTACCAGAATATATACAATAAAAATTATTCATGTCTCGTACATTACAGTTACTGTGCATCAGCAATTAAAGCTAATTACACAGACACAACCTTGGGTATGCTGGTACATGGTGTCTTGTATGCTCATGTAATCAGCACCTTCATTATACATTTCATGCACAGATCGTGCTTTGGAAGAAAAAGGGATTCATGTGTCTCAAAGTCTATGCCTAAGTTTTTGGTCACTTGACAATTTGAGCATGCTAAAAATTGATGCATGCTGCAAATTATGTCTGGTCTGGTGTGTGAATTCTAAATTGATTAGACCTTTCATTGTCAAAAATGTTTGTTATTTTTTAGCTCCTACACTGTATATATTCTCATTGTTCCCATGAATTTCTTTAATATATTGCTATATGAAATATAATATAATCTTCCTTCATGTCAAAATAGTTTTCTTCATTAAGTGTGCATGTACATGTATCTTCTTGATTATCCAGTTTATTAAACACAATTGCTTGTTGGCATGATTTAGAATATCTGAATCTTAGTTCATTGATGTACTCATATCAAGGGGTTACTACATGTCAGTGAGCTTGCCTCCAATCTCCTTGCTCATATTGAATACATTACAGACGATATGAGTAGGCGTGCATGTTTTTCTCAGGACATGTACATGTATGTAACATGTGATACAATCGATAACATCGGAGGGAAAAAATGGTTATCTGTAGTAAGACATCTTCATTTTAAATTTTCATAGGGCAATTCTTTTCATTTAGGCCCCAGGGCCAAGACCATACCTGTGCATGTACAACTGCATCAATAAATTATTCATGATGATATACATGTACATGTATAATGATGATTAACTAGTTTCTCACCATGGTCGACTAATGGCACACACAGTAGACCGCCGCAGTAAACTTTAGACACACCCTCATCAATACATGTTTACCATATATACTCTGAACATAGTCGCATTCTTAATAGTGAATAAAGAAACAGTTCAGTGAATGAATCAAATAACTTGTACTTGATCATTGTTTTGTATTTCTTTCATTGCCTTCAGGTACATCTCATCATGGCGGCGGGGCCATATAACTACTCTTATATCTTCAAGTATATCATTATAGGAGACATGGGTGTCGGCAAGTCATGTCTCTTACACCAGTTCACAGAGAAAAAATGTAAGTAAACATGTCTGGATTAAAGGAAAAAAAATAATATGATACAAAATGAAATAGTTGCACTAGAATCACTAGATTACATTATGTATAGCTCCAAATAGACAAAAAACAATTAAAGGATTCTACCAATTTCTTTTGCATTTCCCATGTTGACTACATGTATACCGGTATACATTGCAGGGGAAGAATTGTTTGGAAGGGCTAAAAGTTTTATGGAATGTAGAATTGTACCGGTACATTAAATATACAATCACTTGTTATCATTTATGTCAATATTAATGTTATTACTCATACTGTACTCAGTGTACTGATTCTTACCGTACACTCAACACTTGTAAGGAATGAATAGTATCATTTTTTCTGTCTTCGACTCTTCACAGTACATTTAGCCAGATTGAGCTACTACCTTCTTTTGAAAGGGTGCTGTAAATGTCTGTATTGTTTATAATTCTTATATGAGCCTGACGTTGTGTAGCTTGTTACAAATTGCATTTAATATTTCATAATTTTTTTCTTCATTTACAGTTATGGCAGATTGTCCTCACACAATTGGTGTAGAGTTTGGAACAAGGATAATTGAAGTTTCCGGACAGAAAATCAAGTTACAAATATGGGATACGGCAGGACAGGAGAGATTCAGGTAATAATATGGAAGATTGGACTTAAGTCAGTTTTCAAGTATCACTTACAGTTTTCATTTTATTAAAATTTACCATTGCATTATGACAGTTTGGAAATCTTCTTGCCTTGAAATGGGCTAGCTGATCAAAAATTTAGTGACATAACAAATAACAATTTTCACAACATCGCAACAATAAAGAACTTCATATGTTTTCTCTGATGAGTAACAATGGAAAACAGAAGACTTTGCAAAAAGGCTGTTGACACAAATCCAGTTGACACAAATCCAGTATTCGTCTTGTATTGATAGTGCTTCAAGTGCTTATCATAGGGATGCAAAAGACATTGTCGGTTTGTTCATTTATTTATTCTTTCTGTCACCTTTCATGTGCTCCTCTTAGTGCTTCATACTTTTGTTCCTGAAAGGCCCGGTCACACGTAAGTAGATGACGCACGGCCGGCGCATTAAAAATCTGAAAAAGTTGTGAGCCCGACTTTTGTCAGGATTTGGGAGAAGCTAGCGAGCTGAAACCGAATGTGTAGCATGTTGCTAGCGCGCTGCTCGTATACAGGGCGCGTGCTCCACGTTTGTCTGGCGTTGGTCTAGCACGCTCTGCGCATGTCTGGCGTCCTTTTGCCATTTACATTCATGCGTCAAGCTCTGCGCATACTTTTGAGCATGCACAAATAATCCCACTGCACACAGCGAATGACGACGAATACATAGCGTTGGTTCAGTGTTGGTCCAGTGCACTCGACGAAGGAATAACGAAGGATGATGCACACCTAACGCACAACAACGCACTGGCAAAAATTGCAAATTTTCAATGCGCAAGACGTGCGTTCTCCATGTGTCGTCTATGTGTGACCGGGCCTTAAGGAAAGCATTTCTAAACACCTATCACAAAAACTAACACATGATAATCCAAAACATTTTCAGTTGTGACCATAGGACTCTTAATTTGACACCAATGTAATGTTTTGTGTTCTGCAGGGCGGTGACTAGGAGTTACTACAGAGGAGCTGCCGGAGCATTAATGGTCTATGACATCACAAGACGAAGCACATACAACCATCTCAGTAGTTGGCTTACCGATGCCAGAAATCTTACCAATCCAAACACAGTGAGTATTAAAGCTCCACTGTACTACTTGTAGCTACTTGCTCCCTTTATATAGAAAACCTCCCCAATCGGTGCCTGCTGGACCGCCACGGTCCTCTTTTTCTTATGTTAATTGAGAGCTGATTTGATGAGATAACCACTTGTCAGTGACCACGCATGGAGGTCTAATCCCTCCTGGCCAAACTAGTGCAGATAGGCTTTAAAACTGAGTACATTCAAGTCTCATCGAAGAGGACACAGTGGTTGGGGTTTTTATGAATCTGGAGCCATGATATGTAGGCCACATGGAGGATGTTATTCAAATTTGACCAAGTGTTTATACATGTAGGTCAAAACAGTTTACAGTCAGCTCGTCGCATGCAGCAGGCATCAAGGATAGAATATAGATTTGACTGTAAAACTGATTGTAACCAAGTCTGTCATTTCTTATTGGGATGTGTAATAGATGCATTTAGAAGAAATGATCTGACTTATTTCATACTAAAAATGTATTTTTTCTGGAAAGGGGGGGGGGGGGGGAATTGATTTTGTCTGGAAGTCACTCCGTGACATCCTCTCGAAAGTGAGAAAATGATAACCTATAAAGTAGATGATCATTAAAATCTCTCCTTTTATTGCTGGATTTGATGACTTAGATGACTTACTGCAATAAGAGTTTCATTACCGGTAATGTCATTTTTAATTACCCCTGAACAAAAACTCAGTCTAGTTTCGGTAGTAAAAGTGAAATTTGTATCTTTATAATTTTCCAGGTAATATTTCTTATTGGCAACAAGAGTGATTTAGAGGCACAACGAGACGTCACGTACGAAGAGGCAAAGCAATTTGCAGAAGAAAATGGACTACTGTTCTTAGAAGCCAGTGCCAAGACGTTAGTAGCTTTCATTTGATACTTTAGACTTGTAATTTGCTGAATTCACCCCTTCTCACATATATATAGCAAAGCTAAATTGAAAATGTATAATTCAAAACTTGCACTTCTAGATAGACTAAAAAGTTGTAGCATGGGGCTTGTTGCTGAAAGATTTTAATTTAGTCCAGTCATGGGCGTCAATCCTTACGTAATACCTATTGTTCAGGGGGGGGTGATCTATTCATTCATCCCCCTGAACAATAGGTATTACGTAAAGATTGACGCCCATGAGTCCAGTTAACTTGGATTGCAGGTCTCACAAACAACCATTCGTGTTCAGGGCATTGCTTCATGAAACGTCTTCAATACAAATACACAGACAACCCATTGAAATACATGTATTTAATCTAACACATGTTCCAATGGGTTGTGAGTGAATTTGTACTTATGACCGTTTCATGAAACGATGCGCCGTTTTTTTACAAGACCTGTCAGAAAGATTGGTTATTAGCTGAATAGACATTTTTAATGAATAATAGAAAACTTACTTGAAATCGAGTACTAGACTACTAATCATGACCCATCATGACTAAGTCTATTAATTCACAGCAATATGATAAGACATTGAATGGCAGATATTGTTGTAATTGCTTAAATCTATTGAGGCATTGGTGACTTTGTTGTACCACAATTGTTAACTTTAAATTCCTCTTAGGACATACTTTCATTCATTCAAGAGTCATCCATGACAATAAAATGTTATCGGTTCCAGCAAGTCTCTTTTTATTGTTGTTAATTATTACACAATGTTTTATTTATGTTAATTTATGTATTTGAATTTATCTTGTTGATTGCAGTGGTGACCATGTAGAAGAAGCATTCCTGGATACTGCCAAAAAGATCTACCAAAACATCCAAGATGGAAGGTGAGTGATGAAGGGAGAACAGGAAAATAAGTTTTAAAAAAGGGGGTTAAGGAGGGGAGAAGGGAAATGTGGAGGTTGTTTCAGATAGTTTAAGGTTGCAGCTTCTCTTAAACCTGAAAGAAAGAGAAAAGTGAAAGAAGTTTTAAGGAAAAATTTGTTACAAGAATGAGAAAGTTATGAAAGAATATAAAATTGAGAGATGTCTTTAGTAGAATGATACAATAAAGGAACAAAATGAGAGAAAACATATGACTGGAAATGGGTGAGATAATGATTATGGATAAACTGAGAGATGGTAAAAGATAACAAAAAATAGAAGGAAAGGAGAATTCATCTTGTGTCCTTCTGTACCTCTTAAAATCAGGAAGTATGCTCTGTGAAATGTGTATAATTATTGATTTCTCACTCATGGAATAAAGGAATAATATCCTGTGGTGTATCTATCTTTGGTATATAATTTAATTGAGCGTTACATTTAGAAAAAACACCTTGTAATGAATAGAATGTGCATGTTGGTAATTTTTATTTAAAATGCTCACATTTACTTCTTTGTAAGTACATGTAATGTTTTAGTGTTTTAGATTATCCACTTTGTGTCAATTTTGTAAAGTTCTTTGATTTAGATGGTTTGAGTCTTGCCACGGCACTAATGTCCTATGGCAGGATATTAATCTACATTTGCCACTCTCACCCCAGGTGTTAAATGGGTACCGGTAGGAAGGAATTCCTTGAATGGTGTAAGCGCCGAAATCGGCTGCCTAGCAGAGCCGGGTACATGGTGGATATGTGCGCTATATAAATATCCAATATTATTATTATTAAGGGACAAATGAGAGCTCTAACAATATTATTTACCTGTCAATTTTATTTGTATTTTCAGTCTCGATCTGAACGCCGCCGAGTCGGGAGTCCAACACAAACCCGCCGCTCCACGTAGCAATCAACTTAACACTGACCAACAGCCTGGTAAAGAAGGCTGTGCGTGCTAACAGCGTCTCGTCATCGTAGCTTCCGCCGCCTCTTTCTTTCTTTCTCTCTTGTCCATCTGTCTATCTGTCGAGGGTGACTCTACGTCACTTATCTTCAATGCTCACAGGTCTCATTGGTTTTCAGTTTGGGAATAGAGAGGGTTTTTACAATTGAGATATAAATGATAATGAAATGAATTATTGAAATGTCACAGACTCTCTAGGTGATACTCTCAACTCTTTATCTGCCACTTGGTGAAACCCAATATTGCCACACTATTTGGAGTATATTGTGTGTGTGCCAAATGTTGACTATGGCAGTCCATTGTTTGTTCCAATGTTCGGTCATAGTAGAAAAAGGGTTAAAGACAGAGATGTTATTGGCATTTTGAATACACTGACAGGTTTTATTTGTAGTTATACATGTAGACTTGGTAGGTAGATAGAAGAAGCATGAAAAGGTACATGTAAATTGTTCTTCCATATGAATTTCTGTTTTTAAATTACAACATCAAGAAAGAAACAACACTTTTTTGTAATGGTAGAATTCTCATACCTAGTTTGAGTGATATGTCCTTTTAATTGGTACTGTAATACTGATACTACCTGGAAGATCACTTTATTTGGGGTTTCAGCCAATGAGATGACTAATTCAGTCTGATCTACTCAATCTACTCGCTTCATGTGTGAAAGTATTTTTGCAGGGATGTAAACATTTTGTGTATGTGACACAATACTGTTTTGATTCTGGCTTTCTTCTTCTTTCTTACATTAGAAAAAAAAAAGAACGATATAGATATATATCCAAATGTCACAATGTGATTTCTTTTCCATTCAATATGTAGGATTCAATTTATATTTGTTTGATTGGGGCAATATGACCCAGATAAATACCATAGTGCATACCACATGATTTTTTTTTCTGCAATACAAAATTCATGAACCTTTTGAAATTGATTTATGCCTGGATGACTTTTCAGCTTTTTGAAAGTGGAAAGTATTTCATTTTAGCCTGTAAGACTCGTGAGCATTGAAGATATTTGTGTGTTTGAATCCTCAGAATTCTGTTTCTCAAATATTATGGTATGGAAAGAGAAAAAAGACACCTCTTTTGTTGACTTCGCTCAACTCAACGCAAGACAGTCTGATCGGCATTCTGTTTGCTCTTTTTCTTTTTCATTCAAATGCAATATGTGTACATTACTTAATCATATGATTTGTCAGAACGTGGTGACTTGTGTAGACTCCTTTGTTAGTAATCCCGTTACATGTGCAGTAACCCAAATTATCAGAGGATTTTGATTCATACGAGCACTGCAGAATGGAGTATACAGCAGTGGAGTGAACAAAAGAGGTTTAGATTTCTTTAATTTTTTTCATTTTCCGGTGGTTTAATTACGTTCTTTGATTAGATAAGTAGCATGTATAGTTGTTCAGTAAATGGTGTGATGTGCTACATTTCTTAGCATTGTGTTATTAATATTGATGAATAGAAGGAGATTGCCCTTCGCCGGTCCACGATCGGCACTTCATAGACTGTACATTCAGCGCAGAGCTTATTATGAGAAACCTATTGTATTGTGTAAATACTTATATATATTATATAAATGGTACTTGTAGCAATGAGCTGCGTCCCCATTGCTGCGATCTTATCGGTTGGGCTGCTCTTCGCAGGGGTACATTCACATTGCCAAGTATGTATTGTTGTACAGAGCATGTGTACTCTTGTGTACCTGATGCTCTACATGCAACTCATCAGTTTACATGTGTATGCAGTGTAGCAAGGGGACTGGTCCAGCCTGACAGTGTTGCATCACAAATGCGGTGATCGTGGGAACAGCTTCAAAAGGGATGTGTAAATCATGGCTTTGCCAATCTGTAGAAAACTGTGCTGTCTTTTTGTACACTTGACTTAACAGAGAAGTAAATTACCAAACATTTTGTATGATTAGCTTAGCGACGGATTATATATATTTCAAGATATGTTAGGTTGTGGAACAACATGTAATGAACACATTCTCAAGACATATTGCACATGACTTATATAGTTTTAATCCTGTTTATCTGTACATAGATTTTCACTAGTCCAAAGTAGAAAAGAATACACCGAAAAATTTATTTCTTAACAAAATGTTCCTACCATTTTCTCTGATATTTGACTAATTTCGTGTGTAATTATCATTAAGGAGAGTTCACTATTACAGGCTGTTTTACTCTATCACACTTTTGAAATTCTCAGTATCTTTTCTTCTATATACTTACCTTGCCTGTCTTAAATTTTGGCTGTATAATACACGAATATCTCATTTACTAACACTGCTTTAATATTTAATTGCATCTTTTAAAATGCAATTAATATATATGTTTATTTGGTGATGCATGATAATACAAATGGACATTCCAAAGTTTACTTATGTCAGAAATGAATGGACACAAGTAATATAGCTGTTTATTGTACTTGATGTAGTAAGATTTGTTACAGTTATATTGTGGTTGATTTGGTTGCACAATTTTGTGAATTGACAAACTACAGATGAATTAACATGGGGATTCCCCTTACAAAAGAATGAATGACCTTTGATCTCAAGATTTAATTCATCAAGGTAACCATGATGCTGGTATAACCCACCATTATCAGGAGCTTTATTTTGTGATCAATTTTATGACCTTCCAATTTATCAAGAAAATCTCAAATTTAGTAAATAGCTTTGACCGTTGAATGTTGGCATCCATCCATATCTGATTGTGAACATGTGAGAGAAAATAGAAGTCAAATAACTTTGCTTTTATAAAGTAAGATGCTTTAAGAATCTGTGCACCTACAGTTTGTTGAAATTAACACCAAGTTTGAGTAGCATCATTATGAGCATGTATCGTTTCTGCTGGCATCAAGTTGGTGTTATTAATAGCAACTCAGCTTCTCTTGTAATTGCTTATTATACACACTCTACTTAGGAATTGCTTTGAAAAATACATTATTAAGTTCAGTGGAAAACAAGGAAACAAGATGCGGTAAACAACATTTTATATCCATTCAATGCATATTGTCAAACTTATCAGCATCTCTGCATTTCTCTCTCTGTCTCTCTGTCTCTCTGTCTCTCTCTCTCTCTCTGTCTCTGTCTCTGTCTCTCTCTCTCTCTCTGAATCTAACCTAGGTGGTCATGTATTTAGCTTTTCTCAAATTTTCTTAGTCTCGGTTCATCCATGCATCCATACTGCGAACATGCTCTTTAAAAAAATTATTGCTTATATTCTGAAATCAAAACCTTACTGCAGATTTTCCTGCTCAACAAACAGATAAGGGTTATTATCTTCAATAGGTCATAGTGTAGTCTTATCATTTCCTTCATAGCTGATTACAATGTATATTCTCGTACTTGTGTTGAACCCATTGTCTGCAGCTGTCTACCGTCATGTCTTGTGGCATTCATAAAGTGTAGTTCCAACGAATACTGCTTGAATTTTTATTGACATTCTGGTGTAAGCTGTAATTAAAAAATTAAAAAAAATTATAACATTTCAAAGATGCATCATGCAGCCTTCATCTAGGATATTCTAACTCATCTAAACCCTTCAGTATACTGACTGTTCTCTTTCATTTTCAACGAGAAAGAAAAGAGCTTATGGCTTTGAATACACTTGTGCATTGACAAGAAATGCACATGGGTATGAATACAATTGTGCATTGAAAAGAAGCTACCAAGAAACTTAATTACCGGTATGTACGAAGGAAGGGCTACCTCATGTATCAGTAGTTAGAATTATATTTGATTTGTTATGACTGCAATTTTTGTTTCTTCCTTTAAGGCATCTCTTTTTCTAAATTTAGGAAAATCTTTTGATGAAAAGTGGAGAAATTGTTGGTACCATTGCCACGATAAGTTCCATGACAACATCAAGCTTTAACTGCTGAGAGGCACCAACATTTTTGTATGAAATATGCGAAAATTTGTGGAATGTGCTAGCAGTCTTGGTCAATAAAGAGCACATGGGTAATAAATGAGAAGTTTGGAGTTAGTTCCTTCTAGTCTTAAAGTGATCAGCGTACTGATGATTTTAGATGTATGTTGTGCTGTATGCGCTAGAGGGTACTATGTAACAAAGACATAAAGTGAAGATATATGGTGTTGAATTGTAGCATGATGATTACTTCAAATTCTACAGGGATACTCAGCATGATCCATAAGTGAGGATATACTGCTAAGGATCTTATAATATGGGATGGTTTTAATTTGTTTCACTTGTTTCAAACCAATTAATATATGAGGTAACATTCCAATAACATTGATTACATAATTAATATAAGTCCTGTTGGAAATAGCTTGAATGTACACCCATCGAAACATCCTCATAATGTTTGTGTCCTGAAATGACTCCTGAAAGAAGGTAGTCCTCTATAAATTCACTACTTTACTCTCATCATAACTAATTTATTTGTTGTATCATTATATTATTGGTTTTCCTTCTTTATTTTCATGATATAAATCCTGTATTAGTACTCCCGATCCCTTCTGTGTTTCATACATTATTCATATTATAAAGAAAGTAAGTAAAGGCAGTGTAATGATTTGTAGAATATATTTTGTTGACTAATATATTTGAACTGGTTTTATTGGTAATGGACAGTAAATAATTGAATATTAGGCTCCCGGTATGTACTTTGTATTTTATAGAAACCACATTATTGAATATGATGCAAATGTGTTTGTTTAGGTAACCTTAATTGAATTTGTCTCCTTGTGGATATTTCTTTTTATATATGGCAGAGAATAGTGGTTGGTTTAGATGTAAAATATTGATTGGGTGTGAAAGAGTATTTTAACATTTTCTTTATTATGCACCCGTCAGCCCAGCCGCCCCCTACCACTCCAAGTAAACATTTGTGGATTCAAAAAGTGTATAGTGAGCAATTTATGTGTGTATGAAATACATTTATTATTAAATGGTATTAAATTGATGATTCTGTGACATAATAACAAATTAAAAGATACATTGAGACGAATGTCATACTGTTCACAATGCCTTTTTTTTTAGGTGAGTTATGTTTCTGTGTCTGCAGTAAGTAATGTGTTGGGTGTGACCTATGAACTGTTTGCCCCTGAAAAATATGATGGATGTGACTTGCTGTTCCTCTTTCTTTTGCAATATATGAATTATACTACAGTTCCTGAAAATGTAGACACTTTATCTCTTAAAAAAGAACAGGTGTATACAGGTTCCAAAAAAAGGGAGGGGGAGAGAGATAGATAGAGAGAGCGAGAGAAAGAGAGAGAGAGAGAGAGAGAGAGAGAGAGAGGGAGGAAAGGAGGGGGGGGGGGGGAGTAATTATTTTCATCACCTAACACCAATTAAAATAATTTTTGATATATTAATTATTATTATCATAAATTCTATGTATGTATCTATCTATCTGTCTGTATATCTGTCTGTCTATCAGTAGTAGTAGTAGTAGTACTTATGTTTACATTTAGTATAATGTAGGCTCTTATTTCATAAACTTATTTGCAATTATTTTCTTTTGATTTTATCTTTAATAGTTATAAGACATTTATTTAAATATTTTTATTCTGTAAAATTAAGCTCTAAAAATGAATTTGCAGAATGTTTTATTGGTTTAAAATGAATAGTTGTGAACGAGCCTGCCGCTTAGAAACCATCGACGCTACACTACAGAAAAACGACGTAGATTTCATTGTATGTTTTAAATCATAGATAAAATCAGGAGAACTTTCTGAAATAATCGTCAAAATGACGGTCGACGGAGAAAGAGCAGAATCAGTTGCATCTAACCAAAGCGGAAAACGATCAGGGAAGAAACGACTAAATATCGTCATCCAATGTGCTGCAAGCGGTGATACAAGTCGGCTGCTTGAGTGCTTTGCTAATGAAGAGGACCCCTACCACGACCGGGTAGAGAGCCAGCTGAACTCCGCTGACGAGGAGGGGCGATCGCCTGTTGAGATCGCGGTCACGGAAAACCAAATAGAAATGCTGAAATTGTTGCAAGAAAAGGGATCTGGTTTGGACACGAGAAACTCAATGTCGGCCAGGACCCCACTAGATATGGCATGTATTTTGGGAAGGAATGAAGCATTAAAAGCATTGCTAGCAGGAGGAGCAGATGCCAACAATTCAACGAAAAGAGGTAACAAAAATTCAGTTTCAATTCAGGGCCAGGGCAAATGACAACGTTTACACAGATCAGCAAAATTGTTTATCTGACTTGAGTGAGACATCAAAAGTTGTTACATTTTGGAAAACAGGAGTAGACTCTACAGGAAAGCCAGTTTGTTGAGTTTTAGGAATAGAATCTAGATCTAGGTCTATATTAGACCGAATTTTCCGTCTCTTTCGTTCGTTAGCCTGCCTAGCCTCTTATTGGGGTAGGGTCGGCCGGCTCTCTCTTTAGAGACGGAAGCCGTCTATACACATGCTCTTGACAACGCCACGGCCATTTCAGGTCGTAGCGTTTTGCCCCCAAAATCCCCCAAAATGTCATTTTACCTCATGCATTGATTATTTAAAAAAGAAGGGATGAGATTTAAATAAATAAAAAATAACAACATACGCAGGAAGACTACGGAGCACCACTGCATGCCTTTCAACACGGCTGTCGATTTTGACCCGTAATTTCCTGAAAAGGGACCATTAAACGCGTTATACAGTCAAGTTGGTAAGTGGAATCGATGTAGTATAACCTTCTCCTAATTTTAAATAATCAATGCATGAGGTAAAATGACATTTTGGGGGATTTTGGGGGCAAAACGCTACGACCTGAAATGGCCGTGGCGTTGTCAAGAGCATGTGTATAGACGGCTTCCGTCTCTAAAGAGAGAGCCGGCCGACCCTACCCCAATAAGAGGCTAGGCTAACGAACGAAAGAGACGGAAAATTCGGTCTAGGTCTATATAGACCTAGATCTAGATCTAGAGAGTCTAGACTATTCTCTATCCTTGATTGATTGATGAGATCGAGAGGATTTAGATTTTTAATTTAATTTTAATTCTTAATTTTTAAACTAACGTTAGAGTCTATACTTCTAGGGCAATGCCTACTGGGTATGTATAAATCCAAGTCTCAGTGAATGCTAAGGGTACATTTAACTTAAAGATGAAATAGCAAATTTAGTAGCAATAGAATGATGATGGAAAGTTGTGTTGTTATCTCTCAGTCTCCAGAATCTTAGAGCAAAATCAAATCATTTTATTTCCTTTTCTTTTGGTGTGTGTATTTTTTTCTCCGTATAGGTTACACTGCTATCCACCATGCAGCAGCTTGGGGGAGGATGGACTGCCTGAAGACTCTGGTCAAATATGGAGCCAGTCTAACTATCAAGACCAAGCATGGGGAGAGGGCAAGGGATACCGCCCTCAGATACAAACATGAAGATTGTTCCTTTTTCTTGGACTGGTCAGGTGGGTGCCAAATTTTTTTTAATTAAAAAAAAAAAAACCTAGCATTTTAACCCATTATATTCAATAATTGTGTGGTTCAGTATAGAGAATTCAGTAATCATTGGGTTAAAAGGGTTCTGTACAATTTGACTTAGATCTATGTTTGATTATAAACCTGCCTGTGGCGGACTGGTCCATGTCTTTTAAAACCCAATTGGCCTACCTCAAGTACACAATACCAACAAAAAAATACCCTCATATTAATGGAGGAAAAAAATTGTAGTTGTGCCCCCCCCCCCCCCCCCCCATATTTTACAATATTGTGGATCTGCTCCTGGTTCTTCTTCTTCTTCTTCCAGTTAAGTACAGACTGCCGTTGGCGTATTATCTTGTACTTGTCGAGTGCCCAGATAAATAGTGCAAGTAAAAAAAAATTGAAGCTGCAACAATACGCTGTAAATCTGTGGGCTATTTTAGTTCATTATCAGTGAATATCTATAGTTATAGTGATATATTTTCATGTGACAAACTGTCAATTCATGTATGGATTCAAAGAATCTACTTTTTAAACACGGTAGTCAATAACTTTCTCTGAAAAAAAATATACAGTTGTAAATGGTAAATTTTCTTGCATTCATGTATCTGTCATAATCTGTGACCTTTATCCTTTAAAAAAACATCACCTTTGTTAAAACAACAAGGGATTGATGTAGACAAAATTAAAACCTGCATTTGACTACCCTTTTAAAGCAACTTTTAGTATAAGTTATTGTAATAAAAAATGAAGGGGCTACACTTTATATACCCATGTTGCAATTCTGTACAGTTGAAATAACTTTAAAATGGTGCCAGTGAATACCTAGCATCAGTCTGATGTTTTCATTATTCTTTCTGGATTCCCGCAGAAGCAAGACGAGGTCTGGTCTCAATTCTTCAAGAAACCAAGGAGACCATTGAAGACCCCCAGAAACTCCAGGGCAGATTAGCCAAAGATGAGAAAGTAAGTGAGATATTTTTTACTATAATGGAAGTGAAGAGCATTTAATAAGAACTACAATTTTTATTGAAATATTACTACCGGTAATAATGGTGATAATAATGATAATAACTATGCACTTTGTAGATGGTATATGAAGAAAAAAAAATGGTTGCTCTTTGCATATATTTTCTTCTGATGCATGGCATGGAAATGTTGCATATATTATTTTCATGATGCATGACATGTCTACATTTTCCAATTTAAAATAGACTTATTGAATTTGTCTCTTTTGTACGGATGTATATTTGTTTATTTAAAGCCCCACTGTACTACTTATAGCTACTTGCAGCCTCAATATAGCAAACAATGCCTAATCGGTGCCTGTTGGTCCCCCATGATCCTCTTTTTCTTATGTTAATTGAGAGCCGATTTGATGGGATAACCATCTGTCAGTGACCTTGTACATTTGTAGGCAGGTCTAATTCCCCTGGCAAAACTAGTACAGAAGGGATTTAAACCAATTTGCCCTAAGACAATCGCTGCTTAAGCTAAAACCTCTTTTGCATCAATTGAAGACTTTTTAAAAAATGGTTAACTTTTGTCAGATGACTGGACTGAATGTATGTGGAGAGAAGCAAGAATGGTTGGATTCTAACCCGAATGCTTCCATTGAAGACTTTCATAAACAAGAAGAAGACCTGAGGACATCTCTGGAAGCCATCCTCGTCAAGTTATCAGAACCTCGTAAGTATTTTTTATTTTTTTGCTCTTAAGATCCCCTCCTAACAAGCCCTTCAAGGATTTTTTTCGGAACACCCTTTTCTTTCATTTCTTTCTATTTATTTGTATTACTCTGTTATCAAATATATTGATGTAAATATGAAAATTATGCATGTATGATGACATACTGTTAACTTGTATGTTTTTTAATTGTACATATTGGAAGAAATATATGAGAGGTATATATATATATATATATATATGCTCTCTCAATCAATCAATCAAATAAAGAGATCATTATTCTCTACAAGAAAGAAATTTTGATGCATGATGAAATTCTTTGGATTTCAAACCACAAGGATATCTTTTTGTGTGGAAACATCAAAACTAATTGTATATATTGTTGCAGTCTAGTTTCCACTGAATCATTGAAGAAAAAAAAAGAATGAATTCATAAGTTCTATCTCAGGGTAATTTGATATGCTATGACAATGATATTACAGAAAGAAAAAGTAGATGGCAAAAATATTTTATTATACTAGACGTTATATTACACTTTACTATTTTATCACAAAGATAAATTTTATGAGTACAAAGTTACCAAACCTTACACATATGTTTTTGTTTACTTTATCTTTTAATATCATCAGCAACTTTCCATGAAAAACTTTGTACCAATTAGAATATTTTACCCAAAAGAAGACAAGAATTTTTTCTTCTTCTGATAACCTCATTTCATTTCTTTTCTCTAGCACCCGAGAAACCTCATAGACGGTGAGAAGGCAGGAAAGATGGTAAACCAACATGGATTTCAACATGTGGGGAATCAAGAGTGTATTCATATACAGCATGTATTTCACCATTCTGAAAGATTTTGTGTTAATTTGCCATGAGAGGAAGAAAAGGGGAAATTGAAATCTGGATAAATAAATCCCCCCTCCCCCTCCCCCCCCCCCCCCCATAAGTAAGTTACAGAAGTATACGATTTGCATGCATATGTACGGTACGTAACTATTAAATCAGATACATGTACATAATTTAAATGCAAACTGTCATATTCAGCTTCAAGCTCGTCTGCATACTGTTATGTGTATCCATACCTAAATTATTTATTTTTATGGAACTCCTTTATGTAGCATGCTCCAAGAAGTCTTTGAATTTGATTGGAAACTTATTTTTATGCAGTGCAGCACACAACAAGAATAGGGGAAGATTAGAAATATACCCTTAAATATTAGTAATATATTTTCCCTACTATTTTCTAGAAGTATGATGGGAGTCTTGTAAATATCCGTAAAATCATTGTATATATATTTTTGTAAATATTTATAAAATGCCTTTATTGAAATTATTCTATAAACTATTCTTGGATAAAAAGCCATATAGAAACTGTACGTTCATGTGGAAAGTACGATTATCATACACTTCAAATACAAGTACCAAATCTCTATGATTGCTGTAAGTGGAGGTATTCTCATGTATTTCACTTCATGTTTATCTACTGTTGCCTAGTACAGTGAAATAGGTGATTTATACTTGCTATGAAATACCCCCAAAATAGACCATCTTGGTTTTCCCCCAGAAACAGTCTTCCAAAATGTATATATGTTTAAAAACAAAAGACTTTCTTTTATTGTATAGCTAATTGCCTTGATACATTGAAGTAAAACAATATTATTGTTCAGCTTGTTTCATTCATGTTGTTGCAGGTTAACACCCCAAAGCTTAGGTCGATTTAGCATGCATTGTAGGATCTCTGGAATAAACTCAAATGTATATATATAAAATGACATTGTATTTTCCTTCATTTCTTCAATGTGTACTTTATAAAGAGAATTATTACATACTGCTAGGTGCGCTGTATGATATCACTTGAGCTCTGAACAAAATTAAATGACTATCATGACGATAGAAACTATCTACTGCAAATTTGTCAGTAATAAATTTTATTTTGATTCATTCATTCAAATGAGTGGCATCGTTTTAATACACTTTTCTTCTTCAGAATGTTACACTCCGTAAGATGACCTAAAGCACAGACAAACACTCGCATTAGGAAGTGTTTTAATATACCTCTACCTATATCATTAAAATCTTGACACAAATGGTACAGAATTATAAAGAATATAAATAGGAAGATGTCCTTTATTGGCAGGTGGTAACTAAAGCAGGGTTGACTGTACAGTACTTGTCTTGTGCATTTTTAAAACTTAGATAATTTTGCTACATATGATACATGAGCCAGTTCACGTTTGATAACAAAATTAAACCCAAAATAGAGATTTTAAGAACATTTATTCCTTCAAATTCATTTGCATCAGTATTATGACACAGGAAGCTCTTCACAGCACATTAAATACATGGACACTTGTACTTCAATCATAAATTGTCACATACAATGAAGAAATAAATAGATTGTGATGTCTTCTGAAATATACCAATAAAAACCTAAATAATGAAGAAATGAGAAGAAGTAGACACCACTCTTAAAAAGAGCGAAAGAAAAACTACATACCGGTAATAGAAGGATAGCAATGGACAAAGATACAAGTATCATAGGTATTGAAAGGTTATAACTTTTTGAAAGTTAAAAATATATTATAAGGAATTTATAAGTTTATAATACATCTGTAAAGCACTTAAAGACATCTTTGACGTATTAAGCACTATATAAAAGCGGAATTTTTTTATAATCAATCATAGAAATTTCAATATCATCGCAAAAGAAATTAAAAATTTTGATGGCAAGGATTAAGAAATCATAAATACTATAAATTGCTCCTGGTGCTTCAATATCGCATTTAAGCCACAGAAGCAAATACATTTACTTCACCACAGGTTTCATTTGAATTCTGGACAATAATTTTACCTCAAATTCACCTCCATTAATCAAAGCAAGTCTGAAGTGCCATATTAAATGTCAATGAAAACTACAGACGATTCACCTACATGTACTCAAAACAAAATAATCTGCTTAAGAGCTAGAAGGGCATTAAATCCCCTTTTTTTTACACTCGGACTTAACACCCTTCTGACTCTGTGATATTCTTACAGCCAGAAGGTCGTTAACTCCTTTTCTTTCACACAATTAATAACACCCTTTTAACTCTGAACAGGCAATATATTCTTAATGCTAAAAAATCCTTTATCAGAATTAATAACAGCCTTATGGCTCTGAACAGATGATAGTTGACAGCCAGTAGGTTATTAACTGCTATTCTTTTCCACAGAGTTAATAACGCCCTTCTGGTTCTCAACAGATGATGTATTGGATGGGATGTGTTGTCATTGAAAGCACTTCAACATAAATAGCTCTAGAACAATGCCCTAGTTTCTATACATTCAATATTATCATATTCTTATTATCATACTATACATTCTTATTATCATACTATACATTATTTGTGTATCAAGCTAAGTAGAAGGGCATTGGCTACAGCACACAATTACACAGCAACATTACTCCCTGTTGTATTTCAGGTCAAAATATTGCTCAAAACAATTAATAATTCAATCACAACAAATCTTCTCAAAACTCCCTAAACAAATTAGGAACATAGTGTATTAAATGCGTAAAGTACATAACAATATATCACAAGCAAATTTATAGTAATGGTATACTATGCATAAATATGGTTCATGTTTAAAGAGGTATTTTCTTTTTTTATCAGCGGTACCCAGGAATATGCTAGTTACATTATTGATTTAAATGTATTTGTACAATTCCACACCAAAAGGCTTCTTTTACAAACTATTATATAAGTTGCTTCTGACTATATTGCTGTTAGACATTAAATTACTTTCAAACATATACTTCTGCATAGAAAACCGTAATGCCTGTGTTTTGTGCATCTTAAAGAAAAGAATATGACAAGTTAAACATGAAACGAGGTAAAGAAAAAATATCTTATATGTCAAGTAATTCCACAAATAACACCACTTCAAAATAAAAATAATGGGATTTATAAAATATGTACTCGTCCACAGAAATGTCCTCCCACCCCACCCCCCCCCCCCCCCCCCCTCCCCCCAAAAAAAATGATTGGAAACCCTGTTTGGACTAAACATGTAAAATGTGCTATTTCAGGTACAGACATAAAATCATTAAACAATACTCCAAGAGAAGGACATTTTCTTCATCAAGAATAACCATTAAAAAAATTTAAATATCCTGCTGGCAGCAATAAACATATCTGTATTGTCTCCAATTTGTAATGAAAACAAAAGACTTTCTCTTTGAATGAGCAGGAGATTGTCAAACAACAGCAATGTTTTTTTTAATGTAAAACAAATAATCTCTTTACAAAATCAGTGTCCAACTATACAGATTTCATACACACAAAAAATAATTCACACACTGAAGAAAAAAAATCCAGCATACTAAGAGTTATATGTAGCACCAAGCCACCGGCAAAACTAGTTTCTTTATAGGACCTCTTTTATATGATGCTGTTATCCACTTACACTAAAAGCAAGGGTCTCTTCTCTCAGTTTAGTCTACAAAATTACAGATTCCATCTGTTCGGAACCCATACATTTCAACATAGAGTTACAGAACCCTTCTCACAGAACCCTTCTCGTTCCAAACGGATAGTTTAAACTCAGTAGGGATCTTACTCTATTTAATGGCCAGTGGTATGTTGCACTGTTGTAGTCGAGTCTGGCCACAAGGCCATATTTGTGGGGGGGGGGGGGGGCTTCATGTTCGTAGCTTTTCATTGGTTGAGCGGTTTGCCAGCGAGTTATGCAAATTTACATGCATAATTCTGAACCGCACCCTACACAAGGTTTTCTGCAATGCAGCTATGATTTACACGACGTTTTCCAGCAGGAAGTCAGCTCAGTTTTGGCAGTTTTTTGGTATGAGTGAGAGAGTCTATTCAGAATCATTTGCCTATGTGTCCTAATTGACTTCTAATAACAGTGAGTTTCCGAAACAACATGTAACCATCCATTATTCACATGAAAACAAGACAATAAAATGCATGAGCTTATTTCCATTAATCAATTAAACCTGTCAAACTGGAATTGTAGAGAGTAAAACCCTGTAAAAAAAAGTGCAACTGAATTCCACTTCACTCCAAGCGTGGTTTCTGCTGCTGTGTCTTTAAAGCAACAGCCACTCCACTTTCCAGTAGTGCAAAATGTTAACCCCAAACCTGGATGACAGAGAGTAATCTCCCTGTGAAAATGAGCCATTGGCACGTACAATGTTATGCTAAGATAAGAGTGTTCACCGCAACGACTTCCCTCCACTCTCGTCAAGACAATCCAAAACTGGATTCATAGAGTGCAACCACATCCAAATAAACAGTTCTCAGCAAGTTCAATTCTACTCTGAGGGGGAGCTTTCACTGCGGTGCCTTCGTAGCCGGAGTCCCTCCACTTTCTTCCTGATAGAACTGTGGGTTGACCCAGAGGCATCGACTTCGACCTCGACGTCGTCTTCGCTTGCATCTTCGCTGGAGATCTCGCTCCCGATGACCGTACTGGGAGCCGAGGCGGACCGCGTCACTGTTTCGCTGTTCGTTGCGTTGGGAACATCCGATGAGGGGTTCATTTCCGAGGCAGATTCGGTTCCGATGCCATCCGTTTCCATGCCGACGTCGGTGTCACCCGTACCTTCTACTCTTGCATAGTCAACCTCATCTGTAGGTGATGCAGAAAATGTAAAGAGTCATCATTCTTGATTCAAACCAGGGGGTGTTTCACAAAGATCCTAAGTTGAACTTAAACATTATGGAGAGCCATTTTTGTAGCCTTAAAATACAATATATTCAAAAGCGAAAATTAAACTTTTTGTAAATTCCACATCAAGAGCATAAAATCTACTTGATAAAAATTATTTAAATCAACATTTTATGCCTTTTAAAATGACTTAAAAATAATATTTTCAAAGATGCTAATGGCTTTCCATAATTTTTATGTCCAACTTAGAGATAAGTTCAACTTAGGATCTTTGTGAAACACCCCCCAGGGCATGTATTGTCTCCTGAGAGCCACAAGGGCATTAACTCGTGTAGTAATAGAGCCCTTCTGGTTCTCAACAAATTAGTTCAGTTGCTTTAAAGGGATCGGGAATCTTTGCTTCAGATTCTTAACAAAATCCTGGATTTAGCTCACGCTGCAATCATATTTAGAAACCTTTAGGTCAGTCAGGAATTCCATGTCTGCATTATCAAGATATTTACTTTTGGAATTAGAAATGTCAAAAAACTGTTTGCCAAACAATTTTGGACAGTTTTTTATAACATTGGGGGAAAATCAGTATCGGTATGGTAAAACTGAACACTTTAAGATTTTTACTTTTTTGAAGCATTTCAAGATCAATATTACACCATATCACTGACATTGATAAGACGTAGGGTCAGGCATCTCAGATTTGTTGCTACAGCACATCTTTGGAAAACCTGTCAGCATATATAATTATAAGTATAAGTAAATAATTTATTGTCCACAATACTGGGAAATAAATCTTCCATTGGTTAATACATAATACATGAAAGTCTATAGGATTGAGTGATGGATAGGAATATTTTACAGACACAGAACCCTGTATATGGGGCTTAACCAAGGATTCTGAGTTACCTGGGTCTGGAATGGCTTGTTTTTGAGGCTCCATCCTGGTCACTAGCGCTGCTAGGTCAGTGAAACGAGGATGCATGTTGGGTAGACCAGGCTAGCATTTCAAAAATGGTAAGAAAATCATACAGTTTTCAAGTCAAAATAAGTTATGCTTGTGATGGAAAGAAACAGATACAGAATATACATGACAAATAACACATTGTCAAATTAATAGAGTAATTTTACTACTTCAGAGAAAAAAGAGAAGTGCGTTTACCTTTTATTCTGTTTCACTCGATTTAGGCACTTCGTACTTTGATTAATAAATACAGTTTATAAATTGAAATCTGATATACATGTAAGGCCTTCTTTTTTTTTTACTAATAAAAGGAAGAAAAAGAGAGGTTGGTGTATATGTAAAGTTAACGACTAAATTATTCATACCCCTTGTCAATTTGATGTTGTATGTTTTCGTAACTCAAGAGTGACAAGCGGACTGGCTGAATTAGGACCTTTGTTGAGTACTTTGAGATAAAAGCTTTGATATCTCACATTCTAAAGAAACAAAGATCTGGGCAAAGCAATTTTTCACATACTTGAAAAAAATGACAAAACTTGGTAAGGGTATGACTAATTTAGTTGCTAACTGTAGATATTAGATAAATGACGCAATCATGCAAACAAAAGAATTGTCAAGAGAAAGACCAGTTTCAATAAGCCCTTTTTTCAATGACAAATGACAAAAATCAGTGCCAAATCTGCTGATAACCAATCAAAAGCAAGGATTTCACTAGCTTATAACAGAAACTGTCATTTGTCACTGATGACAAGTTTTGTGAAACGAATCCCCCTGAGCCCATTTCACAAAACTTGTCATCAGTGACAGATGACAGTATTTTTTATAAGCTACTGAAATCCTTGCTTCTGATTGGTTATCAGCAGATTTAATTGTCACTGATTTTTGTAATTTGTCATTGAAAACAGGGTTTTGTAAAACACCCCCCTGATATTTCAAACACATCCATCTCACATACCTTTCCTCGCTTGTGAAGCGTAGAGGATTTCTCCGAGAGTAGAGCTTGGAGGTATCCAGACTTCTTCCAGCCACTGAATACAGTCATCCCATGATGGTAACCGACCTCCATGATCTCACGATGACGATGGAAGGCCAAAGTAGCAAAGCTGGGTAGAAGAAGGGAAGAGAAGGGGAACAGAAAACATGCAGTCAGTGGGTTACAGAGGGAATTACACTGTTTTTCACCCATAGCTGAATGAGAGAGATAGTTGTGACATGCACACACACACACATACACAATCAATTCATTGAGTTCCAAATGAATGAGTGAGACTAGAACACAGTGAAGCACAGAAATCTAACTCATCAATTGGAGGCTTAATATTTGGCACAGTAGGAACTACAACAAAGAAAATAATACATATTTGTATAATAATAAATTATTCATATTGTTTCCATGTACTTTCCACATGATTTTATGCATATTCATTATTATACTCATGTTTTGTAAAACAAATTATTCATGTACCATGCCCCAATGAAGTCCCTAATGAAGACAAACAAATGAACATGTCCTGCTTTGACATCACAGAACAACAACAACAACAAATAGAAGGGACAACGCCCTAGTTGGCTAAACAGTTCCCTCCCATAGAGATTGTACATGAGAGGGAACTATTTGGAGCTCCCTGAATTGATGTTTGATCAAGTACTTTGCACTTGTGAACTTTCCTAATAAAGCCATACAAATAAACATATCCTGTTTGGACATCACATAACAACAACAACAATGATTCAAGCTCTATTTGCTTATGTTTCATCACCTTTGTGTGTTCATTCTTTAAACTGTATAATAGTTGCAACTTGTTTTTGATGAAACATTGTTATATTCTTTTTCATGTGAAGTCAATTTAAATGGATTGTAAAATTGAAAATGATTTGTTATATCATATTCTTTTTCATGTGATTTTAACTCCAATGAATTGTGAAATTGTGAACATTCATAAATAAATAAATAAATAAATAAATAGAAGGGCCTAGACCTTACTTGTTGATGGGTGGCCGCATATATTCACAGTAGGAGCTATTCTTCACTTCGTCAAGCATCTTCATAGAGGATACATAGGCCAGACGGGACTGGATCTCATCAAGGCTGGGTACCTGATACCACAAATGTTCATAAGAAAACAATGAGTTTAAGAAAAAAAAACCATAAGTTTGTTTCATGCTTTCACAGTACTACCCCTTGAAAGAATCTTTTCCTTGTAAGCTACAATAAAATATGCCTCTGGAAAATGTTTAAAATTTGAGCATTAATACTCTTAAGAAAATAAAATCCAATAGATTTGCTGTCTTGTCTTATGTGATAAAAAACTCTATAGGAATTTCATTCAAATAATGCATAGCATATTATTATTATTATTATTATTATTTTATTTGGCAAGTCAGGTCACATAAATACAACAATATAACAAACATGAATTGAGAAAAAATCAATAGAAAACATATATAAATATTGTAATAGCAGGTGCATCCGGTCAATCTGCCCGGGTATGGAAAAAGTTAACCTCATAACTATGATCTGCAGACCTTCCTCCCCAAACACCAAAGGAATATTCATAGTTTCCTTGACTTACCCTAACTGGTTCTGTCCATGGATTCCATTTCTTCCACAGCAGCCACCATCCGGACAGCTCATCACCATAGTTAGTAATACTGGAGGTGTCCTCACTGCCTACGTCAATGGCTATGATGGTAGGAACCCCCATCGCACGCATGATGTCAGCTACAATGTAGGATGATATCAAACAATACATTTTGTTCAAAATGATTGTATAATTTAATAGCTTGATTATTTTCTTCTCCCAATCTCGCTCGAGATTAGCCCTTGATAGGCCTTCAGCCTTTTCTAGTCCCTCCACATATAGATTCAAGATTTAAGATTCAAGATTAAAGATTCAAGATAATTTATGTCATGTAAAAAATACATACAATTTGTTTTCGAATATTTGAAGGTGCATACATGTAAATAAATAGATATATATATATATGTACTCAATTATCATGTTATCTATCGTTGATTACTGCCTGCATGTTTTTATTTCTTTTGTAATATTTCAATTTTTCTGTATTGTTGGAGGCGCTATAGCTCAGTCGGTAGAGCAGTGGTCTCGTAATGCGGTGACCTGAGTTCGAAACAAGGCGATGGGCTAGTGCCCTTTGGTAAGGCATTAATCCTCATTACCAGGTCCATCCGAGAGGATCTACAGCCGTCGGCCGTCTGGTTGCTTACTTACAAGCATTTATGCTCTCTTAGCAGTCAGGTAAAATAACAACCACCACCAACCACCACATTTTACGTTTTTTATAAGTTTTTGGAAAATAAATAAAATGAATTGAATTGAAGTGAATTGCATTGATATAAACCAGTTTATCAAAGTGTATGAACAATGGGAACTGTACATAAAGACCACTAGAGGGAAACAGGAAAGCCATCTTAGAGATAGATGGTCTTTCTGTACAGGAAACTTTCCATACAGACAGTTTATAAAGCAAATTTCAATGATTCAACTCCATGTGTCATCTCAGAACCATTAAAGATGACATTAATCATCTTTTTACAAATGACAGCATTAGAATATCTGTATTAAAAATGGAATTTGTCTTGGAAAAGTATTGGGCTCCCCACAGAAGAGCTTTAGGCATCAAATCACCACACCTCCTACATGTAGGTGATCATGCACATTCAATTCTAAAAGGAAATTGTTTTTCTCTTAAGAATACTAAAACTAGGCATAAAAAGGACTTTGGTTATCTTTTCCTAAAGCATATATGTACTGTAGCACAGCCCTTGGCTGCCTAATATGGTAGTTCTTGCATCTATTTATACTAAATGATGGCTTTCTCCTTGTAAATAATGAAAAATTGAATATCTTTACCAGGCAAGTTGTTGACATAGCCACCGTCCAGCAGTAGATGGCCGTCCTTTGGGTCACACAGAGGTGGCAAATACCCTGATAGAGACATGCTTGCCCTGACATAGCGCCATAACGAACCTGGATAGCATAATACAAACAGAATCACAATGGTAAGAGTTCGGGCCTGGGTAACAATGTCTAGGCAAGGAGGGAGCAATTGCAGGTGCATTCAAAATAATTTCTTAACTCCTTCTCTCTACCTCCTCTGTACCCTCCTTCTTCCTTTCTCCTATCATACTCCCTCCTCTCTCCCTATCTCTGTTCCTCCTTCTTTTCTCTCCCTTAATCCTCTCTCTCACTTCTCCCCCTTACCCTTCTTGACGCTTTCCCTCTCCTCTTCCTTCTCCTAATCGAGCACCTCCTTCCAACCACCACCACCACCTTCCAACCACCACCACCACCTACACAACCACCAACACAAACATCATCATCATCATGACTACCAATATCATCACCATTACTGCCATGACGATCATCCTCATCATTTCCACCAACATCATCATCACTTCTACCACCATCACCACTCTCATCACCACCACCACCATCATCACCATCTCTCGTGTTCTTACCACTGGTGTGTAACCTGAGTGCATACTTGGTGATATCTGTTGATATGGTGAAGTATGGCAGCCATAGATCCTCTATCTGTTTATCACCAAACAGGTCACTTATGCTCTTGTTGAAGTTGTGACCTGTATATTTCCACCCCAAAAATATAAGCATTCACATGAATTACTTTACATGAAATAATGTACTTGCATGTGTCTCGATGTAGGTTTACTGTGATGGTAACTACAGTGTTGCTTTGATGTATACCAGAAAGATTTCCTATGTTTAAGGGAATATCTTTGAATGCTACATAAGAGTTTTAACTCCTTTCATTTTCTACCATCTAAAGAGCAGATTGATTACCAAATCCACAGATATGTTTAGTATGCATTTATGTACAAGCATTCACTATTGCAAATACATGGAAAGAAACACAAAGCAGAAACAAATTTTAGACAGAAAGTGGGACTGACATATGGACATAAAGACCACCTGACAACATAAGCCTCCACAACCACCTTACAAAAAAAAAAAAAATCTTGATGTAACTGATCAGCAAAAGTCATTGACCTTTCAAAAGTACACTGACCTGTGAACATGGCAGTAGATGGGTAGGTCAGGTCAATGACCCGCTTCCAGAGGGAGCCAAAGTCCTTGCAGAATCCCTGCAACCTCTTCTCCATGATGGTGCTGTTGACATCCTCGGCGTAGAGCGCCGAGATGAGGGCCCCGATGCTGACCCCGCCCACGATGTCGATAGGGATGCCGTACTCCTCCATCGCCTTGATGATGCCAAGCTGGGATATACCCCTAATATAACAAAGACAGAGATGGTATTCATAATGATAGCAACAGTAAAATTGTTAAAGGTATGACAAAGTTTTGATATGGGGTTATGAATTTGGTTCAAATGAACATATTGGAAGCATATGCGATTTTACAATATTCAATGATCGTTGTCTCGGTTGAAATCGAGTCTAAAGTGATGGAATCGTAATAATAAACTCTTTTGTATAGCGCCCTCTCAAGACTGATATTACTTTAGCTTTAAAACAATGTTTCTGGACTACAATCAACCGATTTGCTATTCCCTTTTGGAAATTATATATCAGAACTGTATATTCTGAGATTTTCATGGTCGCAGCTACCATGGAATGGCCTTAGGCGCTATTTGAAATATTTGAAATTTACTGGGAGCACCGGTAATTTTGTCATTATTCAATTACTCTAAAGCAGAAGAGTTTTAGGGGCTAAGTTTCCTAGTGCTTATGATACATCCACAGGGGCATCCAAATATATCAACATTTCAAAGAATTACTATCCATCCAATTTTCAAAACTTTGCATTACCTTTAAGGTGTAAATAAGGCAAGCACTTATTTCATCAAATACAATTTTCAAGCTCAGAGAGGCATTGCTTCAGATAAAAACTAACCATTATCACTGTGTTGTATGATCAAATTTACTCAAGTAAACTACTACTTGAGAATGAAGTTTATATCATCCAAACAAATAATTTGAAAGTGAGGTGTATCCCACTTTAAATATCTTTTAAGCAATTGCACAACTCAAGGGGTTATTCAACACAAGCTCCTGCGAAAAATTGCTCAATGTCTATAATGTCCCACACTTATTATATTCTTCAACTTCAAACCTAAACCCAACAATGTACCTAACCCTATGCCTTTGCCAAAATAGAGCCTGAGGTAATTGTCCCAGGGACTAATGTCTGGTCACTGAAAGACTTGATTAGAGGCTAAGATTGTCCATTCCCTGTAAAGCCCTAGCTCAGAGGTTGTAAACAATAGATTTTTTTCAAGTAAACTCATCTTCTCTTGATTAGAAAGCGGCCTCCAATATGTATTATCCTCTACTTGAGGTTTAAGGTTTAAGGTTTATTTGTTTATTTGTTTGTTTATTTGTACCAAGGGACTTGGTAATAATCAAAGGGCAATAGCGCACCGACTTGGTTTAGAAACCGGGACCTCCCGGTTACGAGACCACTGCTCTACCATCGAGCCATCACGCCTCCTCATTGCTCGCCCTCTTACCTCGCACCACCCCCGCCGAGAACCAGACCAATGGATGTACCCGTCAAGAAGCGTGCCAGCCGGGAGAAGTCGGACATGGTATCTGCCTTGGTGTCAAAAAGCCGATCGTAGGTCTCTCGTACCCTTGCAGGAGAGCGCTTACTGAACATTCTTTTTGGGCACCGGATATGATGGTGAGATACACACCAACCTCTGGCATTCAGCCACTCTGCAGTTCCACTAGGTGGCCTGTAAAAAACAAAATTAAGTCAAGTGTCACAGATGTTTTTCTTTGATTTTTGTGTATTCATGACATTTAATTGAAGTGTCACAGTTTTTAGTTTTTTATTGTTGTGTATTTAGACATCTAATTTACTACAATGGCCTGCAAAAACAAGGTAGATTAAAGTGCTATGAACATGACATTTTGTATACTGAACATTCCGAAGCCTACTCTAAAAAGAAAAAAATCAGCCTGACCAGAATTTTGACAAATGCACGAGACATCCATTTTAAGCGAAAGGCCTCCTCCTTCCTATTTTCTTCAAAAAGCAAATTGTAAATACGTTTTCTCTTTCATTTTGGTTATTTAATCTAGGACTTAAAATGATGGCTTCCATATAAATGATATTCTCCTCCATGTGTAGAAGAATGAGAACAGAATGGTAACATATCCAGGACTTGGAAAGAAAACAAACAAACAAACTTACTTATAGATACCATCTTTCTCTCTGTGTAGTAGGATGAGTTCTTTCTGTGCCCTGACAGCCAGAGCCTCTAGCTGCGTCTCCATCTCACTCACGTTGTTTGGATCTCGGTCAGCGAGAGCTACAATCAAGATGCAATCAGCCTGGGATGGAGATTTTTATTTTTTTAAGATGGATAAAAAAAGGGTTACTCACATAGTGGCTGACTTCCAAGCTGTTGTGGTTATGAATATATTGTCAATTCCCATGACTCAAGATTCTATAGCAAATAAAGAATAGCAAAATAATATTACTTAAACATACTACCAGTTTTCAATATATTTTGGTGTGGTATTTAAAATAACCCTGACAATTTTTTCATTTTATTTGGCGGGGGGGGGGGGGGGAATGTAAGTTACTGATGAATAGTAAGTAAACAAAAATAATGTCTATTTTCAATAAGAATAATAAGAATATAAAATCTATTAGTGCCGTGGGTATTAATAACCATGAAGTCATAAGTATAATAATAACTAAAGGAGTTATCACATGTCATGTCATTGTTGTCATCCATATATTATTGATTTCCATCAACTTTTGGACTTGTTATTAATGTATTGTACAAAATTACAAAAGAATCTTTCAGAATTTTTTTTTTTGCTGCACTCCCAGCAATATAGATCAGCCACACAATCTGCATCTAAACACCCGCAAATCAGTCAGTGGGATCACTGAAGAATAGAGACGACAACAAACCTGTCTAATACATCTCTGTGTCCAAGCAGTCATTCTCTTGTCGGCTTGATAGAGGACAATGTTATGAAGATCCTCCTGCTGACCGAGCCAGCTGGTCAAACGATACTCATGGACACTAAGAAAAGAGAATCAAAATATTAAAATTATCTATGAGAAATTTTTAAAGAATATTTGAAAATTGTGTAAGTTTTGATTTGGGTATTGCATGATTACGGTAACCAAGGGCGTCTAAAGGAATGTAGATATGCATATTTAGAACCAATGAAAAACTATTTGAGTAATCACAGAATTGTTTAAGAATTTTAGATACCTGAATTCAAACATGTATATACATAAATACATTAATACATTCAAAAATACATTCAAAAATACATTCAAATAAAATATTCATTGTAAAAGCCTGAACATACAAAGGATAGCTGTTATTCCTACTTCATCACTGAAACTCTGATCACTTTTAGGGTCTCTGGACTGTTGAGAGCCAGAAGGTCGTTACTTTACATTAAAGAGTATGAGTTAGTGCTTTTCTAGCTCTAAACAGATGACATCATTTGTTTGTGATGTGAATAGAAAGAACTAAAGATAGATAAATAGATTCTTTTATTGATCCATATTTATAACATAAAAAATTGGCCTCCACTGGCAGCACATAAACAAAATACAATGTAGTTAAAAATAATTGATAAACACAGGTGTATATGTCACATAATGTATATAAATTCACACAAGAGTCATGACATTAACAAAACAAAAAAATGTAGTTACCTGTCAAGAGCTGAACCTCCTAATGTCTGGAGGATGTGCTCCTTAGTAAGCCTCAGAACAGAACCTGTGATAGGGTAGAAACAGGTTTGACAGGTAATTTCATACTTCCTTACATCTTTATCCTTTTATCATTCTTCTTTGCTTATTCTTCCTTTTATCAATACATTGTTTGTTCATTCTCTCATGTTGTCACAACCATTTACTATTTCTGTAACACTTGTATCTTACTACACTCCAAAAGAGTTAAGTTGCTCTAACTCCTTTCACTGCTTCATCTCTTCCATCTGTAGAAGGTATTCACCCCCCCCCTCCTCTCTCTCTCCATCTCCCTATTTTTTTCTCATCTCTTCATGTCTAATCAAACCCCATCCCTCTATACACTCATGACCAGGTCTTTTTCAACCTCATTATAACCAATACTTATAACCAATACTTCCGTACTTTAATTTCCTATTTCCCTCTCCTCTAGTCCACAACCACTCAACTACTCATCTCATACATCCCATCATACTCCCAAGAATACTCGCCAACTTTCCAAACTACTAGGTCAAAGTTCATCAATGGAATAGCACAGCAGCTAATTTCTCATCATTTCAGGTAATAGACCTATGTCCAAACATATTCAAATTTTATGCATACTTTTTAAACAAAGATTGTTCTTGACAACCTGAAAGCTTGCCTGAGACCTGCCCAACCTAGCAACAAGTAATGTATGCAGACTGGATTCCAAATATTGTAGTTCATACATGAATAACAGGTTAATGGAATAATTTGTTGCTAGGTCTTGTTCTTGACAACCTAAAAGCTTGCCTGAGACCTGCCCAACCTAGCGACAAGTAATATATGCAGACTGGATTCCAAATATTGTAGTTCATTCATGAATCACAGGTTTATGGAATAATTTGTCGCTAGCCTGAGGTCGCCAGAAACATCCCTGAATTTGAATATGTTAGATAACTGGTCTATTTCTCGTAGAGCAGCACTTACCCACAGCACTGAGAGAATGTGTCAGCTCCAGGGCAAACCTAGCCAGAGGTACGTCATCGGACCCGGGGATCAGGGCCACGGTGGACAGGTTCTCAACTGTGGTCCTTCTCTCTTCAGCTACAGAGAGATAGGATGCAAAACACTGGATTCATCACACTGTCATATTTCTACAATTCAGTCTACACGTAAGTTGATTCAATGGCATGGATATGGAGTTGTGATGGCTCAGTTTTACAGCAGGTGGTACGTACTGTAACCAGGGCCCCATTTCACAAAACTTGTCATCAGTGACAAATGACAGCTTTTGTTATAAGCTAGTAAAATCCTTGCCTCTGGTTGGTTATCAGCAGGTTTGTCACTATTTTTTTTCATTTGTCATTGAAAAAAGGCTTTGTGAAATGGGTCCCAGGAGAGTTGTGGATTCCAATCCAACTCAATGTGCTAATGCCCTTTGATAAACCATCAATCCCCAATTGTCAAATCCCTCAAAAAAGACTTCCATAAATGGATGGAGGCACTCTTGGAGATCGATCTTTGTAGGGAACCTTTTCCTTCGAAATGTTTCATGGTAGGAACAAAAATTGACATTTCTCACTTGTAAATGTCCACTGTTGTGGGTTTTATTTTCTTCTTGTTGCAGTGCATAGAAATACAAGTCAGCGATATGCACTACTTGAATAGGGAATCATTTTCAAATCATCCCCATAATATCATATTCTAACAAAAACATCACACTGACTGCAGAAATCTTGCATTGTTTTGATTCACTCGAGCAGCCCAAAACATAGATCTTTATGTTTATTAGACTGATACACCCACTTACCCGTCAACTTGGTAGAGCCCATTTTTTCCTCGACCTGACCCAATAACCTCTGACCTAGGATCTCAATCAGACGGGTCACAGTGTGTGGGAACTTCCTCTTGATGAGGTTCAGCATACCAGTGGGTAGCTTGGCCAACTCGGTGTCTCTAAGGAGAGCAAGGAATAGACAGAGGGTTGGGTGACCACAAAAAAAAGGGAGTTTACATGTTTTCAATAGGATTACCACATGGTAATGAAGTGCAGTCTGTTAAAAATGTTACAGCAGAGTGAGCAGACTAAAAGAATACAAATTATACAATACTTAATTTTTTTATTTGAAAATTCAACTCTTAAAGCCACTTCTCTCTTGTCATATGTATACAATGATTTTATCACCCTTAGAATCTATAAATCTAGCACTCTCTGTTATACAATGAGGTTAACTGTTTCCAATAGCTTTGAAAATGCCAACATTTGAAAGGTATCATGATCCTGCTAGTAATATATAATCTGTACAATCCCATACATTTCATTATGCTTCCCCCGCCCTGTCCCATAAGTTATTCCATTAACCTGTTATTAATGAATAAACTACATTACTCTCAATTCAGTCTGCATATATTACTTGTTGCTATATGAGACAAGCCTCGGGCAAGCTTTCAGGTCATCGAGAACAACAAGAAAGTATGCATAAAATTTGAATATGTTAGTATACTGGTCTTTTGATTTTAGGACTTGGTTTCAATTAATCACAATATATAGGGTCCACACATCTCTTCAAATTTAGCACTACGCTTGAGTTAATTCAATCTGCTTCCGAATAACACCAAACTACAGCATTTCTTACACCATCATGCTTCTCCACATACCCAGAACATCCACAGTGAGAGATGACAATGCTTTTCAATCATATTCACCCTGTCTCTGGAATCAACTGCCCCGGAACATCCGTTCAGCACCCACGCAAGAAATATTAACGGAGCACTTGAGGACGTATTTATGTAACTGATTCTCTGACTTTCATACCCTGTAAAGCGCTGTGAAATCGATTGTGTGAGAGCGCTATGTAAATGGACATATCGAGGGTTCAGTGACACAAAGACGTAAGTCCATATCTTGCCAAAATTAGTATTTGATATCAAAATGTTCAGAAAAATGTGGGCTTTCCAGGGAACACAAAGACTTAACTCTGACCATCACCAGATTGAAATCAATGGCTAGTAAAACATAGACTTAACTCCTTAGAGCCCAAGTGCTCAGTGACACATAAACCACTTTTTCTCAAAATGGCTTTTACGTCTTTGTGTCACTGACCCCTCATTATTAAATTATTACATTTCAACCCGTTCTCCTTACCTGATGGCATGCACCGTCGTGACCCTCTCCTTTAAGGTCAACACCTCTACGATACCCACGATCTCCCCACGCCCAAACTCTCCCATCAGTTCCCTCTTACCGGATGGGAGCTGGACCACTGACCTCAGACGACCATTCAAGACGATGTAGGTGCACTGAGATTGGTCCCCTTGCCTAGAATAATAGAAAAATAAAAGAATAAGACCAGGGACCTACAGTGTATTTCACAAAGCCTTTTTTCAATGACAAATGACAAAAATCAGTGACAAATCTGCTAATAACCAATCAGAAGCAAGGATTTCACTAGCTTATAACAAAAACTGTCCTTTGTCACTGTTGACAAGTTTTGTGAAATGGGGCCCAGTTGTCTTTAGAAAAGCATAATCAAGCCATTTGACATACTCATAACATTTATGTTGACGTTGCCTAATCGCGACTTCTGCCACTGCTACCAGCCCTTGCTCACATTTCTATCTATTACCACCATTACACTAAGGTTTGTCCTGGTCATCCCCATCCCTTCCTTTCTTTGTCATTTTCAATCACTCTTCACTCGTTCTTGTCATCCAAACCCTTTCATTTTTCTTGAACAAATGATCAAGTCATCTCAAACTTTTCAATTCAATTCAATTCAATTCAATTCAATTCAATTCAATTCAATTCAATTCATTTCAATTCAATCCAATTCAATCCAATTCAATCCAATTCAATCCAATTCAATTCAATTCAAACAGTGATTTATTTTTCTCGCAGCATAAGCCTGAATTGCACATGTTTTGTAAATACAAGGTATATAATCATTCAAACCGGTCACCACTTTCAGATCATAACCACAAAAGTAAAAAAGCAGAAAGACTAGGCAGCTGAGGGGTTTTTAAGGTACAGATAAACATTTCACCTGTTGATTTTTCTGTGGCCCTTCACATACTCTAGTCCTTTTACTATTTCTTAATTCTTATCTCAAATTATATTTTCCCTTCTTCTTCTCCTTTTGCTAGGGCCGGCACAACTAAGATTTACAATCTTTAACGCTGGCCCTTACTCAACCTGTTCTTTATCTGGATGTATATATTGTCAATGCCTCGTTTTGTATTGTTTCGTTTCGTTTTGTTAAATTTCACTGTATACTTGAATGACTTACATGTTCATTCTTTTTTATCGAGTAAAACAAATAAATTCAAAATCAAATTTGAAAAATTCTTGAGATCTGTACAATATTAAAAAGTAAAATTTTATGTTGACTTACCTGTACACTGCTTTACCAGCTTCTAGTTGCATCCAATCCAAAGCAAAGTCTGTCTGCCTCACAAAGGATGAGAGCTTCTTGACCACCTGATGACCAACCTTCAACACTACCTGGGGATATTCCCTCATGATACTAGATGAATAAAAGAGATAGATGGATGGACTGTCACTGAATGTTAAATTGTTAAGCTCTTCATCTTTCATCTCATTTTCCGATACCCCTCTCTGAAAATCAATGTCTCTCCCTCATTCCTGTCTTTCTTCTATTTTCCCTCTCTCAATCTTTTTCCTTCTCTCTAACTCTATCCTCTCAATCTCTCTCTTTCTCTCTCTCTCTCTCTGTCTCTCTGTCTCTCTCAATCTTCTTCTCTCTCTTTGTCTCCCCTCCTCCTCCTCCTCCTCTCTCTCTCTATGTCTCTCCCTCCCCCTTCCTTCTTCCCACCCTCCCTTCCTCCCTCCCTCCCTCCCTCCCTCCCTCCCTCCCTCCCTCCCTCCCTCCCTCCCTCCCTCCCTCCCTCCCTTTTTCTTACCTGTAGAATCTTGTCTTACTGATAGCGATCACACAGCAGTCCTGTCTGGCTTTGACGGTGAAGAGAGCCGGTTCTCCGGTCAGTACGGCTAACTCACCGATCATCTCACCATGACTTACTACAAACACTGTACGTTCCTTTCCAGAAATCTCGTCAGTCTGCAGCATCAGGAATGATCCTTTCAATAAAAACATTAGGTTGGTTTCCTGCCAAGACAAAATACAAAAAAACAAAATAAATTACAACTTTGAACCTGACCAATGCACAGGAATCCATACATGGTATATTTGTTTAAAACAAAGTAATATCTACCGTGTGAGTCAAAAAAAAGTTTACACCTAGAAAATTGCTAATTATTTAAAAAAGTAATATATGAACAGTAAATTATTATACATCTTATGAAAGAGTGTTTTATTCCAAATCATTTGGTATCATTTTTGTGTGGTATGTGTTCACGCTTGGATAAACAGGAGGCATTGTTCGCGAGAGTGCAAAAGTCGACTCACACTGTATAGCAAACAGTATATAATATTTGATAATATTTGATTTGATCCTAGCCCAGGTTATATCGGATGCATTATTCAACATGTTGACATACTATTTTTTTTACAGTGCAGCTCTTTGGCCATTTCATTAATATATTCTTTTCTCAAAATTCAATTCTCAATAATATCTAGAACCTGCAAATATCTTTGGAGGTTAGGATACTTGTGTGTGACACTGCAACTAATTCATATCTATGCACATCTCAGCACTAAAGACATAGCTCTACATCATTTTCGCTACGATATGTTTATGCTACTTTACTTTCAATGGTATGTAGACATACTACTATTGATTGACCATTCATCTTATCATAAGACAATGTCCAGTCTTACCTGATCACCTTCCTTGACCACTACGCTGCCCACTGGGATGTGAGACAAAGCTATCTGATGGTCAAGCAGGGAGGTGTCCTGAAAAGTGATAGAGAGATAGAAAATGATATTCAAATTTATTTCATGTATCTATTCCAATCAACAAGTTATTTGGTATAGCATCTTTTCCTTGGAGTTTACAAAGTGCATCTCAAACACATACTATAGAGCATCATGACAATCAACAGTGCTTTGTCCAACAAAAGATTAAAGACCCCACCATCTTTGCCAACAAATGTCTCTAGAACTAAAGTAGTATTGAGTTCACTACTTCATTTCCCCATATCTATTTAATCAATAATCATTGAAATGACACCAGCCAATAAAGCTTCATGAAATAGTCATTGTGGCCTCTTTCTTTTCAAACGACCTTCCATGACCATGATTGGCCTCCATGGTATAGCCATGTATAATAGCTGCTAAAGCTAAAGCTACTATAAACATTTCCAAAGTTCATAATGACTTTTTTTGTCACATGTGATATACCATACAAAACCAAATTATTTTTCATTATCCTCATTTTTGTAATCTTGACCTAGAAATGTATAAAGAAATGACTTGAAAAAACAATAGATATTTCACTTCTACGTACATCACATGAACAGTCTCATTGCCACATTTCTTATGCTTTAACAAACAGGAAGGAAAAGATTTTTTCTGGTAAATCTTACTGGAAGTCCAAAAAGTGTCATCAGATCTCTCTTGGCCATCTCTAAGATTTCATCCTCCGAGTAGTCTTTCTTCTCCTCAGATGATCTCTCACTGACTCCCTCCAGGCTCATGGCTCTCTTACGCCCTCCTCCCGACTTGCTTGATGCTGCGGCAGCATTCTCTAATGAAATCTAACAAGAAACAAAAAACAGAAAACTACATTGCAACTGAAAAAGTGGTTGTACAATACATGGTCCTGTGACAATTACTCTGCGGTATTTTCCTACACTAAACAAATTCCTTATTTAAAACCTGAACCTAACACTATGCCAAACCCTAATCATAACCCTAAACATATCCCTAAAACCCATACTTTTTATGAAATAAAGCAATTAATGATTAATGGAGCAATTAATGTGGGAGCAAATGTCAGATTACAGAAAAAGGTAAACCACATAAATCACACCAGTGACGAATAGAAAAATGTTTTAGATACTTTATGAACTGCGTGAGCCTACTAGTTCCATAACCACTGCTTCTGTGCCAACTCATATCTTCCCATTTGTTTTATCACTCTCCAAATTCCAAATGTTTTTGGGGTACTTGGTTTTTCCTAAAGGAGGGTTGCAGAACTATCATAAGTTTTTATAACAATTCCTGACAGCATATTTCATTTTACTTCAAATTGTTTTCGGTTATTACAATTGATAGTTTTTAAGCATTCTTTTTTATTGGGAAGAGAAGAGGAGGAGGAGGGGGAGGAGAGAAGGGGAGGGGGAGGGAAGAAGGGGAGGGGAGAAGGGGAGGGGGAGGCGAGAAGGAGAGAAGGAGAGAAGGGGAGGGGAGGGAGAGAAGGGGAAGGGGAAGGGACAAGGGGAGGGGAGGGAGAAGGGGGAGGGGAGAAGGGGACAAGGTGAGGGGGAGGGGACAAGGGGAAGGGGAGGGGACAAGGGGACAAGGGAAGGGAGAGGGGAGAAGAAGAGGGGGGAATGGGAGGGGGAGGGCGGAGCATTCTCAACATGATGAATAAATGATTATCCTACTCTAGAATGAGTGCAGATGACTAACCTGTCTGAGTGGCTTGGTGTCATCTAGACCGGTGACCCTTGCTCTCCCTGCTGCGGCCTCAAAGTCTGATGTACTCATGCTCAGACGCCCTGTATCATCCACGTCCAGAGAGGTCGCTCTTCGCCAGTTACTGATCGGACCCAAGACACGAGCTAGTGAGGAATAGAAATATGGCAGAAGTTGAATATTAACTCACTATATATATATCTATCTATAAAGTATCTTCTCCCGGTTCGGAGGTTGATTGCAACATCTCTCCATTTCACTTTATCTTCTGCCATTCTGGTGCACTCTTGCAGTTTTAGTCCACTCAGTTCATGACATTCTCTTCCCAGTTAATTCTGGGTCTCCCTCTCGGTATATTTCCTTCCACTCTTCCTTCCAATACATCCTTTAAGAGGCTTTGGTGCCTTTTGACATGAACAAAGTATTTGATTTTACTCTCCTTCACTAATCCTACTAGCGCAATTTGTTTACGCCCTGCCATGTGCAATATCTCTTTCTTGGGTTTCATTCGTTTCCAGGATATTTTCATCATTCTTCTGTAAATCCACATTCCAAAAGATGTTATTTTATTTTCCATGGCCTTGCTTATTGTCCATGTTTCTGCTACTCATTATATGCCACACATTAATAATAATCTGGATTTTCTACAACGTTTAATACGAAATGAGCACTTTACAGATATCATTACCCCGGTCATCGGATTCATTAACGCACAATGTGCACCATCTCCAGTCCCTGGGGTGTATTCCTACCATATGGTCACCATGAGGGGATATGGCAATTAGTAACAAAAAGGCTTTTGTCATCCTATCAGGTCCCCATTTCTCTCCTGGGTATGGGGTGGCAGATGTAGATTAATGTCTTGCCAAAAGACATTAGTGCCATGTCGGGATTGAACCCACAACCTTTGAATTTCAAGTCAAGTGCTTAAACCACTCGACTACGACACCTCTACAATACTCTCGCTGCACCACATTGTCTTTATCATTGGATAGATTTACCAAAGGCTTCAAGATTATTTAAATTGTTTCCGGTGCAAGATCAATTTATACAAGTGCTAAAAGGGTTTTCATGGAGCTAACTTGTTGGGCATCCCATTGAATCTTTTGTTATAAAAGTAACACACATTTCTATGGGATGTCCACAAACTTAGACTTATGTCTGTTTACAGAAACTAGCCCTTGGATGATACTGACCTGATGGAGTAGTAACTGATCCTGACCTTCCCCTCTGTCTAAGGTCCCCGTCGCTCTCTTCCGCTGATAAACAAAACAAAAATAAAACAAAAGCTCTGTCAAAACATGAGACTTATAAACAGATAAACAGATCCCCATCGCTCTACTCAGCTGATAAAATATACATCACAAAAGCTTTGTCGAAATTTTAAAATTTCTATTGAGATTTCTGTCCTGATATCTACAGATGATGGTTTATTCATCCAATGCTTGTTAAGGAAGGAACAGTCACACAGTCTAATACCCCATTCACAGTGGTTTTGAAATTTGTAGCGGCGTTGTAGCGGAGCGGCGACACCGCCATAACACCGCTACAAATGCATTCACAGTAGAAAATTTATCCCGCTGCAGCAGCGGGATAAATATCATGTACCCATTCACGCTGCAGCGGGTGATTTTTATTACCTCCGTAACAAACATGTGTATGCATGGCTCATGACCCGCGAGTGACCCCGATATGACCGGAAATACTTCAGCGCGGGGTTTTCGATTGCTTGAAATTGCGCGCGCTAGCTGTACTTTACACACTCTTCCTCATGTAGCTAGCTCGATTTAGCTATGGATCTATCTATACTTTTACGCTTTTTGTATCCTCGATCATATTACTTTTTAAAAAACTAGCATTTTTATTGCTTCCAGTCAGAATATTTTAATTTTTTGAAGTGTGAAATATTTTTATTTGGATAATTATAATATCTACATAATAATAAAATCAATTTGAATCCACTGGTTACTTTATTTCTATTTCACTTTATGTTCCCCATTGCTGGAGAAAAGAGGTCAGTGATAGGTAAGTAAACAAATCACACGTGTTTGTCGCGGTGTTATAGCGGAGAGCCTTCACACTGAGTAAACACCGCGACAGCAGCGGGACTGTCCCGCTGCTGTAGCTAGGCGAACCTAGCGATAGTTTGTCGCGGCGTTATCGCAAGGCGGTGTTATCCCGCGATAGTTTATAACGGGTCCGAGCCTTCACACTGAAGACAACACCGCGACAGCAGCGGGACAGTCCCGCTGCTGTCGCGGTGTTTGAGGCCACTGTGAATGGGGTATAAGTTGTTAGTATTCTAATTGGCTGGCTCAACAACCCTATAGAAGAAATATTTCGAAAGACATGGTACTGTCGCTTCTCACCTGACTTGAAGACGTCGGTAGCCTCCTCCGCCATGCTAACTCTCAGGACCGTCTCAGCGCTGCTGGTTGAGAGGGCCGAGCTGGATCCCCCTGCTGTGGTTGCCGGTGTAGAGACAACGGACGTCTGTCTCTTGGTTGGACTGCCTGCTTTGCTGTTCATAGCGTGGATGGCTAAGGACTTGCTGCTTATATTGTCCTTGAATGAAAAATAACAACATTACAATGAAATGCTAAAGCACTACGTTATTATATATTTATTTCTGTATTGCAACCAAAACTTAAGGTTGGATTTCAAATAAAAATAAAAATAAAAAGAGATACATATATCGTTAGTATTGATAGTGGTGGTTATTTTACCTGACAGCTAAGAAACCAATTAATGCTTGTTAGTAAGCAACCAGAAGACCAACGGCTTAAGGTCCTCTCCGAGGGACCTGGTAATGAGGATTAATGCCTTACCAAAGGGCACTAGCGCATCGACTTGGTTTCGAACCCGGGTCACCGGATAACGAGACCACTGCTCTATCGACTGAGCTATTGCGCCTCCTACTAACAAATAATTTACACAAGGTCAAAGAAACTGTAGAGCCTGATACATAAATATATGAATAACAATGTGCTACAATCAAATTATGACACATGGTTTCAACTTTGACTTAAAGAATGAAGTGATGAGCAACTTCCAGTGCAAGTTTAATCTATACTGGTGTTAAAAGGGCTGTCATGGAGCTAATCAAGGCCGGTAATGGGTAATTTTGCAAAGCCATTGTGTTGCACAAAGCATTTTTGGTGCCTTATGTTTTGTGCAAAATTTCACAAGTGGCAAACGAGTGATCATACAGAGAGGAGGAGAAAGCAATCAAAGTGTTAATATGATCATTAGTCTACTTACTGGGTTGATGAGCTCAGCGTCCAATCCCAAAAGGTTCTGCAGTGTGAGGAAGGTCACTCGTTGGAGACGGATCATCATCATCTGCACAGGAGAACAAGGGAGGGATGGTGAAGGCTTCATCGAGGTGGTTAGGTTGGGTATCACCCCCAGGTAACTACCCCATGGACAACTACCCATGGAGGGCGGGTAATCGTCCTGGTGGAATTGTCTTAAACTTGCTTGGTAACAAAAAAGAGTAATTCTCGCTACCCTAAATAGGTACGAAAATCTCGAAATTCGCGAGACGAGGTAATTTTCACTCTCTCGGGTCGTCACTACAACTTCCGGTATAGAGTCCCATCCCGCTGGCGCTAGCGCCTGTGTTCTCCAATGAGACCAAAATTATTCCAGAAAAAGTATTTGGGATAGCCTTTGGCATAACCATCTGGATCAATCTGCTCCTTATCGAAATGTCTCGAACAAAGCCGCGATTTTTTGGTCAAATTCACTTTGTCCTTGCGGCGAATCAAGCGCAGCCATGTCGCTCGTGTTCCAGCTTCGGTGGGAAATTTCACCCAAGTCACGGCCTTCATCCACCCCCATTTTTCAGGGTTCTTACGCTTGGAATCATGAGCCCAGCACTGTGCAGCCTCACAAAAGAAAACCATCGTCACTGATGTCAAAAGACGCAAAAAACAACGAATGAAATGTTCAAATAAACGTTGAAATATTTGCGAAAAAAAACAAGACCGAGCAGACGACATATTCGGTGCATACACGTTGTGTGGCGACGGCGTTTTACGTTTGCGCTATCGCGCCTAGTAATATAGCGCCTGCACAGGAAGCTGTAATGTCGAAAAGCTATCCCATAATGCAATGCGCGTTTTCAGGATTTTCCCCGGATCTCGGCAGAATCGCTATTTGGGGTAGCGAGAATTGCAAGCACTGCAGTCCTCCTCTAGAAAATCAGGACTTTAACAAGTTTTTTGTAAAGTAATCCCAATGAAAAAAAAATTATTTTACACTAAATACTAATTTAAAGGAATCACATCAAGCTTAAACAAACTGTTCAAAGACTGCTTGAAAGGCCACAGCAGGGAGTCTCAGCACGGCTCTGTCCTCAGCCGCTTTACAAGATACAGTTTTATACAGTGCAATGTAAACCTTATCAATACAGAAATAAGTCTACTCATCTCTTTCTAGCAGTAGTAATCTGTAAAGTCTGTCCATACCTGTACAACCCTGACCATAGATTCAGGGTACTGTTCAAAGACTGCTTGAAAGGCCACAGCAGGGAGTCTCAGCACAGTTGTATCCTCAGCTGCTTTACAAGATACAGTTTTATACAGTGCAATGTAATCTTATCAATACAGAAATTAGTCTACTCATGTCTTTCTAGCAGTAGTAATCTGTATATTCTGTCCATACCTGTACGACCCTGACCATAGATTCAGGGTACTGTTCAAAGACAGCTTGGAAGGCCACAGCTGGGAGTCTCAGGACAGTCGTATCTTCAGCAGCTTTGCAAGATACAGTCTTATACGGTGCAGAATAACCCTATCAATACAACAACAAGAAAAAAGATGTTATTAATATCTATGTACTGTATTACACTCTCAAGGTTCCCAGCAAGATGTTGTTTACTCTAGGTCCAAATTTACCATCCTATGGAATTGGTTTGAATGGACCATGGCACTCATGTCCTTTGACAAGGCATGAATCTACATTTGCCACTCTCCACCCAGGTGTTGAATGGGTACTCCTTGAAGCTATGAGCACCGAAATCAGTAGCTAAGTAGAGCTGGAATAATATTGGAGTGTCTTGAGCACCTTCCGTGGTGGATATGTGCACTATCAAACATATCCAATAACAATAATATTTTTATAGGTTGAATGTATGCATTAACATCACTGTCAGGGAGGGTGTATCAATAGCATTTCTTTTTTTCTAAAGTTCCCAAAGCTTGGCTTCAAGACCAGTGCCCTGTTGCATAAAACTTACCATTGATGGTAATTTTACCATCAATGGTAACTACCATGGTAACAAGGCTCAACAGCCAATCATAATCAAGGTTTCCATGGAAGTTACTATTGACGGCAAAGTTAACATCAATGGTAAGTTTTGTGCAATGGGCCCAAGTGTGTTATGCAATGCTGAAGACCCTTCATACACTGGTTTTGGATTGCAGCCTACACTAAACTATACTTTCCAGTGGGAAGAAGACATTTAATAGCCTCACGTGGGAACAAGATTTTAAAGCCTATCTGCACTAGTTTGGCCAGGGGGGATTACACCTCCCTGCCTTGTCACTGACAGATGGTTATCTCATCGATTCAGCTTTCAATTAACATAAGAAAAAGTGGACCATGGGGACCAATGGGTACCGCTTAGGCATTGTTTGCTTTATAGAGGGCGCAAGTAGCTACAAGTAGTGCAGTCCCGCTTTAATAAGCAGGCCATTCTTAACCCTTTGTATGCTACTCAAATAACTTCCCTGTGTTACATCATATTTGTCATGGGATAGATATACTAGAGGCTTCAAGATTTGTAAAACTGTTTCCAGTGTTGTATTACTCTTCACAGATATTAAAATGGTTCTCATGAAGCTAATCAATACTGGGGGAGGTGGGGGGAGGGGGGGGGGGGTGTTTCATAAAGCTGTTCGTAAGTGCCCGAGTCGAGCGTACGTGCTCTGAGCTGTGCGTAAGTGCCCTGAGTTGTTCTTAAAGTCCTTCGTAGAGTTGTTTGTAAAGTTACAACAACTTGATGGGTAATTTGTGTAACAGTAAGCAATCCTTCAGTCATTTGGTGCTTATTGTTTTGTGCAAAATTGCATGTGTGGCAAAGGAGCGACAGTGCAGAGAGGCAAAGAAAGCAAGCAAAGGGTTAATGTAGATACTTACTGTGATGACATCCAGGACACTCAGTAAACTGTGTACACTATCACCCTGGGTCACTTCTTTTACTTCATATTCCGATCCATCCTGTAGAAAAAAATACCCCCAAAATAACATTAAACAACTATAACTTTTTATTTCCACTGTGTGACTGACCAATGAGACTCACCGGATTATTACTGCAATGGAGACTGAATTTTGTCTGAATCAGAAACAGCTTGTTATCTTTTTCCAATATCACCTTTATTGTGCGAAACTAAAGGGAAAACAAAGTCAGTCCAGATAACATGTTTTAAAAAACAACGTACAGGACAATCATGCTAAGTAAATAATTCACTTCATGAAATATTGACTGTACATGAAGTGTTTGGGAATTTTGTGAGAGATTCACATTTTTCAATGTTTCCTGCTGTTAAATAATTAAATCATAAATGACACAAATTTTTGAAATTAGCAAAAATATCTTGCAGTAAAAATGGCTGTTGTTCATGTATCACTCAAATTTCTGGTTTACATGAATCCCTACAACACAGGTTTTCTCTTACTTCACCCAAGACTTGCACGTGCAAAGCGAAATCTTATTCTATTCTGATTAGATTGAATCCTATATTGAAAATGGGAATGTGGGTTTGTTAATGTTTGTCGAATATAAATATGGCATAAAACTAACTTACGATCAATGTACCAATTCTTCTTTGCATTGACTTACATACATACATACATATTGATATTTATATAGCGCCTTTACATAAACATGCTCAAAGAGCTTTACATTAGTAAATATAACAGAATTATTATTTTGCTCTCCAAGTGCAGACACTGTAATTTTTTTGTGTAAAGCTGTGTGAAGTAAATCAAAAAGGTTGTGCACCGCATGACCCAAGCCTGGTTCATACAGTACTTACTGGCTCTGTGATGTAGACGACCAGACGGCCACACTGTACAACAAAGATGCTATCATCCGGCTGCCCCCTCTGGAATAGATACGCACCTGCTGGTAGGAATTTACTCTCTACTGATCGACTGAGCTCCAAGAAGAGAGGTCTCTCAAAGTGACCAAACACTCTGGATATAACAAGGATGCAAAGACAATAGGAATGAGATGTATCAATACAGAAAATTACATTTGTAGAGGAATGAATGTGACATTTAACTCCATAATTAACTTAGATTCAGAACTCTCTAAGTCTTAATTTCATCCATGAGAAATGTCTAAAATTGACAATAAGCACTTGGCTACCTCCCTCATACTTCTCTCTCTCTCTCTCTCTCTCTCTCTCTCTCTCTCTCTCTTTATCTCTCTCCTTCGACAAATTTATTTAATAATCATAAATATTGAACATCATAAAATGATTAATATGCATTTAACTGTATGTGAAAAAAAGTGTGCCGTATAAGAAATAAAAAAAAAATCCTCTGTAATTGTTATGTAACCAAATCCCATTTGTAACTTGATTACCAAGTACTCATTGACTCTTTAACTACGACTCATTGACTCTTTAACTACGACTCATTGACTCTTTAACTACAAGGTAACCTTGAGGAAGTTCTTAAGGAAGTCATTTAATGATCTTAATGGCATTCACTTCCTATCATATGATCACTAAGGTAGAAATATAGGCCATTCTCATACTTCCCCTAAGAAATTCACAGGCAGCAAGAAACTAATGTAAGGCCCGTCTTGAATCTACCTTCATATCTAAAGTTTGACACTTACAAATAGAATTGTAGCAAGGCAGCATACATGTACTTACATTTAGTGTCATATTCATACATTTTTTGTAACTTTCAACAACTTCCATCACTTCCAGTAACTTCCATCGATTAAGCAAATTGCTTTCTTTTGTGCTAATGATGAAACCTCCTCAGGGAAATAATGATCAATAAGTAAAATAGTGGTGCAGATATACATATACACTGTACTATCTATTGCATCGGGGAGGTGATGATCAAACTACTAAAAAATCGTAATTATATTCTGGGTTAATGTAGCCCTCAAGGACTTTAGGCAATAACGTTTGCGCACACCTTAGTTGCGCAGGGCCATTGGATCATGTATTTACTATGCACAATACCAGGAGCCCTAGGCAATGTGTACGGTGAATACATAACCAGCTAGCCATGCGCAGCCAAGGTGAACACGAGCATCCCTGAGGAACATCCTTAATACATCACAGATGTCTTTAAACACTTTACAGTATTATTATTACCAGGGAAAAAAATATTTTCAACATTTTAAGGTCTACTTTTCAAGCTTGCTAGCATGAATTTAACACTCTTTAATTTGTTTTGCATTGAACTCTATGCAATTTTTTTGGGGGGTACTCTTTCATGACTTTCGGGGGCTCTTTTTGGCATTTTGGGGGCGAAATCACCCCAAGTCCCCATGTATTTCCCTCCCTGATCATTACCTGATGTTCTTGAGCATGTAGAGTACCTCTGTAGGGATTCTGAACTCTGGAGGGAGCTGTAATACCCTGAAGTCCGCTTCCAAGATGGCCGGAGGGGGCTCCTTGACTTGAAGCATTGGTTTCCTGTCACTGTCTGTATGCTGCAGGATCCTGTAGTAATAAAAGTATGGAAGTGATAGAATAAGAACGATACAAATATGAAATACAGTCAAACCTGCTTTAGTGACCACCTGTCTACAAAGACCACATATTTGTTTCCCTTGAAAATGGTTTCTCATTTAAACTTGCAATGAAGAAACCTGTCTTCAAAGACCACTTTTTGTGTTTCCCTTGGATGGTCGCTATAGACAGGTTTGACTGTACCTCTTTGTATCGTGATATATAATAAGAACAAAACGTGAACTAAAAACCGTTTAAAGTTTCAAAAGTATAAAGAAAACTATACCATCATAAGATTTTAATTTTCAACAATAACTTACTTCACTGATATCTTACTACCGGGTACTTATTATGGAACTGCAAGAACTAAGATGTGATGAAACATACAATATGTATGTTCTAAATTTAAGGGAAAAAAGGACAGGGCCATAATAATAATAATAATAATACATATGATTTATAAGGCGCCAAATCCACTTGACAGTCAAATGCTCAAGGCGCAATTAATAAACTCATACACATCATTTGAAGATTAAAAACATGAATTTAAGATAAAATTAACAATGGTTACATGAATTTGGTAACAACCCTGAATTCAAACCAGTAAATCTTTTCCTGGGCATACTGGTATCAAGTTTGAGGTTCAGCCCTCATATGATTATACCGAAACCATATGGAAATATATCATTTTCCTCATCAAAATAATATGGGATGATAACAAAATACAAGCAGTCTGTAACATTCAGCCTTATCAATATTCTCTCTTACAAATCTGAAAACTACTTGTCCATTGCTCAGATAAATAAGTAAACACACTTTTGATTGAAAATTAGTAAAATATATATATATATAATAATCAAAAGAATATATGTAGTGCAAATCTTATAATATTAATTAAATTAATAGAAGTATTGATAATAAGGTTTCAATATACTTACCCTCTAATGGTTTTTGCCAGGTCCATATATTCTTTCCTCTTTCTCATCTTCCTTTGAACAGTATACACTGGCCCAGATATTGATTTAACCTACAAACATAACATACAGTATCGTAAATATGAATCATATATAGAAGGACGTGCTGAAAACGTAATAATCTGTATATTGTACAACATAAGTGGAATAACAGAAATTACACAATATTTTCTTTACAATACTGCAATTGGAAAAGTAGGAAATAAAACTCTCTCTTTAATAGACAAAGCAAATATTTATTAAATCTTTGATGTGTTAAACATTCTGACACAGCACAATCTACTCTAGGAAGTTACGTTAAAACATTTACTTCTACTCTATATAAAGGGAGTGAAATAAAAAGTAGCTCTCTTTCTTAATCTCATAGAATGAAAATGGAAAAAAAATGTATTTCTTAAAATGAAGATAAACTAGAGCATATATTGGTGTCCTATCATTGAATACTTACTACTTTATCCCAAGACATTTTGTCAGTTTAATCCAGCTTTTGCTCCTCTCACAAATATCTGTCAACTACTGACAATTTTGAGATGCTGGTACTTTTGAAAGCCAGCCTTCTCAATGTCATTATTTATTTGCTCAACTATAAGGCAGAGACAATATGTATACTACAAGCAGGCGCTGTTCTCAGATAATAAAGGGGGGGGGGGCTTTGAGAGCTGGGGGAATTGGGTGTTATGTTGTTACCAAATTCTAAATGTCACTTACTTACATTTATGATCATGAAAAATATGAGGGGGGGGGGGGGGATTGAACAACTTTTTGAGGGAAGGGGGCTTGAGCGGTCGAGTCCTCACCCTACCCCTCATCCCAGGGCCCCCTCTATATTTGCTCCTGACCACAAGTCAACAGGAGTATAGTTATTACACAATGTCAACATTTTGTATGACACTGAGAAGTGATACCTGAGGTCTGTTTTGAAGATCAAACATCATTTTCATTGCAAGGTCAAGAGTGTTCTTAAACATATGGTTCATATCTCTGGTGACATAATGTATAAGTTGCTGGCAGCACAATCTACCCCAAATGGATGAAATATGTACTTTTATAGTTTAAAAAAAACAGTATGTACACAGGAATTTCCAATTCTAAAAGTATCCTGATACATGATATCATATGTTTGGAGCTAGAAGAGTGTTAACTCTGTATACAACAAAGTATATACAAAATTAATGCCCTTCTAGCTCCAAACAGTATATAAGTACTTGAACTTGTACCGTTTGGGGCAATTCCACGGTAACGGAAGGACACTCAGACAAGATTTTTGAACTTCAGGTTCATACTAAAAGAAATGTTTTATTAGTATGTATTAAACTATGGGGAACAAAATGTGTTTCAGTCAAGTGGAAAGCTTCATCAACTTCACAAAGTTTGGATAAACACTAATTAACTGGAAAAACCATGTCCATTTTTATGTCCTTCCGTTACCGAGATAATTAATATGCACATTCTTAAACTACTTAACTATAATGACAATTTTTTTTGGGAGAATTAAAGGCACTTATATAGGTATTATATCTGTACTGTTTCACATCTTATACTAATAAAACAGTTCTTTTAGTATGAACCTGAAGTTCAAAAATCTTGTCTGAGTGTCCTTCCGTTACCGTGGAATTGCCCTTTGGTTTACAAAGTACAAAGTTAAGCATTCATGAGTTTTTGAATTTTTGACTATAGCATTGTACTTTGAGAGAAAATTACCCAAGGTATTCTGACTTAATAGATAATATGATGTAGAAGTTGAGTTGTTCAAAACACAGCGAAGTTCAGTTTTAGTACAGTGGAAAAAAGGGTTTAGAAGCAAGGCTGCAATGTCTTTCCAATAATAAAATCAACAAATCTTACCTTTCTCAGCATTTTCCTGCCATAAAACATCACTTTATCTCGTTTTCTGAACCTGGGCTTTGGTTGTGCTTGAACTACAAGTAAAAAAAAAAAAAAAAAAAAAAAAACAAGAAGGTGAAATTAGCCATTATCTGCATCACAGGATATTCCATTCAGACAAAAATAAATAACCTACAGTATGTCCTCTTCAAACTTAACCAAACAAAGTCCCTGTATTAAAACATGTGAGAACGAGATATTCATTCACAGGGTTAAAAAAAAGGTTCTTCCCATCTCCTTTATTTCTATCTACATGTACTCGACATGCAACAAATTAAACCTTCATATCAAAAGTCACTACATAGAACAGTCACATACCTGCTAACCTTTCACAACAATACTTAAGAATCTCTCAACTCTCAAGGCAAAATTAGGAATAAATTGTATACTCTTTAAACAGAAATTTCCAGAAAAATAGAGGAATCTAGGGGTATATACTTTAGTATCAATGCCAGAATAGGAATCATTCCTGCATAATAGGAATGATCGGCAACTACGCAATGGACCTCTTAAAGTGACTCGGTAACATTGTCTCAGATTCTGAAACAAAATCCAGGATTTAGCCCATGTTGTAATGATAATTATAAACCCTTAAGTCAGTTGTGAATCCCAAAAATTTTACAAGCCGATTGCCTGTCTGATTATCAAGATTTTTATGATTGGAAATCGAAATAAAATTTTCCATATTTCACTATTTCACTATAATACTACAGTAGTACAGTCTATTGGGGAAAATGAGTATGGTAAAAACCCTCCAAATAGGTTCATTTTCTCAGTACAGGCCTATCGACTCTCCAAATAGAAATGCATTTTAACACCATAACAAGAAGGATGCTTGAGACAGGGAGAAGAGGAGGGAGGGGTGTCATCATGGCAGAAAGTCAGTAACCCCTTGTAAGAGAGAAATAGCTGACTTTTAAAATCATGATGATGATAACTTACTTCTTTTTTTGATGATCACAGAGATGAGAAAGGCAACCAAACTGAGAAGCATTGCAATCACAATAAACATCATGATGAAGGTCTGTAATTAAGTCACAAAAATCAATTATAGGACATTAAAAAATATTAAAAAACCTTTCATCTTCAAAATGTACAAAGAAATGGTTAATTTTACAACAAATCCAAACAGTAGTTATGCATTCCAGTCAATAATTCATATATTGTGTCTTCCATCTATAGATATGTATCATAAAATAAATCTCTTTCCATAGCTTTCATGTAAACTTTAGTTTATTCACAAACAAGGAGTACAACAGTTGACAAAGATTGCTACACATGATTATCTTTGACAAAACATGCCTGCACATTAAAAAAAAAAAAAAAAAAAAAAAAACTGAATTTGCCAATTTCATTCAATGATCCATGCATTTAACATCTTGACAGGAAATAAAGACAGGGTTTCATTGTCTTTAGTTCTGAGGGGGAGAGGGGATGGGGGCACATGCCCCTCAAAGGACTCAATCCCCCTTTTCCTTTGGCCTGCACAACATACACAGGGTAAATTGTAGTTGCTATACACTACGTATTCAGATAGCATTGACACTTTACTATGCTATTTACACAGCTTATACAATAAACCACACCTTTTTTCTCTTTCATTGGGAATACAAAGTTAGTATTGGTTTTTCTTTGCCGTTGTCAACTATGTGCAAGCAAAAATAAGAAAGGAAGAATACAGAGGTTGAATAGATGCACCATCATGAATACTGTTGGAAAACAAAACAAACAAAATGCAGTATCAATTCAAACTTCTTTAATAATGATACACTATGAACATGACAGACAATGAAAGCGGACAAAATATACAGTTCCTCAGGTAGACAAAGGGACATCCCTTCACTGCTATTATGTAAAAATGTGTAGAACAGGTGTCACATGCATATTCACCTGTTCTACACATTTTTACATAATAGCAGTGAAGGGATGTTCCTTTGTCTACCTGAGGAACTGTATATTTTGTCCGCTTTCATTGTCTGTCATGTTCATAGTGATACAGGCATCTATGGGGATTTGTATTGTTTATCTCAATTTGACTGTAAAGCGTAATGTTACTGTCACTATGCATCTTAGACTTACTGTTTAGAGATAAAGTTATACAAAAACTGATTGCACCTGTGCGAGCATGAAAACTTGCAATATTTTCTTTCATGCTCTAAAAATTAAAGTAAAAGGCAACTAAAATTGTGTAGTTTTTCATCTGATGCCATTGACTTAATTGTCCATTAAATTAACTTAATGAATGGTCAGACTGTTCCCTATTCTTTGAATTTCAAGATTAGATCCAACTGCTCTTAATTCATCATGTGATTTCACCCACTCACTCACTGTCCAACAATTCGTTTCAGAACTGAACTCAATAAATTCAAGAACAATTCCATATTTTTTTTGGAACTTGCACTGACTTGCTTCATAGTTTTAATATAGGTCTAGATCTAGATCTATATTAGGCTAGGGCCTACATTACATGATTTTCCCCTTAAAGAGTATTATTATTATATCTAGACTCTAAATGTCAATTAAAAAATATCTAGCCACTCTATGGTTTCAAATGAACATGGCATCGTCTGATCACTCAATGTCACAAATGCCAGGCATTAATCTAATTCCAGTCGTTTTCCCCAACATTATTTTCAATACGTGGGTCATACGAATGAAAATTGAAATATCGCTTAAGTCTACGAATAAGATACAGGCAAAACTAAATGTCAAAGTTAAACAATAGAAATACTTACGGTTGTATATTGTGTATCAAAATAATAAGAACCTGGAGGCAAGAAGCCCTTATCATCCAGGGGCGAGTCCATATCTAGTTCGTCGTCTTCTTCCATTTTGTTCGTATCTAAGGTGCAGCGCAGTACAGTGCGTGCGTGTAGTGTCAATACGATATCTCAGCTCAGCGATTTATTTACTTGCATGCATTATTTTGTAAGGAGGTGGGAGGGGGGGGGGGGGGGGGGTTGGAAGTTGGGCCTTCCCCCTTTACATGGCCCCATATATAAATGCCTACGGACAAGAAACCAAATTCCTGCAATAGCCAAGTTTCATTGAAAAGTGACTCTATATAATCATTTGTGTATATATTTATTTTATTCCTCTCTCGAGTCTTGATGACACTATATAATCATTTGAGTATATACCGGTATTTACTTTATTTCTCTCGAGTCTTGATGTTCTCAATTTAATTCTCAACGGAGAAAGTTAAACATTAATTTCTGGAAGCAGCATTGTTGTTAGGGGAAAGTCGTGAACCACTGATCTCATCTTTAAAACAGTCGATCGAAACCCAATTATGCATCATATTAACATATGTACCCCAGAGGCCTCCGGCCCCCATCTATTATGTAGCGTTGCAATATGCATACAGTGTTTTCATTGCATGATACAATTTATATCGGCCTTTAATTCTGACGTGCCTGAAGTATATATATATATATATATATACACACACTACAATACATATTTAAATGAATGAAGAAAACAGAACTAGCTAGTCTCTGTTTCTCTGGCGAAATATTTTATCTGTTTCCCCTTTTTACTACTACTTGATTATAAGGCTTCATTATGCACCTCTCTCTTTCTCTCTCTACCATTATCTCGCTCTCTCTCTACTGTTCTCTCTCTCTCTCTCTCTCTCTCTCACCATTTCTTTATAAATCAATCATTAACAGAACAGAATATAACCACAATTCATATTCCCTAAATAGTCTTTTAGATTTGAAAGAAACAATTAAGACAAGATTAAAAAAAAAAAAAAAAAACATGTACGTAAACACACACAAACAATAAAAACACAAATTAAGCTGGGTTTGACTCATTTTTCAGACATATACCACTGTTTTATAGTTAAAGTTAAGTTTAAATGGGGCAAGACAAATGTATAAGTATAAATAAATTAATAAATAAGAAAATAAATAAATCAATAATTAAATAAACAAATACAAATATGAATAAAAATAAATAAGCAAAAATAACAACAGTCTTCATTTTTTATTTTCTGATAATATATACCCCCACATCAATTGTTATATTGACTTCCAATCTTCCATCATGGATAATAATCCACAATAATCTATACCGGTACCTTGGAAATGCTAATTGTTCAGTTAACTGATGATAGTCACTTTATGCACAACAAAACAGAAGAATTTTTTTTTCTAAGAAAAATTCAAGCAATGCAGTATCAATCACATTACCAGACATTTATTTGGATACAATTGTGAGCGTCTGTAAAATGACGCCTGGTTTGAATGCTCAAGGAGTGGAGAATGTGTATACATCGGGTATGGGCAAGATGATATCTGTAAAGTGCTTATAGAGACATGCATTGATGTATCAATTAAGCGCTATATAAAAGCAGAATATTATTATTATTATGAATTAGTATTATTTTAAGTGGGGAATTCTACTCCTAGCTCAAGATTCAATTGCATAGAATATTTGTCTTCTTCATGATTTTCAAGAATGATACTTCAGGCATATTATAGATCCATTTTAAATACATGTACAATGAATACAATCACTATTAGTTAATCTACCTATTATTAAACATATAAATATATAACTATACCCCCAACAAATTAAATATGGACAATATCATAAATATAAAAAGCAGTGTAAATTTGTTACAAGAGTTTGCATGTAATAGATTGGACGGATATTAATACAAATGGAAGCCATTTGACTCATTCAGACATATATCAACTGATATACAGACAGCCTCAATAGAAAATAAATTGGACGGTTTTTACTAATACAAGGCATATCTTTACTCAGTCAGAAAATGGAAGGAATTTTACTCTGTATAATTCTGTAAATCACTGAAATTCACTGCACCAAAACAAAAGGGAAAAATATGACCAACTTATATCTTCAATACATTCTGTATATTACAACATATATATGACAGGTGTCGTTGACTGGTAGACACGCCACTGGACCCTAGATCATATGGTTCACAGTTCAAGACCTGCTGCATTAAAGTCCTTTGGCAAGACATTAATCTACATTTGCCATTCTCCACCCAGGTGTAGTGAATGGGTACCTGGTAGGAATTCATTATTTGGATGCTTTTAGCACCTTAGGAGAACTGGGCTAAAGCCAGGGTAATAAAAGTGTCTTTGAGCACCACTTGGGATCGATATGCACTCAATACGAAAGTTAGTATCGTATATTTTCTAGTTCACCAATCTATGTTTGATTATGATATAAATGTAGGACATAAGGTCTATGACGCATCTAAAAGGTGTTGACCCATTTTGAATTTTCACCGGTATAACAGTCATAGAACTGATCCCTAATGATCTCAACCATTCAACGATAACAAATTTAAAAGTTTCAACCCTTTTTACATTAATGGAATTTATGAGGTTGATTAATGATAAAGAATGAAAAAATTCTCTAAAATTTGGCCATGAGGTAAACCTATTGCCATATCCATGCTCACTGTTCACTTTTGTGACAAGTCATATATTATACTCTTTTATTTCAATACAGCTGCACATTTTCTTTCTAATATAGGATTACTATTTCATATACATTGTTTACTTCGATCATTACATCGATGTGTCTTCTTTTCTTAATGATCTCCTGTGTTTATATATTTATATATACAGTATATTGAATTCTCATATTTAATACAAAAACATCAACTGAAAATGGTAAATAATGATAAAGTACAGGGATAAAACAAACTTAAAATATTAATATACTGGCAAATGTAGTAGCATATCAAGGACGGTAGAAGTTCATACTGAAGTTTTCGAATGAATTAACCACATATCGACGCAAAATTATGCAATACAATTACAAATATTATCCTGTTCAAATATTTGATAAACTGTTTATTTAAAGTCGATCTTGTAGTTTGATCAGTTCCATCTTATTCAACTAAGGGTGGTTTGATCTTATCTGGCTTGTTCTGTTGACTATGTGACTTCGTTGTTTTGTTCTGTGCTTTCCAAATCAGGTTGTTCTACTTGGTTACCATCAGAAGCAACTGGGACATCCTCTTCAACATCCTCAGTAAGAGATGCTAAAGTGTCTTTACGAAATGAGGAATCAACGGTTTCCAGTCCTTCTGTCTCTTCATCCTCAGTAAGAGGTGCCAAAGTGTTTTTTCCAACTGTGGAATCAATAGTTTCCAGCCCTTCCGTCTCTTCATCCTCAGCAAGAGATGCTAAAGTGTTTTTTCCAGCTGTGGAATCAATAGTATCCAGCCCTTCCGTCTCTAGATTTAGGCTTTGAGGCGCTTGATCACCTGGGACAGACTCATTGATAGTTCCTTGATTCGTTTGACCCGCTCCATTTTCTCCTGGAGTACTGTTCTCAGCACCTTCGTCGTCTCCGAGGTATCCCCCTGAACTGGTCCCTGTCCTCTCAGCTTCGGTCCCCCTCGTCCCTGTGCTACCACCCTTTTCTTCTGCATTATCCCCCATTAGTGCATCAAGGCCTTGGTCAGGCTGATGATGCAAGGCCATCACTTCAGGAGCCACACTGACTTCTTCTTCTTCTTCCTCCTCCTCCTCCTCCTCCTCCTCTTCTTCTGCTAGGGGTGTGAGAGAGGGCGTCGCCGTGCTCTTACTGCTCATCTCCTGGATGTCATAGTCAACATCCATGCCAGCTGGTTCTGGGGAAGGAGGAGGCGCTACTGGGGCAAGGATCATATCGATCTGCTTGGTGGACAACCGTTCATTGTTCCTTTCTGGTGAATTCATGTATTCCCTCTCATCCACCACAGGCCACACCTCTGGGGTCTGTGCCGCTGGCAACGGGGTATACAGAGCCAGTGGTGATCCTGCAGCTTTCTCTGATGCCTGAGCCATTACACTGGTGGCAGCATCGTACGGTGTACTTGATTCTGGTGGTTTGGCAGGGCTTTGGACGGAGTAGGTACCTCTGGTGCCCGTACTTGCAGTTCCCACAGGTCGATCCTGACGGACGTTGCGTTGCTCGGCCTCGTCGTCTTCTGCAGGAGTTCCTGGTTCCACAGAGGAAGGGGCAATAGAGCTACCAGGGGGCAGGTTGACTACATCCATCTGTTCTAGGACCCTTGTAGCACCAGGTGGTGGGGCATCATGATGACTTTCTTGTTTCACCTCATCCGAAGTAGCATAAGGGACATGGAAGACATGGCTTGGGGCACCCCCGTGAATTGCATTCTGAGAGGAATAATAGAAATAAAGATAGAATTTAGAAGAAATACAGAACTTACAATGTCAAATACTTTTGAATTAACTCTGGCACTTCATACAAAGTGACCTTATCCCCCAAATATGTAAAGACAATTTTGAATTTGTCAACAGCAATACAGCAATTTTTAAAATCAAATACACTTAGTAAAATTTGCTTAACACAATAAACACAAACCACAATTGTTTATTTTGACAAAAAATATCTCATACAAGTGATACAGAGATGATACAACATCAAATGCTTAATTACACATATACATACACTTAGTGACAAAACAACCAATAATTATCTGACATTCATTTGTGTTTGGTTTTTTTCTGTCCATTTGAGAAAGCTAACAGTCCTAAGGATAACTATATAAAGGAAACCAATAGAATCATGATTACGTCAACACTAATCAAATGATGTCTATATTATTCTAAGAAAAAAAGTAAAGAGCAACATGAAATTTGAGGGGAAATGGTTAAATGGTTCAAAAGGACAGAAAAACACTATAACGAAATGATGGATTTCAGAAAATTTGACTTACATTCTGTGTTAAGCCTATTAATCATTACCCTAATCATACATGTTTTTTTCTTAAATGTCTTCATAGATGAATTAGCAGGATATCATTGTTTAGACTTGAAGAAATGTATACTTGATGGTGAGCCTGGTTTTAATGCTTTCAGGTATACTCATTTTCTCAGGAAAGTTAAGACTCACAATTTTGGCACAGAACAATATGACAGCTTTGTGAATCATTTACAGTTTTATGCCAGCAGGGAACCATTTCACAAAGCCCTTTTTCAATGACAAATGACAAAAATCAGTGACAAGTCTGCTGATAACCAATCAAAAGCATGGATTTCAGTAGCTTATAATAAAAACTGTCATTTGGCAATGATGACAAGTTTTGTGAAATGGGGCCCAGGTCAAGATTATCCTAATCATAATAAATATAGTGTGTGCAGACTCACAGCAAACAGGTGCCTCATGTATTGTGCAAATATCTCATTTATAACAAGATTATTGACAAGAAAAGAATAATCTTCTGAGGAATGTTCATATTCCACTGATGTAAGTAAATCAATCACATCTTTTTGATTTACACTAAAGAATATTTGGATGAGGTATACAATTCATATAATATAGAATTTATATCAAGGATGTGCAGCTAGGTATTTCTTCAAACAGTGCAACACAACATGGACCACAAGAAAAACCTTTACCTCAAAATCAACCCAATGCAACTCCGGCTATTGGGTTTTATGGTGCAATGAAAGAGATGAATGTAAAAAAAAAAACATGAACCAATGAAATACATAATAGGATATGGATAAAGAACACCTATTAATGCTTTATGATATGAAGTAAAGAGGTACAATATAACCCATTTGTATGAATAAGGAAACTTACAGGGTAACCGCAGGTATTGGTGAAAAAGCATTTATCATGGTGCATGGAAAATTACAGTGAGTTAAAATAAGGGGGAGATTTAACCGATTGCAACTTCCATTGCTTTTACCAGTAATGGCTTATCCAAATTTAAAAGGAGATATAATCATAATATCATAAGCACCATGCACCAAATAGGTAATGGAATGGGAAAAGGCAATGAATGGGTATAATGGAATGGTAAAAAGCACCGCAATGGTAAATTGATAGGTCATAAACACAGAATGGTAATGAATACATGTATAAGTTTAAATGGATGAAATCTGTATAAGCCAATATTTTCACAAGAAAAATAAAAAGGAAACAAATTTTGGTGAGTTTTTTTTATTTAAAATCATCAATGCTAGTTACATAACATTCATGTTCACATATGGATCAGCAGCTCATTTTCGTGTGTTGTTAATTAAGCTCCCGATAAACTACAATTCGCAAATTTAAATTCATGAAAAGAATGGCTTATATACTAGCTGTATCAACTACTGATGTCCACCCACCCATAGTTACAAGCACCAAATGTAATGAATACAAGTGTAAATGAATGAAATGTCTACCCAACGCCTATGCAACCAACCCACCGATCTAGTGTGAGATGATGGAGGGCCATCCCTGAGTGACCGACCTGTGCTATATGTGTAGAAGAGAATATGATATTTTGTACTAAATACCCTAAGGAAAGGCAAGATGGTAACTATACTCACAAAGTCATCGCTTGGTACGGTGGAGATGGTTGAATAGTGCGCCGACCCCATCCTCGGTATGGGAGGGATGGGGGTGCGCTCGCACGCCGAGCAGGGGGTCTGGGGAGGGGTGCGACCAGAGAAGTGACTGGGGACGGTAGCAAACACAGTGGATGCTTTGCCGGAGAAGGGGCTGGAGGATTTCTCAGAAGGCTCGTATTCCAGCGTGCTCAAAGGACCTGTTTGAGAGAAGAAAAAAATAGAAATTATCTTCACTCAAACAAAAATTTATCATTTCTATTTCATTTTGCTATTTCAGAGGTAGAATCACCCACTGAGTCCTAAATTACCATGAGTGATGGGTCTTATCCTACCAAGCGATCCTCCAAAGACACGATATCAAGAAACCATTCACGATAAGACAGCTATCAGTGCAGAACACTTCAATCCAGCGAAAAAGTATATGCACAATCTTTGTACGTTTTGTATGTTTATATCTTTACATCAAGTGTTCAGGGACCTTACTGAGCATCCATCAATCTTTCAAATCAAATTGATGTGCATCACTTCATAGATGGCATAATAAACAAAACTGGCTTTTTATGATAATTAACACTTCAACAAAAAATTTGAAGTTATACTACTGCTCACTACATCTTAAAATGAAAATGTTCCTACAACTCCAACATTTTAGTGATGGCCGAATGGGCATACAGGTGCCGACACTAGACTCAAGCAATAATCTGATTGTTTTCTGAGGCTGTTCTTCATGTAACTTACTGAGAGCAAGATCAAAGGACTGATCGGTGTAGTTGAAAGGTCGTATGGATCTGACCCCTGGCAGTAGAGGGGGTAAGGTCTTGGCGGAGACGGAGGTCACCTTGCGTCGAGAGTAGTTTGACATCTCAGTCGGTCCCCCTGATGGAAACAAAATATATAGAGAATAATGATAATGATAAAGCAAATGAATTATTGCTTTACACTAGCTGGCCATTATCAATTTTTTCAACCACATGAGAATTAAGCTCCTATAGGATTCATCAACTTAGCTTCAAACTCTTTGAAAATTTTATAGAAAGCTCACCTGTATACTAAAGGTACATTAACTTACTGAACAGGTATTGTGACTAAGATATGCAAAGTTCTAAACCAAGTCAGTGTTTGAGTTCTCTTAAACATTGATTCTCAAACATCTTGTCTTGGAGAGGACTTTCAACCGTATGTCCCGTGATTGCACACCTACATGTGTAAAATGATAAAGAGAATGTCTTGGCATTCATGGTAGAAGAAATACTGCTTCATATTTTTTTTCAAATTCACAGTTCCTTGCATTCAATTTTCTTATGAAAGTCATTGCAAGCATACATTGGTTCCCTGATCAAGTAGCATATCTGACCCAACATTATCCTATAATCTCACCTCTAATTGGCCGATGTGCTTTCCTCTTGGTCACTTCCTCCGAAGCTATAGTTGGGGAAATCAACGTCGTCTCCCGATCGTCTTCCGTATGATGATCTGGCCTTTCCCGCCTCGTGTAGGATGAAGACGTGATCCCAGACATCCCGCTCTCATCGAGGAAGAACGGCATGCTCCTCGTAGGGGGCGGTGCCCTTATTGGATCCATCCTCTTTTCGCGGCAGTCCAATAGCGTCACCTTCTTCTGCCGGAGTATTCCACTAGAGTGCAGTGGTGCTGATGGGGCGGCAGTTTGGGAGGGTACTTGGGTGTTGACAGGTGAGAGGATCGGGGGATGCTGTTGCGTAACATCGTTCTTCTCAAAGTGGATGTGAGGCATGAGTTTCTCCAGGAGCATAGCGACCTTGTTCTTGTCAAAGAGATCACTGAGCAAGATAAAAGTAGGGGAATGATCAATATCAACCTTTTTACCTTTTACCAAGAATCATGTCAGTTAACTTTTAAGATACTAAAAGCATGCAATGTGAGCAGCATGATATTTAGGACCGAATAATAGTCCCTTTTACTATGGATAAACTATTTGTGCTTGAAGTATTAACCAATTTATCTTAATTGTCATTAATTTATTCCATCCATACATATCTTTACAATTCTCAAAATTCTCATTTTTAACATGAATCGGTCAAATTGAATTGGAATACTTTCTGTTCTCTTTGGGTGACCCATAAGATTCACAAGTGAATGATGTAGAATTTATGAACGTGTGTAGCAACTAGCAAGTGGACTTTATTTTGTATTCACTCTTTAATATTTAGGGTCCTGATATATCAGCAGAGGTTAAGAGTATAGAAGCAATATATGTACATGTATATCCATCCATCTCCTTTCATTCTTGGTGATTATTTCCACAATTAATTGACGTGATGCTTATCATGCATGACATGTTCTAATACAAGTACACACAAAAGTACCAATTATGGCATAAAGAGGCAACTACTGTACTGGATATGCATTGCACTTTGTCCTGTGATCTCATGGACACCTAGTACACTACGACTCACCTCTCTTTGGTGTGCTCCACCAGTTCAAGTAGCACTTCTCTTGGTAACTGAAGTAACTGTGCAATTCTGTTATTACAAAAAAAAACCAGAATGTCAGACTCGAAAACTTTAAAAATACTGAAAACACCTGTAAATCGACAGGATTCGGAGCCTGTTATCAGGCACATGATATAAGCAGTATATGCATGAATTAGCTTGATTAATCAAGAAAAAAATGATACCAAGGCATACATTTTAAAACTAAATGAGTAAAGTTGTAAGGAGAGGGAGAATGAGAGAGAAAGAGAAAGAGAGAGAGAGAGAGATAAAGAGGGGGAACAAATCTTTTAAGTTGCTTAAATGTGAAGAAGACTAATGCGATTAATTAATCGATCATAAAACCGTACAATTATGCTCAGCTTTGTGTTAGAGGGCTAGGTACCTAGGTCTATCAAAATAACTAAATTTTAGACTTGATCTGCAATGCAACAGACAAAGAAGCGGTCTGTATAGTGTATACCATTACCAGCTCTATTCTCCTAATTAAAACAGCGATAGGACCTAATAATGTCTCTCCGCTTCTGTGATTCAAAACTTACCCTTCATCAAAGTCTTGAGGTAAGGTACGTCTGGTATTGGGAGGGGGTGACCTGGCTGGATGGGTGTAAGGTCTCCCTCCTGTAGGCGTCGTGAAATTCTTCCTCTACAAACAAAAAAATACAACACAACAAATCCAAATAAATGAATTTCCACTGATTGAACAGGTAAGTGATACTGTAAAAAAAGAGAAACTTTTGAATGCATGAAATGAAATGTTAGCGAGTTCCGTAAGTCGGTCAGATTCATAAAAGTTTCATGCCGAGAATTAGTAATTGAATAACTGACAAGTCACTCCATTGTTGCACTAATAGTGCCTATAATGACACTCTACAATTCAAGGAATTTCTCCCTACCAGGTACCTACCCCTCAATCAAGTGGCAAATGTAGATTACCGTAATGTCTTGTCATAGGACATTAGTGCTATATCAAGGCTTGAACCATCATCTTTATCATCTCCAATGAATGAAATGTTTAAACCACTCGACCTGAACTTGTAGGACAATGCCGTACACCAGCCTATAGCTCCAGTCAATATATCTGGATCTTGAAGCAAATCTTACAGCAAGACAGTCTACCATTTCATCTGTGCTCTGTCATGAATATGCTCTCGAACAATACTTCTACCACATATTTGACATTATAAATCTTGGTAGTAAATAGGTAAACATGATTCAACAAAATACAATGAAAACCTACCATCTTCTGGTTCTTGTTCTGATTTGTGTTAAGATTCTTTGGGATCATATCTTCAGTCACATCTTTAGGATGGACCTTTATTTTTGTAGCACCATCTTCAGGCCTGGAATACAACAGATATACAGTTCAGGGGGATCAGAAAACTCTCATATATGAATATTGTTAATCATTAGATTATTATGGCTATAGATAGGGCTACACAATGTTTATTATAGGCTTTTTATGGATATTCTAAAGGAGTTTAAATAGATGATTTAATTGCAGCAATTAACAGCTTACCGTACCTTTTTATTTGGGTTGCAAACTGGGTACCCAGACAATTCGTTATACTGCCATCTTCAAATTCCAGTGGTTATTTAGAGAAATGTTACATTTACAGCAATATGTATTACACAACAACAAGAAATAAATCAACAGATAATCATAATAACATTGATAAAGCCTTGATAATAATTTCCCATGCAAAGTTGAGACTAATTCAACTGATTTAAGTCCAAAACTATTTTGCCAATTTTTATCAGAATTTTGCTAGAGATTTTATTAGAAATAAAAAATAAATAAATTAAATGAGTGTAAATGATAGATTTCGACATTACAGCCGTTCCCTTGAATCTTTAAGCCGCCCTCTTTGAGAGCTGCCTATGCTCACGAATCTCATTTTCTGTGAATGGTTGACTACAGGAAGCACTCACCTGCCCTGTGAGGCATCTGTTTTCTCCCGGAGTCCAGCCGTTGCAGGGCACCATACATAGACCTTGCGATTCTGTGGTATTACCCCTTGGTGTTTGAGCCCACCGACCCCGAGAGAATCTCTCATGTCGACCTTCTTGACCCCATTCACAAACTCTAGGAAGTTGAGTGGAGCTGTGCGAGCTGGAGCCGATTTGTTGGTGGGGCGTTGCTTGGCTGGAGATTTGGCCTTCTGGGGTGTGCCTTGGGATTGGGTGGGTGTTTGGTTGACGGGTGTTTGTTGGGGGGTCATGGGCATACAGGTATACTTTGGTAGAGAGCTAGGCACATTCCGTTGAGGTCTGTTGAAAAGAAGTAGAATCATGGTTCATTATCCATTCTAGGTGCCCATTTAGAATCACTATTGTGAACACATCTCACAGCATACTTATTACAGGACACAGCAAAGTCAACTCATGTTAAACTTCATATAAAAAGTCCACCATACCATCCCGACAATGAAATATTAACCCCTCCTGGGCTCCCCAATACAAAGAAAAAGTTGGCGACTGATTGATATTTTCAATTGTACAATCGACTGATGATATAATCATTTGCTAAGTTTTGTGTTAAGGGGTCCTGAACCACTAAAGTTAAAACAGCTAACATAAAGGTACTCTATGGAGTAATATCATCACAATTAAATTGGGACTTAACACATACATGTATGGGATCTATATAAAAAGGGATCCATCTTTAAGTTAAAAATTGTAAGTATACAAGAAATAAAATATGTTGGCACAATTTGCCAACCATAGCCCAAATGAGCTATGTAAAAGGAGGGTAAAATATCCCGAGTATATTTTCTGTTGGGAGCCAGAAGGGCATTAATTAACTTGCATCATTTTACATCCTTCTGGCTCCAAACATAAAATATGTCGTCAAGGTTATACAAATGTGCTGCTTGATGCTGGTACACTCACTGATCTATCAGTTGGCGGATAACTGGAGCTGAATGACTTCTCTCTGCATCATCATCCACACCCCTGGCTTGGGGCAGTCTCCTCCTTGGCAACGGTCGCCCGGTGGGGTAACGATCACCGGAGTCATAACCATAATCTCCAAGCATATTCAGCACCTTGAGGGTTGGAAGTTCCTCTGTACCAATGGAAAAAGACATGAAATCATACAATATGCTTCAATTTTGGACATGATTTTGGGGTAAAACTTGGTACAGATCTACAGCCTAATTAAACTGGTGTCATAAAAATAAAAAACATGTTACACTCAAAGTGATATATGATTAACATTTAAAAAAAAGGTTTTTCAAAATTGTGCTACAATTACCTAAACATAGCGAAGTTTGAAAAAGAAATGTTTGGTCAACCTGATTGTTTTTTAAAGTCAATAAGAAATAGAAATGCCATTATTGACCTGAAGTTTTGATTAATTGACCAAAACAAATTGTGTTTTTCTTGATAGTCATAATTTTTTCAGTTTGTCAAAGCCAAAGAAATGTTGAAATGCACCTTTAAGGCCAAGATAGTTCCTGGGCAAATCATTAATAATTACTGCCTTCTAAAGTTTGATGATACAGTCAGACCTGTCTATAGTGACCGCCCAAGCACAAAAAGTGGTCTTTGTAGACAGGTGGTCTTTGTAGACAGGTTCTAGTACATGTACAGGTGTACATGTTTCAATGAGAAACCATTTTCAAGGGAAACAAAAAATGTGGTCTTCATAGACAGGTGGTCACTAAAGCAGGTTTGACTGTATCAGACTTACCATCGGAGGTAGTCCCTTGTTCTTCATGTTCAACATATTGGGTCTTAGGAAGCCCCCTCTCTCTCCGTCGATTGGAGTACCAGCAGGACGGATGCTGACAGACAACCTGTCCGCATGACGTTTCATCTATCCTGACACTACTATCCATCATCATCTTTGCTTGGAGAGGAAATATTTTTGAGGATGTAGCAGAAGTGTATCTGTAATGTAGACAATAGATAGATTAGTAAATTTGCATTTACCAGTACTGTGGCCTAGACCCTAGTAAGGTGTCTGGAGGAGTTTTCTATTTCAGAAACTACTTGTTCAAAGGACCTGATATTTTTTCTTCAGATCTTGAGTCCAGAATACCAGGTACTGTAAACTTTGATGTACACAATTTCAGGTCAATCATTGTTTTTGCTTTTGAGTAATGCTCAATTTTTTTTCCTGCTTAATCCCTTCTGTTGACCTGTACAAATCAAGTGGCATTAAATCATCATCCAAGTGAAATGCTTGAGAGCACACAGAGTTATGAAGTTTGTGAGTCAATTTGCATACATTTTCTAGGGCTCTGTGGAGCAGTTGGAGGGTATTTTCAAATTAATGTTAACTTGTGATCTTATAGCATTTTATAGAAAATTCCTGCAGAATCAAAATGTTGAACATTTGAAAATACATGTACTTTAATCCTAATGGACAAGATTACAGCTCCAAAAATTACGAAGATGTAGACTATTGCAAAACACACCTTTTGTTTTAATGAAAAAGAATCAAACACAGACTAATGTTACAACCTCTCTGTACTCAAAGAAATACCATATAATTTCCTTTCATCATATGAAATCAAATGCCAACAGGATCATATCTTGTGCTTTAGTTGGCAATAGCTAGTTAGTTGACAATAGCTTCTGCTTTAAAAACTGTGTCAACTTTTTGTACTGATTAAAGAATAAAAAGAGTTGACACTATAATAGATTTGGCCGCCCTTCAGACTGCATGTTCGTCTCCAAATCAGACAACCTAACTCTATCATTAGATATGCCTGAATGCCAATAAATATGAACCATATTAAATATCAATATTAAATTTCATATCAGATATTAGACCGAAAGCTTCAGTCTCTATAATCGTCGGTTGTTCCACTGAGACTACGTCTGGCTCCACTAGACCTCCGGTTATAGAGACTGAACGACTGCCTATGCCAGCCTGTGTTGAACTTATTCCGCTAGATTTTAGCCGCTAGGCCCCTCCCACAAACTTGCCACGGCCGTATTGTTATGCCCCCAAAATCCCCCAAAATGTCATTTTACCTCGTTCATTTCCAATTTTAGATTAGGCCTAGGCTATAATACATCGGTTCCACTTACTAACTTGATTGATATAATCCGTTTAATGGTCCCTTTTAAGGAAATTATCGGTCAAAATCGACATCCATGTTGAAAATCTTGCAAGCCGTGTTAAACTCTCGCTGCCGTCAATCTCATCCCTTCTAGTCTACGCCGAAGGCAAAATGATTATGAAGGAAAAACTGTGCGCCATCTACACGTTCGTAATGGCGTTATCACAGTTTTTCCTTCATAATCATTTTGCCTTCGGCGTAGACTAGAAGGGATGAGATTGACGGCAGCGAGAGTTTAACACGGCTTGCAAGATTTTCAACATGGATGTCGATTTTGACCGATAATTTCCTTAAAAGGGACCATTAAACGGATTATATCAATCAAGTTAGTAAGTGGAACCGATGTATTATAGCCTAGGCCTAATTTAAAATTGGAAATGAACGAGGTAAAATGACATTTTGGGGGATTTTGGGGGCATAACAATACGGCCGTGGCAAGTTTGTGGGAGGGGCCTAGCGGCTAAAATCTAGCGGAATAAGTTCAACACAGGCTGGCATAGGCAGTCGTTCAGTCTCTATAACCGGAGGTCTAGTGGAGCCAGACGTAGTCTCAGTGGAACAACCGACGATTATAGAGACTGAAGCTTTCGGTCTAATCAGATATCAGTTATCACGATTGAATTACACGTTACTTGTACTGATCGACATCAATTTTGCTTTGTTGATGCTTAAATACCAAATAAGGTTTCAACTGGATAATACAAAAAAGACAGCTCATAATTATTATTTAATCACTGGGTTTCAAATTTAAATTTGAATAAATTTCATCTTTCACGAGTTCAAGAAGACAAGAGAACGATGTCACACGACACATGACAACAACAACTTCAGTTAAATTCAAGAAAAAATGTTTTTAACATTATTCTAGTCTACTGTAGACTATATTAGCTGAGCTCTCTTACTTTTTTAGCACATTAAATTAGAAATCGTTGAAAAATTCTTATGATAACGGAGATATATTCTGCAGAGTAAACGTTTGATTTATTCTTCAAGCGGCTGGATCTGGATCTTGAACGGCTCCGAAAAATCCCAACGTAACTTGCCAGACTCCACCGCTGCGGTACAGGCGCCGCATCACTTGACGATACCCATGCCTGATTCTGGAAAGACGCGTTTGAAAATAACAGTCGATTGATCATGAAATTACACCCCTTCAGCACGTAATTCGCTAGGTATGTAGCCTCTTCACAATCATTGCGTTATAGATAATCCAATATTTGACGTTCTGCAACGACGATTTTCTTTCATTTCAAAAATATTAATCCGTTAATTTTAGTTTCACACACGGTAATTCCCCTGAAGCAGCGTCGTCTCCATGGTATCTGTGTATCTCTAGCAGATCAGAGCGCACGTTAGTGCGTTTACGTGTGAAGGACATACAAGTATTTACGCACGAACATTTCTGCGCTAGAAAATCTATACCTGGCAACGATACTTACAGAGAATGAGAAGATGTTCATGTCGCAGAAGACAATTATACAAAAGTGGATGTGTTTGAAAAGAATATTGGTGTGTATAAAGTGGCATTTTCCCTCGATGAAGCACTTTTATGAGGAAGTATGGAAGTTTTTGTAAATACCCGGCCCTAAAACTGAGAATTGCATGAAAAACATACTATTTCTTAACATCCACTTTGGTTGTTTTGTTCACAAAAGCTAGTGTGTATGTTTTGAGGGTGTGTTTTTCAGGAGCGTCGTACATATCCCCTTCCCGATTGAAGGCATCAGTTTGTATATTTAAACAATATATATACAATATAATTACCGGAGGGTAAGAGGAGACATGATCCAAGTTTTCAAGATATTTCACGGTATAGATAGACTCGATCCAGATTGCTTTTTTGTGAACTTCACAGTATCAGAGAACAAGAGGGTTCCATGACACATGCTCCGCCGACGATTGCTCCGCCGACATTTACTCCGCAAAACGCGACAATTGCTCCGCGACATTTGCTCCGCGACATTTGCTCCGACGTCAAATGCTCCGCCGACAGGTGCTCCGCCGACAGTTGCTCCGCCGACAGTTGCTCCGCCGACAATTGCTCCGCCGACAGATGCTCCGCCGACAATTGCTCCTCCGACAATTGCTCCGCCGACAATTGCTCCGCCGTCAATTGCTCCGCAAAACGCGACAATTGCTCCGCCGACATTTGCTCCGCCGACATTTGCTCCGCCTGAAGCGACACTTGCTCCGCCGACATTTGCTCCGCCGACATTTGCTCCGCCGACATTTGCTCCGCCGTCAATTGCTCCGCCGACAATTGCTCCGCCGACAATTGCTCCGCCGACAATTGCTCCGCCTGAAGCGACAATTGCTCCGGTGACATTTGCTCCGCCGACATTTGCTCCGCATGAAGCGACACTTGCTCCGGTGACATTAATTTTGCTCCGACGACATTTGCTCCGCCCAAAAAGTGTCCCATTAAATACAAATGCTACTAGTACTACGACAAATGCTTCGCCGACAATATTTTTTTTTCACGGGTTGTTTTTGTTTCTTTCTTTTTTTCTTCATTTTTTGAATGCATTTCATGACATTATGTAAATGAAATGAAATGAATGAATGTTGATAATGTGGGAGGAAAAAGCAGTTGCCTAAAAGTCATTTCGAATATACTGAAATAACTTTCCATCTATCACTGTACGTCCCACATAATGTACACTAAACACTCATTACATGTCATGGGAAGTTTTTTTTTTTTAAATAGAGCAGCAAGCCACATTCCCCAATACGCGCATACCTCCTAGTTAATTTCAAACAGCTCATCAATAATGTAAGACCTGAAATTACCTCAATGAAAGAAGACTAATAACATGAGAGGAAAGAAAAGAACAAAAAAGACAACCGTCTTTTGCTATTCCCCATAATGTTTGATTTAAAAAAATAAAAAATAAAATTATAGCTCCTTACGCAAGTTCTCCGGCGAAAGATAATTACTCCGCTCAAAATCTGTTTCATGTATTACTCATTAGCTGATCCAAAGCTCAAGGCTATCTCTCTCTCTCTCTCTCTCTTTCTCTCTCTCCCATGCTCCTCCTTTTCCTGTTTACACCGTTTTCTTGTCTTCTTTGCTCTTTTCTTTCCTTTCATGCTATTAGTCTTCTTTCATTTCCATCACTTCTTCTCTGCTCCCCCTCTCGAGTTCTATTTCTCTCGTGAAATTGAAACGTAAAGTAATACAATCATGTAGTACATTCTTGTTTAGAATAATATTTTCAATAATATCCAGTCCATTTTCTAAAGGTTTCTTTCCTTTAGTTAAGTGTATGTAGCTTTAATATATTATGTTAGTGTGCAAAACACTCCGTTTCATTCGAGTACTTTGTTTTCACTAAATAATTTAAGGGACTCACGAAGCCACCGGAAGAAGAGCAATTGGCTTATCATGAAGAACTAACATCAAACTGCAACAAAATGATTTGTATAAATGTGAATAAGCAGAAAGGCTGCCATCTCATTTTCCCGTCTGAATGGGTTCTCTTCCTTACGTATATAAGTGCCCTTATTTTCTAAACTTTTTTTTTATATTTGTGTGTTTATTAAATTTTCAATCATATAAAAATTACATATTTACAAGTCATTGGTAATAGTTAGACAAACAAAAAAACCAATATGTATAAGAACAACTAACAATAATGAAAGGACAAGAAAGTTATAAAAAAAAAACATTATAGTAAAAAAAAAATACACTGTACACATTTGAACTCCAGTGCATAAAGGGGAGTGAGGGGGCAAAGGAATAAAAGTTAAATCAACATGAGTATCATAAGTCAAATCGCCATTTCTTAAAATGCGAAACAAGCTTGTTCCTTTTTTTCGCTGAGAAATATTCAATATCTTTTTGTTTCTTTATAAAACTCTTAAAAAGATCAACACTTGGTAAATCCCCCTTACTTATTTTCTAAACTTCCATGATGACCTATTACATTGTATAATGCTTTACCTAGTAAGATGCATTGATCGAGGTAATTTCAGGTATTACATATTGATGAGCTACTTGAAATTAACTAGGAGGTATGCGCGTATTGGGAAATGTGGCTTGCTGCTCTACTTTTTTTAAAAAACTTCCCACGACATGTAATGAGTGTTTAGTATACATTATATGGGACGTACAGTGATAGATGGAAAGTTATTTCAGTATATTCGAAATGACTTTTAGGTAACTCCTTTTTCCTCCCACTTCATCAACATTCATTCATTTCATTTCATCTACATTATTTCAAGAAATGCATTCAGAAAATGAAGAAGAAAAAAAGAAACGAAAAAAATAGGTGTAAAGAAAATATTGTCGGCGAAGCATTTGTCGTAGTACTAGTAGCATTTGTAGTTTATGGGACACTTTTTGGGCGGAGCAAATGTCGTCGGAGCAAATGTCGGCGGAGCAATTGTCGCTTCAGGCGGAGCAATTGTCGGCGGAGCAATTGTCGGCGGAGCAAATGTCGGCGGAGCAAGTGTCGCTTCAGGCGGAGCAAATGTCGGCGGAGCAAATGTCGGCGGAGCAATTGTCGCGTTTTGCGGAGCAATTGACGGCGGAGCAATTGTCGGCGGAGCAATTGTCGGAGGAGCAATTGTCGGCGGAGCATCTGTCGGCGGAGCAATTGTCGGCGGAGCAACTGTCGGCGGAGCAACTGTCGGCGGAGCAACTGTCGGCGGAGCATTTGACGTCGGAGCAAATGTCGCGGAGCAAATGTCGCGGAGCAATTGTCGCGTTTTGCGGAGTAAATGTCGGCGGAGCAATCGTCGGCGGAGCATGTGTCGGGTTACCAACAAGAGGCCATTCATCGAAGCTATTCACTCCTCGCTGTCGATTGAATGTCAGGAGTAACTTTTTTTAGCAATCGGGTCATCCAGTCTTGGAACAGTTTACCAGAGTCTCTAGTAACTGCTACCAGACAAACACTTTGCTATAGCATAGTCTGACATCCACGCATGCTCTGATATAGACCTTTACTAATGTACCAAATGATCTGACCGGGAAACCTACAGGATATCCTACACTCCCGTATATGGTGATGATGATGATTTAGAAGAAGTCTTCTTTCTGATAAATTTAGTCCATGAGGCTGACAAAGACCTTTTTATCGATCAGTTAGATGGTCTAAGTAATTTTGAGGGGTCAAATTTTATGAATAGGACGGGGACATTTCGCGGGCAAGGCTCCGAGTCCTAGCCTAGTTTATTAATAGATAAATATCTTGGTTTTCATTTACCAGGTATTTGTATAGGCCTATAGTAATTAAACAGGTCTATTAAGTTGACACCGAATTTATTACTTTTTTTTTTTTATTGATTTTGTTATATCAAAGGTCTAGAAAAACTTTCACTAGATTATATACAACATTTTATCAGAAAAGTACAAATAGCCTATATTTGGCCTATTAGTTATGTATGGCCACCGGGTAAAAACGAAAACATGTAACCATGCATGGTAAAAACTTGGCGGGACTTTTATAGCCTGCATGACTTGTACATGAAGGAGATCATCAGTTGGAGTATAAGCTAATAGAGTAATGGTCGATTTTGATGGGAATCCCTCTGACATCCACTCGTGTATCCAACCCATTAATTTTCTATTAAAAAATGTTATCAACCATAACGTCAACCGTTTTGTCAACCATTTCCCCTGCCGTCGTATCTCTTGCTTCAATATTTTCTCTTCAAAGCTTGAAGCAGCATAACGCACTTGCATGGGAAATTTCAAATCTCAACATTTTCTTAGAATGGTAAGACCCCTACAACATTTTTTTTTCTTCGAGGGGAACCCCGCTGCACCCGCCATAGTGTCTCGGTTAACCCCAAACCATGGTTTGGGGTTAACCCCCCCCCCCCCCCCCCCCCTGCGTACGCGCCTAAAAATCGCTTCACTGGGCCTGTCCCATTACTATTGTGAATTCGTTGACGACTGGGAAAAGTCCTGGTTACGATCGATGGTGTCAAGATGACATAAAACAGGTTATTTTAGGGATTATATTCAACCCAGTTCTACATGTTTTTAATTTATCAATTTTAAATGGAATAGTCCCTGAAAACATGAAAATTGCAAAAGTCGTACCCGTTTTTATCATGTTTATCTTGTTGCTATTTTAAGTACCAACCATTATTTGGTCCAGAGGGGGCCCTAAAATTTACAAGCTCTGCTTTTACCAGGGTCTCCTCGTCTTTCTTTTGGTTCACTTTGTTTCTATCATTGCCATAATTCTTTTCTTAATTGCATTGTAAATGTATGATGATCTAATGTTATGCTCTATGTGTCATTTGAAAGAAAGACGAATAAATATCTCATGTTATCTTATCTGTCTTATCTATATGCCGATTTTACAGCCATGTATCCCGCGTCATGCACCCCGCCTCCCTGCCTCCCCCACACACACACCTTTCAATGGAAAATCCTGGATTCTTCCCTGTGACTAGCTACATCAGCCATATAATACTCGTAATAGTAATAGGCCTAGCTAGGCTATGTATATCTTTATTGGCCCCTAAAAAAAATGAAATTGAGTCCAAAGGCATCACTCAGTGGGCGTGGCAATGCAGTCATGCGCTTTTTATTCGTACAACTTTTTTGCCATTTAGGAGGTATGTCAGGGGCTCGTCTCCGAAATAGTCTGATTTCTAGACAAAATTAATCACTTTGTCCATAAATATTTCTATCAGAATATAATATTGTTTAAATCAATTATTATCGAACATTTATGATCTATTAAAAAAACTATAAAAATTAATAATAATGAATGTTGATTGCATACTGAAGAATTGTGATTGAAAGTATTATCCCCCGGTATTATCCTTATGATGAAAAAAGTTTGGATGGTGAAAGCTAGAGCTCAAGCACACGCCAATAACAACTAAAACAACAAAACAACGTTTGTTATTATCGGTATCATTTTCGCTACCGATGAAAATCCTGTAGCGCTGCATGCATGCCGTACGTGTATACTCGATCGCGGCGAGGCTCCAAGTTCTCGATCAAAGCATTCATTCAAGACTTTATTTTCTGTCTCGACTTTTGACCTATGTTCTCTTCTTCAAGACTTGCCCAACTAACTGCCATCAGTGAATGGTAAGCTTATAATTTAAATACAATCTGGAATCCCTTTCAACTCCCTTGCCGGTTTCTGGCCTGGCGCTAGCGCTAGCGGCGTAGCGCTGGCCCACACATCCTGATTGCATGAAGCTGCTAGCTGTGCAGTGTGCTATTGATTCTCAACATTTAATTCAAACTCCACTGCACAAAACTCAACTGATTTCACTCAAATTAGTACCTTGGTGACAATTGATGACACCTAAATAGCAGTAAAAATACCATTTTTTAAACTTACCAAAGTTAGAAAGAATAATTTAAATATTCAAATTGGAAGTCTAGACTGTAACTAAGTCTAGACTAAGTGTAAGTTAGACCTAAAAGTTAGATGATAGATCTAGGGTCTACTCTTAAACTTGCCGATCAGCCACATCGGCATGATTGTGTGCATTTGTGTGTTATAAGTGTATTGACTATTCATGTGTGCAATAATAATAATAATAATAATAATAATAATAATAATAATAATATCCTAATAGTCCACTCCAAATTTTATTAAACCGAAACGGAAATTCTTTTTGCCTCTTGGCACGTAGTAGACCTAGAGGTCTACAGTGCTAGAGGTCAATACGCATTAGCATTGACTCTTTATGCTTTGCTGGAGTGCGCTGACCCAGTTAATCAAGTCCATTCGTTTACGTGCAGTTGTCCAAAATAAGACGTAGATGGCGTCAACCAGTATTTCCCATGCTACAGCCCTTTTATTTAAGTCTGTGACAATGAGAGAATTCAGAAGTCAGCGGGTTAACTTAAATGGTAAAAAACCTTATGGGGGTCGATTTGCATGCGTTAGCTCATACACATTCCACGTTCCAATTTTACATGCTTGAATTTTTGTTTGTGGACTACCCTGCCATGCCTTTAAAGTACTGAACTGGTAGACTATGTATTTACTCCAGTTACACAGCCAAACCTGCAGAAAACTAACAAAATTTGCTTATTTGAGGTGATGTAATTGTTTGTTTGATCTGTGAGAGTGTTGGTCTCTTCTGTGCGACTGACATACCGTACATGTAAATACACTGAATGCAAGACTTGCTCAATCTATAAAAGGATCCCTTTAATACACTTGGGCAATTCCAATGAATGGGAGACACATCTCATATTGAGACAGCTTTAATGAGTTGGGTAAACATAACAGTAATCTGCATTTCTCTTTCTGCATACCCCATAAAACAGTGTGTTTAGGAAGAAGCTGAGTGAAAATGTATGAAGGAAAAAGAAAGTTTGTGATTTCGAGGGGGAGACATATTTGGTAGGTCTGTCATATTTGGTAGGCATTTGTTTTATACCAGTATTCATTTCGTACTTTGCAATTGTGAACAGTAGCCATTTCAGGTACATTTACATTTTATCAATGGATAAATTATTGACAGCTGGCTATATGCTAGAAGACAAGCCTCTGCATTATTAGAGTCCCATATATACGCCAATCAACTGCTGGTCAAACATTCAACTTCTCTTCACTACTAAAGGAGGCAAGATGGCTCAGTGGTAAAGCAGTGGTCTTATAACCGGGATGTCCTGGGTTCAAAACCAAGTTAATGTGCTAGTAATTGGCATGAATCCTCATTACCAAGTCCCTCAGAGAGAATGCTGTCAGTTCCCTGGTTGCTACTTACACATGTACAAGCATACACATGCTTTCTTAGCAATCAGGTAAAGGAAAACAAACAAAACAAGCTAGCAGCCTTTCTTTGATCTGTAAATTCTTCTGTCTGAAGGTTGTAGAATCTTGTTTTGTAGAATGTCACAAAACTGATATTCCATTTGTATCTTTATGTGTCTTGATGCAGGTTGTAGCACATCTGGAGTTTCAGACGGAAGACAAAATTGCTTGTGTTGGAGTGGATTACATGAGAGTTTGATTCATTGGAATCAGTTGGACTGAATTGAGACCGACGAGGAACCCACAGATTCGAAATCTGCATTTGGATTATTAAAGTTTGTTGTTGGTTTGGATTTATGAGAGCCAAACAACAACCAAGCTAGAGATTGGAATCAGCATCATCATCATGTCTGGTCTCAAAAGACTGCCGTTGCTTTTCAAACAGCCCGTTCGTCGAGCTAGCTTCATGGACAAGATGTCCAAAGATGTCAGGTCCAAGAATCCGTTGAAATGGACAGACTACGGAGATGGCCTCAATGCATCGAGACCTCCCAAGCATGCTGACATTGTGGTGATTGGGGGAGGGGTCATGGGGTCCAGTGTGGCCTACTTCTTGAGGCGGCAGGCTCAGGCGGGAGTAAGCGTTTGCGTTGTGGAGAGAGACATGAGTGTAAGTATGTTGTAGGAGCGTCATGGTTGATAGTACATGTATATATAAAGAAGTTAGGGGTTGATTTTCTAATGTAGCTCTGGGGGGTGTTTCACGAAGATCCTAAGTTGAACTTATCTATAAGTTGGACTTTAAAAATTATGGAAAGCTGTTAGCATCTATGAAAATGTTTTGTAAAAGTTATTTTAATAGGCATGAAATGTTGATTTGAATCCTTCATGTTTTCTGTTATCAAGGAGATTTCATGTTCTTGATGTGGTATTTATAGAAAGTCTGAAATACTTGAATTTTCGCTTTTAAATATACTTTATTTTAAGGCTACAAATGGCTCTCCATAAGTTTTAAGTTCAACTTAGAGTGAGGCTCGACTTAGGATCCCTGAGGTGATGCATTATTTTCATATAATTTCTCAATCGTTAGTTCAAGCCTCCTATCCTATGTATAGAAGAGTTTATAAAATCACTTGAAGATAAACATCATAAACTTGTAGTGTTTGTCTGTTTCTCTTAACTTCATGCAAATTTAATAATTAAAAAAAAAGATACTCAAAGGGAATAATTCCATTTTATTTTTAACTATAGCCTTAATCAAGTTACCAAGTAGATAAAAACGTTTGCTGCATCCTTGAACATATTCCTTATAAAACTGTTCTTCATTTTCATTTTTCTTCACATATATCTCCAGTATACAAGAGCATCGAGTGCCCTTGCAGTCGGGGGAATCCGACAACAGTTTTCAGTTCCAGAAAATATCTATATGTCTCTCTACAGTGCACACTTCCTAAGAAACATCAAGGTATGTTGGTATGGATCTGTTTTTAGTCACCTATCAAAGTTGTTTACAAAGGCTAAATAAATTGGACTTTCCTCTTCAAATTTACATCTCTGTTTGCGTTTGCACTTTTACTGATAAACTTGTAGTGCCATCTTACTTGGAAATACTTGAATAGTAAAAAGTATTACACTGTACATTATATGGGATAACTAGTAAATTAATCATTTTTTTAAAATTGCTGTCAATCTGAAGATTTTAACCCTTTGGCAACTGTATTTAGTCATTCCCATAAGGTTAAATACAGGGCTTTAATTTGTTTAAGGTGTAAGATTAAGATTAGGGTTGCAATTGGGTTTTAGGTTAGGTTTAGGGTTAGTATCATGTTGGGTCGAAGGCTACAGTTAAGAAATGGGTTAATGTGAGAAATATGCCATTTTTGTAATGTAATCAAATTATAGCACAAATCTTTTTGATTTAATTCACCTGTTATTGCAATTCGCATTCTGACTATTGAAATACAATTATTCATCAAAGGTGAATGAAATATTTTTATTAAAGGCTCTTAAAGGTAATGCAAAGTTTTGGGAAATTTTAAAAATAGGATGGATAGTAATTCTTTAAATTTTGATATATTTGGATGCCCCTGTGGATGTATTACAAGCACTAGAAAATTTAGCCCCTAAACACTTCTGCTTTCGAGAAATTGAATATTAAAAAATTTACCAGTGCTCCCGGTAAATTTAAAATATTTCAAATAACACCTAAGGCTATTCCATTGTAGCTGGGACTATAAAAATCTCTGAATATTCAGTTCTGGAATATAATTTCCAAACGGGAATAGCAAATTGGTCGATTGTAGTCTAGAAACATTGATTTAAAGCTTAAATAATATCAGTCTTGAGAGGACGTTATACAACATAAAGAGTTTATTATTTACAGTTTCATCACTTTAGACTCTATTTCAACCGCGACAACGATCATTGAATAATTTAGGATCCCAATATGCTTCCAATATGTTCATTTGAACCAAATTCATGACCCAATACCAAAACATTGTAATACCTTTAACAAAGATGTTTACAAAAATGGTCTATTGGCAGCAGGGCAAATCTTTCACATTGTTATTTTTTACATTGTGAATCTCAGCAATACCTTTGTGTAGATGACAGAGATCCTCCTTAACAAAGATGTTTACGAAAATGGTCCATTGTCAGCATAGCAAATCTTTGACCTTGTTATTTTTTACATTGTGAATCTCAGCAATACGTTTGTGTAGATGACAGAGATCCTCCTTAACAAAGATGTTTACGAAAATGGTCCATTGTCAGCATAGCAAATCTTTGACCTTGTTATTTTTTACATTGTGAATCTCAGCAATACGTTTGTGTAGATGACAGAGATCATCCTTAACAAAGATGTTTACGAATATGGTCCATTGTCAGCAGGGTAAATCTTTCACCTTGTTACTTTTTACATTGTGAATCTCCGCAATTGAGCAATACCTTTGTGTAGATGACAGAGATCCTCCTTAACAAAGATGTTTACGAATATGGTCCATTGTCAGCATAGCAAATCTTTTACCTTATTATTTTTTACATTGTGAATCTCAGCAATACCTTTGTGTAGATGACAGAGATCCTCCCGACATCCAATTCAACCACCAGGGATACCTCACGCTTGCGTCGCCCGACAACGCTCATATCTTAGAAGAGAACTTCAAGCTACAGACGTGAGTTTCTAGTCGATGGATCATTTGCTCATTATACCTCACAGGCTCATGTATTTATTAAGAATGTGCACAAGTTTTTCGTTCGTTCATTTTTTCATTTTTCATTAAAAACACAGCAAATGCAAATAAACATTCAAGTATATATACATACAAAGAATGTTCAGTTTATACGATAACTTCAAATGAAATAGGAGAACAACGGAAAAGCCCATGGTGGCCTTGTTTAAAAAAGTATACACTAGTTAAAGATATCACAAAATATAGCGATAAAAAACACAATATAATGTGCACAAGTTTTATAGTCATAATGGCATAAAGTCATATACACTGTACTCTTTTTTATTAGAAGATACGCATAGGCTCTAGCTTCACACTTTCACCAAATTAAATGTGACCTTAGCCAAGCCTAAGTTCTATATAATATTTGTTTTAAAGTAGAACACATTTTGTGTAGTGCCTGGCAGAAGGATATAAACACTAATTTATTTCAAACTTACCGTATACATTTTTCAGTTTTGATAGCCATTGATATCACTCTTTACAATTTGGAAAATGTGTAAAAATCAAGATTAAATAATAGGTCTTGTATGCTGCTAAAATTAAAAACCATTTTCGATTACCGGTATTATTATTTTTTGTTGTTGGTGGTAATTTTTGTTATTGTTGCTGGATTAAAATCTAATCTAAAATCAGTTTGACGAAAGAAATAATAAGAAATAGGGTTGCTTTTTCGATTACCATGTTCTTGATTCTAAATTGAATACGGTCTGAAACAACAGTAATTACTTCAATTAGAATTTTGTTTTTGATTCTAGTGAACTTGGTGCAAAGCTTGAACTTCTGTCGTCGACTGGACTGAAAGAACGGTTTCCTTGGATAAACAATGAAGGGGTAGAAGTTGGTGCTTATGGTAAGTAGGTTCAGAAAAGCTTGATCATCTAGCATATAAGTACGGTATTGGTGTGTACTGCAAGGTTCTGGAATCAACAAAATGATAAGAAATTTGACCCAGTCTTGGTAAAGTTACAAGTACTGTACACAGATAGATGTATATGGGACTACGCGACACGTGCGCGATATCTATCAGGTCCAAATAGATATAATAATTTACCAAATATATCAAATAGTAGGCTGTTTCTTGGCAAAATTTGTATCGTCACGTAATAGTCACAACATATCCTTTCACATGATTGGTAATAAGAGCTTCCATTTCTTTTTTCGAGAGGGGGGCGTTTCTAAAACTAGTCTTTGCCTTTTAAACTACATAAAATCCACACTATCTCCTAAGGACAATTTTATGCAACAAACTTTTTATTATTAACACAATTTCTTACTGTCTGCTGCCTCGAGATCACTTGAGCGAAGAAAGGTAACAATGTATAGCAAGAGTTCCCATTGAATGAAACCCCAAGCAGAAACAGTCTCTGCAAGCTCAGTAGATAATCTACTCTATGTCACATGCTGTCACTCCTTTATTCATTCTCTTAACTGTCTTGTAATGCTAATAGGTTTTGAGAATGAAGGTTGGTTCAACCCATGCCTTCTTGCAAGATCCTTCAAGCAGAAAGCAAGAGTGTCTAGGAGCAAATTAGTTTGGTCAATCCCCTGTTTTATTCCATTTTAATCACCCAATGTTGCTCTTCTTTCCTTTAGGTTTGGAGAACGAAGGCTGGTTCGACCCGTACCTTCTAACCAGATCCTTCCAGCAGAAAACAGTCTCTGCAAGCTCAGTTGATGTCTACTCTATGTCGCATGCTGTCACTCCTTTATTCATTCTTTTAATTGTCTTGTCTTACCTTTAGGTTTGGAGAACGAAGGCTGGTTTGACCCATACCTTCTAACCAGATCCTTCAAACAGAAAGCAAGAGGTTCTAGGAGCAAATTAGTTTGATCAACGCCCGATTTTACTCTATTATTCACCCAATGTTGTTCTTCTTGCCTTTAGGTTTGGAGAACGAAGGCTGGTTCGACCCGTACCTTCTAACCAGATCCTTCCAGCAGAAAACAGTCTCTGCAAGTTCAGTAGCTAGTCTACTCTATGTCGCATGCTGTCACTCCTTTATTCATTCTTTTAATTGTCTTGCCTTGCCTTTAGGTTTGGAGAACGAAGGCTGGTTCGACCCGTACCTTCTAACCAGGTCCTTCCAGCAGAAAGCAGAGTCTCTGGGAGCGCAGTACTGTCGAGGTGAAGTCATCGGCTTTGAGTGTAACCAAGTTGACAAAGGGATGGGTGTTCCTGGATACTACCAGGGACAGGGCAAGAGGATCAAGTCCGTCAAGGTTGGTGCTTGTAAACCAATCGTAGCTATTTCATAAGGGACCATCATTTTATACATCAGAGCTACTAACAAATATCCGCCAACAACAATGAGAGTTGACAGCGACCGAAACAATGAATATTTAGGGTTGTTTTAACTACAAGCCGGTCAAATAGACATTTTTACTACCTGGTACATTATCATTAGATGAATTCAAAACGTCAAATCGTACACCGATTCTTATTTTCTTCATAGGCATGACAAGAACTCAACTTTATCTTTAATCCTGGACAAAAGTTGGTCCACTTTTATGAGAAAAAGTCTCTGTGTTTTTTTTAGGGAGATTTGCATTGGCATGGCGGTAATGTCCACAGTTTGGTGAGCTCTTTGTCTTCAACTACAAATTGACTCTTAACATACCCAGGTTTGAAACTGAGTCACGTCTTTCAGATGGTGACGTTATAGGTCGGTCCCAGATGTAATTAATCATATCTTATTGGTACAGTCAAACCTGTCTATAGCGACCGCCCAAGGGAAACAACAAATGTGGCCTGTGTAGACAGGTGGTCACTAAAGCAGATCTGACAGGACAACTGTAAGAACTCAGTTTTACACACACACACACACACACACTCTCTGTTTTATCAATTCTCAGGTGAGGATGCCCAACAGTCCGGAAGTAATTGACGTTAACTGCGCCATGGCGGTGGTCTGCGCCGGCTCCTGGTCAGGCGAGATAACATCCATGCTGGGCATCGGTCAAGGGTCGGCTGAAGACTTGCTTGACGTACCCCTGCCCGTGGAGCCCAGGAAGAGGTATGTCTACGTGACCCACTGCCCAGATGGCCCTGGTCTGGACTTCCCGATGATCATCAACCTCGATGGGGTCTATGCCAGGAGGGAGGGGCTTGGAGGCAACTATGTCATGGGATCTTGTCCGTTTCCAGATCAGGTGGGTATAGGAAGTGATCTAACATTTGCTTTGGCGACATTTGGATATATTATGACTTACTTGACTTAAGTGCACAGGCCGGAGTGTCCTCTTACGCTCCTCCAGGTGGTCCGCCTCCATTCACTTCTGTCCTGGGCTTGGTGTTGAGCAGCCCCCAGGCTGGCTTAATCCAGAGTCTTGGCGGATTTGGTCTTTCCACCTCAGGGGAGGACGTCCCGATGCCCGTGGATATATTATACTTGATGCCTATATGTAAACTAAGTAGCACAGGAAGCGCATCAGGTGTCTTAGAGTTGTGTAAATAATGAAAGAGATGTGAGTTATTAATAGTATCTGTGTTGTTATTTTTGCTGTTGATCGTGATCATGACAATGACGACGATGATGATAACAATATTAATAATATTCCGCTTTAATATAGCGCCCAATACATCCATACAACGATGTGCCTACCGGTAAGTGCTTTACAGATATATTATTACCCTGGTCATCGGATTCATGCTTACCCGCACACAGTGTATGCACATTTTCCACTCCCTGGGGACGCATGGTGCTGTATTTTTATGCCTCCGTTACGAAGTAGCCGGAGGCATTATGTTTTCGGGTTGTCCGTCCGTCCGTACGTACGTCTGTACGTCTGTACGTACGTACGTCCCGTTCTTGTGATCGCGTTATCTGAAGAACCGATCGATGGATTCCTGCCAAACTTTGGTCATGTATGTATCTTGCAGAGCCGATGAACTGATTAGATTTTGGGGTCACGAGGTCAAAGGTCAAAGGTCACAGGGCTCATTAGGTATGCAAAAACAGCTCGTGATCGCGTTATCTGAAGAACCAATTGATGGATTCCTGCCAAACTTTGGTCATGTATGTATCTTGCAGAGCCAATGAATTGATTAGATTTTGGGGTCATGAGGTTAAAGGTCAAAGGTCACAGGGCTCATTATGTATGCATAAACAGCTTGTGATCGCGTTATCTCAAGAACCGATTGATGGATTGCTACCAAACTTAGGTCATGTATGTTACTTGCAGAGCCGATGAACTGATTAGATTTAGTGGTCATGAGGTCAAAGGTCAAAGGCCACAGCACACATTATGTATGCAATAACAGCTTGTGATCGCGTTATCTCAAGAACCGATTGATGGATTCCTGCCAAAATTAGGTCATGTATGTTACTTGCAGAGCCAATGAACTGAGTAGATTCTTGGTTCATAAGGTCAAAGGTCAAAGATCATGGGCTCATTATGTATGCAAAAATAGCTTGTGAACACATTCTCATTAGAACTGACAGATGGATTACTATTTAACTCAGGACATCTTGCAGAGCCAATGAACTGAGTAGATTTTAGGGTCATGAGGTCAAAGATCAAAGGGTCATATATGTATATGAGAAATTGCTTGTAATCACGATATTCTGAGAACCTGTCAATGGATTACAATTGAACTTGAATCCGAAAAATTTCTTCTGTTTTGGTTTGTAAAATTGCTCTATGACGGAGGCATCATTTTCGACTGCGCGCAGTCGAATTCCATCTAGTTTTTTTTTCTCTTTGCCTCTTCAAAGGGACTTTATTGTTCCATTTCAAAATACATATATATTATTTACAAAACAAGTAAAATGAAACATGAATTATATACAAGATCAACATAATATCTTAAAATTATCATTTTAACATTTCTAATACTTTCTTAACTTCCTCAATATCGAAGTATTTTATATTTTCTTTGTATTTCAAATAACATTTTAATGATGAAATAATATAGTATTAATGACTGCTTTGAGAGAAATAGTATAGTATTAATGACTGCTTTGAGAGAAATAGTTGTTTTATTACGCTCAAGGGAAGGTTAGAATTGTGCTATTCCCCGAGGCTTGCCGAGGGGAATAGCCCAATTGTAACCTTCCCGAGAGCGTATGAAAACAACTATTTCTCGAATATTAAAGCAGTCATTAATACTTTTATATGCCGAAAAAAAATAGACTAAAAAATAAAAAATAAAAAATAATTTACATTTTTGTCGAAGACGGGATTCGAACTCTTGCGTACAACAAGAGGTGTATCGAAAACCAACGCTTAGACCACTCGGCTATCGCGCGCCGTTAACATGCTTGGCAGTTTTCTCCAATATATACATTAAAATGGATTGAAAACGGCTCCGCGTGAGGGATGCTTCGCAAAAGCTCCATGAAACGGACCCTTCTTTTACTTTTGCAATGCATATTGGCACGAACTTAGATCAAGATCTATCGGCAGATGTTGTTTTTTTGTTTTTGAGAGTTAATTTTCGTCTTCATGTCAACAATGCAAGATAAAATTGTCGGTAAGATCGATCGAGATTCAATTGTATTGAAATTGCCGACCAATTTTTCGCACACGTATGGTATCCTCCATCGCTCAAACCATTTTTTAACATGTAAACCTATGGGGTAACCATGGAGACTGACCTATTTTTTTAATAACCATGGTTATTAAAAATATTGAAATGTTTTAAGCATGGTTACCGGGAATTTTACAGGAACAGTTGAAGTTTATGAATGCAATTCGACCAATCAGATGGCTGGATTTCTTAAGTGAGGTATATAATATAGTATTAATGAATGATCAACATAATATCTTAAAATTATCATTTTAACATTTCTAATACTTTCTTAACTTCCTCAATATCGAAGTATTTTATATTTTCTTTGTATTTCAAATAACATTTTAATGATGAAATAATATAGTATTAATGACTGCTTTGAGAGAAATAGTATAGTATTAATGAATGCTTTGAGAGAAATAGTTGTTTTTATACGCTCAAGGGAAGGTTAGAATTGTGCTATTCCCCGAGGCTTGCCGAGGGGAATAGCCCAATTGTAACCTTCCCGAGAGCGTATAAAAACAACTATTTCTCGAATATTAAAGCAGTCATTAATACTTTTATATGCCGAAAAAAAAGAAAAAAAGAAAAAAAAAAAAAAAACTTTTGTCGAAGATGGGATTCGAACTCTTGCGTACCAAAGGTGATGTTACTAAAGTCAGCGCCTCAAACCGTTTGGCCAGCGCGCTCTGTCACCATGGGCAGTAGTTTTCTTTAATATATTCATTAAAATGAATTGAAAACGGCTTCGCGTGGTGGAAGCTTCGCGGCTGCTCCATTAAACGGGCCCTTCTTTTACTTTTGCAATGCATATTGGCACGAAATTAGATCAAGATCTATCGGCAGATGTTGTTTTTTTGTTTTTGGAAGTTTATTTTCGTCTTCATGTCAACAATGCAAGATAAAACTGTCGGTAAGATCGATCGAGATTCAATTGTATTGAAATTACCGACCAATTCTTCGTACACGTACGGTATCCTCGATCGCTCAGACCATTTTTTAACATGTAAACCTATGGGGTAACCATGGAGACTGACCTATTTGTTATTGGGATTTTGAACTGTTTTTTAACCATGGTTACCGGGAATTTTCGGGAACAGTTAAAGTTTATGAATGCAATTTCGACCAATCAGATTGCTGGATTACTTGAGTGAGGTATATAAAATCATTTATTAACCTCTTTGGATTGGTTGGTACTTCTCCAAAGTTCCGCTTTACGTAGTCTTTGTATATAACCAGTTGAGCATAATTTATCCAAAAATTAAAAAAAGTAAATTTTCTGTTATCTATTTTATATTCAATCAATGACATTTTCATATCAATTTCTATTTTAAAAATGAAATATATAATTCTTGAGATAATTTTCCAGAAAACTCTTAATTTCTTGCAACGAAATATAAAATGTTCAATATTTTCTTTTTCACGACAAATTTCACATTCGTTAGACTGTACAATTTTCCATATAAAGAGATTGTCTTTAGATGGCAATATTCTATGAATTAATTTAAAATTATATTGTTTGATCTTATTGTCTCTTATGTTATTAAATTTGAACTGAAATACATCTTTCCAAACAAATGTTTCTGGTAGGCCTAAAATATTTTGCCAAAAATGGAAACCAATTTTCTCTTTTTTCCTTTTTAGCATTAAATTATAATAACTCTTCGTCGTAGTAAATTCAACGTTTATAACATCTAAAGTTGTCTCAATGTACATTGTTTCATTGAGACTTGGAGCTTTGTTTAAACGTAAATTTTGTGACCAATATTTTGGGAATGCTTTTTTTAATTTTGACATTTTAAATAAAAACAACAGATCCTTTACATCAAAATGGTTATTGAATAGAGAGTTATCTATCCATGTACGCATGGTGCTGTATATACATAGCATATTTCCATAACTCAAAGTTCATACTGTGAGATTAGAAGTACTATTAGATATTGACAAACTCTAATAGAAGTTCAGAGTTTTCTTACACATTTGTTTTTGTTTCTTTTACAACCTGTATGAATATATTTTTTAAATATGTCAAAAAAACGCTGGTACAATTTTAGGTGGAGAGGTAGATTAGTCATCAGACTGTGGATCACAAGGTGCAGGGTTCAAATCCTTGACATAGCCATAGCATCGTTTAGCAAGACATAAGATGAACAGGTATCTTGAATGATTATTCCTTGAAATGCACTGTGCACTGATATTGGTTACATAAGCTAAAGCCAGGATAGTAGTAATTTCCGAAGCCTTTTTGAAGCACATAGAGACATGTCACAATGTGATTGCTTATTAAAGCTAAAGCCAGGATAGTAATTTCCAAAGCTTTTTTGAAACACATAGCGACATGTCATAATCACAAACAGGAATGGAATATCACAGCTATTAATAATTAGTTTCCTATCAATCCCTTTTCAGACTGAACCAGACTGTGACAATCTCAATGTGGATTATGAATTCTTTGAAGAAAATATTTGGCCCTCTCTAGCAAACAGAGTTCCAGCTTTTGAGAACTTAAAGGTAAGAAATCTGCATAGTGGGACTAAAATGTAGCAAGTTTATTGTTATTATACAGTAGGCTTGCGGATGCACCATGTGAGAGAGAGGGAGGATATATATTGTTATTATACAAATATTTCAAGCTTCAAAAGTCAATATAAGTAAATATGTGAACCTACAAATTTAGAGTTTCCTGAGTGAATTTTTATTTTACCGATGCCTCAGGTCTAAGAGGGCTACCCCTTGATTTTATTTATTTATTTAGGTTACCAGACGGACAACCAGGGACCCGTTTCACAAAGCCTTTTTTCAACGACAAATGTCAAAAATCAGTGACAAATCTGTTGATAACCAATCAGAAGCAAGGATTTCAGTAGCTTATAACAAAAACTGTCACTTGTCGCTGAAGACAAGTTTTGTGAAACGCCCCCCAGATGACTGCTATGATTGTCCAATTCAAATTCTTGGAGTCCTTTACAGTGGGTTGTACATCGATAGCTCCTGCGACAATTGCTCTATGTCAATTTCATACAGTAAACAAATGCTAAACTTCAATCTTAGGCCTGACACTATACCTAATCTTAATTGCAACCCTAACCCTAACCAACCCTAACTATATACATCTGACGAAATAAAGCCTGTAACAATTGTCATATGAGCAAATGCCAGGCCACCCCTTAAAAGTGATCTGCACCAATTTTACATGAAATAACAGTGGTATCTTATTTTCAGTTCCCACTTGGGAAAGAGAGAAAGTACTTAAAGCTTGCCCAATAGGATTTTAGGCGGTCAAGAGCCCTGCTCAAGATATTTTCCTTGTGCACCTATCATTGTTGTGCAAGATAAGAGTTTGACTTAATTTATTTTTTGTCTCTATAACAGCTCAAGAGTGCGTGGGCTGGTTTCTACGACTACAACACGATTGACCAGAACGCCATTATTGGACACCACCCTGCATACCCCAACCTCCTCCTAGCAACAGGGTTTAGTGGTCACGGTATACAGCAGTCTCCTGCAGTTGGACAAGCGATAAGTGATCTTATTTTTGAAGGAAAGTTTGTGGAGATTGATCTGGCTCGAATGGGCTTTGAGCGGTTCATCAGTAAAAGGCTTGTCAAAGAAGCAAATATCTATTGATCACAGAAAAACAGTGACTTGCAGTAGGGAAAGTGATCTCATTACCAAAGATATGTGCTCAGATGGGCTTTAAGTGACTCATCAGTAAAAGGCTTGTCAAAGAAGCAAATATCTATTGATCACAGAAAAACAGTAACTTGCAGTAGGGCAAGTGATCTCACTACCAAAGATTTGTGCTCGGTTAGGCTTTAAAGGCATCTGAGATGCATGGCCCTACGTGTTATCAGTATCTGTGATATGGTGTACTATTGAAACCCTAAAAAAATTGGCGCAAAATACCATGAAGTGCCTCAAAAAAGTAAAAATCTTTGAGTGACCGGTTTTACCATACTCTTCCCCAATACACTGTAGTGTTATAAAAATGCTAGGAAAACAAAAAATGAAATTTTGATTTCCAATCATAAATATCTTGATAATCAGACAGGCGATCGGCTTGTAAAAGTCATGGGATTCCTGACTGACCTAAAGGTTTATAATTATGATTGCAGGATTAGTTAAATACAGGATTTTGTTTCAAAATCTGAGGCACTTTAAGTGACTCCTCAAAGGCTGCTCGGAAAAGCAAGTGTCCATTGATCACAGACAGCAGGGACTTGTAATTGGACAGTCAATGAGTTGCAGTTTGATACTGACTCAATATCATCATCATCATTATAATCACCATTTTTTAAGCAATACATTATAAACTTGTGATTTGGTGTTGCGAGCTACCAAATCGAGTATTAAAATTGGTTGATCTCATGATTATAATCAACATCATCATCATTATCATCATTTTTTAAGCAATACATTATGAACTTCTGATTTGGTGTTGCGAGCTACCAAGTTTAGTATTGAAATCTGTTGATCTCATGATAATCATCAATGTCATCATCATTTTTATCATTTTTTTTAATAAGACATCATGAAATTCTGATTCGGTGTTGCGAGCTTCCAAATTGGATATTAAAATGACTGATCAATTTTGTCTTTGCTTTATATATCACAATAGAGTTTCTTATACAGTCCAAATAATTGACACAAGTGTTTTCAATGAAATTGTAATTCATACTCAGTAAGAAGTGCCATATGGGTTGTCTGTAGAATAATAATATATATTTATTCTCCTTTTCGGCATCACATTTTGTTTGAGCATGCCTTTGTTATGTGAGAGTTTATCATTTTGAAAGTTTTATCTTCGAAATGATTTTAAAGAAGAGGCTTGCTATGTTTAGTATTTGTCTTCCATATTTTTATTTTTCTTGTATACAATTGTGTATATATTGCATGATACTTTTTTTAAACAAGTTATTTTTATGCCTCCGTCTGTCTGTCCGTCCCGTTCTCGTGATAGCGTTATCTCAAGAACGGATTGATGGATTCCTACCAAACTTTGGTCATGTATGTAACTTGCAGAGCCAATGAATTTATTAGATTTTGGTCAAAGGTCAAAGGTCAAAGGTCACAAGGCTCATTATGTATGCAAAAATAGCTTATGATTGCATTATCATTAGAACCAAGGATGGATTACCATCAAACTCAAGGCATGTACGTATCTTGCATTTGGGGTCATGAGGTCAAAGATCGAAGGGTCATATATGAGAAATAGCTTGTAATCACAATATTCTGAGAACCTGTTAATGGATTACAACTGGACTTGAATTTGAAAAATTTCTTCCCTTTTGGTTTGTAAAATTGCTCTATGACGGAGGCATCACTTTCGACTGCAAGCAGTCGAAGTTCCATTTTTCTTTATAAAACTGTTATTGTTTCCTGCTGCAGATATTTACTTCATGAGCTTAACTATCCATTTTATGAGATTTTTTAATATGGTCGAAATAAGCAGTCTATACATTTTGTTTATGATTAGCCAGACATTTTGTGGAAGACAATTTGGAGACAGAAATTTTCATGAGTTGCTGTTTTGTGATAATTCACAAAGGTGTATCACAATACATGTTCTGTATTTTTGTAATTTGGACAACAAAAATCGTTTTCATGTCACTACCTCTAGACCAGGCCTTCTCAACTAGTTTATTAGAAGCGCCAAAACGAAAAGAATTTGTAGTTGAAGTGCCACTCTGTATGGTTGACTGTGCTGAGAGGGAGCGTAGCGACCGATCAAAAAAAAGGTGGGGTCCAGGGGCGAAGCCCTAACGGGGCGTAGCAGGGGGCAGAGCCCCCTGAAGGTGGTGGATTTAGGGCTTTCTAAAGGCCCAAATGGGGTACTTTTAGCACCATTTCATTCCACGATGTAATCAATCATAATTTCATATTGATGTGAAAAAATTAGTACAATTCCTGGGTACAATTACACTGGAGGTTTATATGTATTTTTTTGTGTGCTATAAACACGGGAAATGTCAAAGTAAAGTAAAAAATCAAACAAACAAAAACAAAAGTGTTTCCAGAGATTGGCAATGTTAAAATTGGTATCCAACCGTAAGCTAATGTTGTTCAGACCTTAGGATAAGATTCGTATAAAATGGTAACAAAACGTTAAATTCCCCTTTCTTCCTGTTTGTTAAGCAGGCATTTTAGGCTCAAATTCGACTGCAACTTCTTGATTTAGCTGAGTATTTGATTCTAAAATATATATTTTCTTTCTTTCTGTTTTTTGTTTTGTTGTTGCAACAGTCGCGCGCCACTCCGACTGGCAGCAAGCGCCACATGTGGCGCGCGCGCGCCGCCAGTTGAGAAGGCCTGCTCTAGACAAATCACCTCACAGATCTTTACATTTCTGAAATGTTGATAAATGTCCTGTGCACATTCACTTAATGCACTCACAGAATTGAATTATTTGTATACTTGCTTTACTCATTGCCAGTATAATGTATATACCGGTATGTTGTTCTACCATACCCATGTCTACTGTCTCACACATTATCAGATGTTACAGTAACAAAACCTATGGCCAGTTTCTCTGTGTGTGTTATCAGATGATGTATTCCCATAACCATGGCCACTTTCATCCATATGGGGTCTACTCTGGGGTATACCCATGCAATAATTATACAGGGGTGGGGGTTAAAGACATATGTACAATTCTTCATTTTCAGGGGGAATGCCTCTGCCTCCTTCCTTTCCTCTGGCTAGGCTATTGGTTAATACCTGTGCATGTACTTCATGTGGAATCATGCTGTTGTTATTAGGGTCCGTGAGGGATATTGATACATGCCAATGCAATTTGCAGATTATTAAGGAAACTTATGTGTATTCAACGTGTAAGGAATGAATTTTGTATCAATACACATACTTGAAGCTGTGATTGATTTATCTTCCTCAAATTACTTTTCAGCTTACAGTTACTTTCAATTAAAGGTACTATGTCCCATTTGCAGGCCAAAAAAATGAAAAAGTTAAATTCCAACTGCATTTGAAAGATAATACTTATTTAGAACTTCCCTAAAAAAGGTGGGGCTTGAAAATGTCTTCAAGTGGGAAAATAATTACTATTAGTTGTCAAATCGACTTTAGGGCTATTGAGCCCAAAAGTAATAGTCTTGATTTTCAGACAATTGTACCGAATGGTCATACGTTTTATGCTGCGCAAAGATTCAATCAGTTTAATCTTGGCCATCACAAGAAGTGGGTTATTGATGTAGACAAATGCTCATGTACCCTTTACAACTCTTTTCATGTATGTTATTACCAAAGAAGAAAAAAAGCCAGTCAGTCACTCAATAGTGTCTGACAGTGAAGTCTAGCAAGTAAACGGGTTTCCTTGCATAATTTGAATATGAGGACACTGCTAACATTTAAATTTCACAGATAGGACATACATGACATATTCATAATTCCTGCAAAGTTCTACAGAATTTGAGGTTGGCTGCAAAAGGGACATAGTACCTTTAAAAGATAAATTTGCATGAAGGACAATCATGTGGTAATCCTTATTAATTTTATGCATACAAATGTGTAATGATGTGATGATTTTTGAAGTGCGTGTATGTATTATACTCATGTCTGTTTCTATATTTTGTATAAATGTTTTCTCTTTTCTTACTGCATTTTCATACTCAGGTGGATTATGTTTAAAACTGAATTGTAATGACAACTTGCTGGTGCTGCAATGTTTGAATACTTTGATGATAAATAATTACTTTCATCGTGTAACATATGTAAACTAATGTATTTTAAAAGTTTTGTGTAAATAATAAAATCATGATACAAGTACATTGTATTTTATATTCAGATATGAATGTAATATAACCTCTTGAGTATTAAAGGTAAAACAGCTTCAGTCCAGTCATCATCAAGTGTTGTGAAAAATGTATTTTTTGTCTGAAATTAATCAATATTCATATATGGCTACCCAGCCGTTTAGTGAAAGCAATAGGCTTGCAATATGTGATGTCTACATTTAATTTGTATTTATTGTTTAGAGATCAAATCTGACAAAGTAAGATTAGGGGGGGGGGGGAGGAGAGAAAGAGCACAAGCAGATGAGAGAGAGAGAGAATAAAGCAGATATTGCGGAAGAGGGAGATGAAAGAAGAAAGTAAGAGGTGGCACAAAGGAGAGGAGTAGTTAGAGGACGAGAAAGGGGGAGCATGAAAGAAAGTTGATACAAAGGAGGAAAGAAGACAGAGATCCTTTAGCATTTTAAACCAAAAACTAGACTTCTTTTCACCTTGGTGTTCACAGTTTCTACATGTATGAAGAGAAGTGCATTTGTATTCATTGGAATGGGGGGGGGGGGAATATTTGATTTGGCCACACATATTTAAATTCTTAGCTCTTACAGAATCCAAGGACACAGTTACAACTACATACATGTATGTGCCACACAATTTCATCCCTTTTTTTTCACTCCACTCCAGTATTTCTTCAGAAGTCAAAACATCAATCAAAACAAATCATATGTATATACTCTTCTATTTTTCTTCCCCGCAACAGATTCTCTAAACCTCCTTCATGTAAATAGCATCCCTCCCAAAGTTTCATCTACCTTACCCTCCTACGAAGTACTCAGCCACGCCACCAAACTGACTAAAAATCAACTGCATACCATTTAATTCTTGATTATTTTGCCATAGGAATTTTAGTTGAATCTGCTGTTAGTGTTGTCCACGTTACTAGAGTATAGCTAATTGATTTAGAGATAGTTGCGACAATGGAATTTTTTCTGATTGGTCAGTCATTCATGGAGCTCGAAACACTTTCCTCCAATAATAATAATTGTATGTGGGATGATTTGAATGATGTGGGACTGCGCTCGCCAACATACATGTGTCACAACTCTCACTCTCAATATGCTATGGACTGGGGTACAACACTCTTCACAACTCTACAGCTCTTCTAAACACTTCCTCACTGCTCATTCCAAATCGTTGCTCTCAGAATACTTCACAGTACTCCCAATTCCTATTTCTAAATTATGCCATCAATGTGTTGGTTTTCATTACAATACATCTGCACATGGCAAGCCAAGAACAAGATCCATACATAGCAGGATCAAAATCGATTCATCCATATTCTTGTTTCAGGCAAAGTGCATGATCAGTAATGGTACCCTTTATTTAATTTCAAACCCAATCATCTTTCAAATTTACTCTATCATAATGTAACATGGAAATTCACAAAGAAAATTTCTCAATAGACCGGTCTACCAACATATTCTAATTTATGGACATTTTTTTCCTGGGGACATACTCATAGTGACAGGTCATTCCATTTACCCGTTATCAATGAATGAACCACAATACTTAGAATTGGTATGCATGTATTACTTGTTGCTATGCCGGGTAAGCCTCATGCAAGCTTTCAGGTTGTCAAGAACAAACTTTGATCATAAGGTATGATGTTAGTAAATATGTTAGTAAATCTCTCAATTGATTTTTCAAACCAAACCAGAACAAACGACGATGAATGAATGAAAACATATTACACTGGTGTTTCCTCTCTGTTACTCGATCTTTATTTTACAAAGAGTCTAATGACTGTACACATCGCAAAACAACGCTCTGGTCCCACTTTACTTCTTCTTGGACACACCAACAGTCCTTCCTCTCCTGCCAGTAGTCTTGGTGTGCTGTCCCCTCACACGCAGACTGCAAGGAAAAGAAGAAAAGAAAGAAAATGGTCATGGAGACTGTTCACACGAGAGATGTATTGTTTACTTCAACAAATAGTCAAAGAAAAAAAGAATAGAAAGAAAAGGGTCATTGGGAGTGTTCACAAGAGATGTATTGCCTACTTCAACAAATGGTCAAAGAAAAAAAGGAATAGAAAGAAAAAGGTCATTGGGAGCGTTCACAAGAGACTAGTGCTGTAAGTCAGACGCTATGTTCGTGTTCGGTTCGGTTCGGCAGAGTTCGGCAATTTTTCACCCGAACTTGGTTCGGTTCGGGGTTCGGTAATATAGTAGCAAGCAACGTTATAGCCACGGCGGTCGGCACTGGGCGGGCCAGCCGGCCTGCCGGGCCCGACCAGCACGGAGGACTTCTGCACACTGCTTCCGATCAGCACAAATTTCACATTGAAAAACTGCTCTAAACGTAATTATTTGTGAAGAAAAATACTACTTACATTCGTATTTCCGTCTTGAATCGTGTTTTATTTTCAATTTTAAAAGAATCATGTTTTCAATTTGTCAATAAATGATATTTTTAAAAGACTTTCCGAGACCGTTGTTGTCTAATGTTAGAGTCATGAAAGCTGCCATCTTGAATGGCTCGTCAATAACTGTTTTTTATAAGTTTTTATTTTCAATAGGAAAAATATAAAATCCCTATTTTTCCTGAATAAATAAATACCATACTATAATATATATTTATTTCATTATTTATATTGTAAAATTTGTCCGATATTAATTGTTACAATTAAAATATTAATTTTTTGTTGAATGGGTTTGAGCTGAACTTGTTTTGATCACACACGTGTATTCTTTTTTATGGCTTGCGATCGCGACGTAGCGTGGTCAGGAATTGGGATTTAAATGGCGCCAGTGAAGTCGCGCCCACCTCTGGATAGGCATAAATCACAAAGGCGGAAAATGGGAAAAAGTAAATATAAAATGAGCAATCATGACATGAAAATTAGGTACAAAATGACAAGTTTATTAGCTTGCAAAAACGTTGTTTTTTTTTTCTGCCGAACATCCGAACCAGGCCTTTGCGTTCGGTTCGGTTCGGTTCGGTTCGGAAGTGCCATGTTCGGCGAACTTCCGTTCGGTTCGGCGGTTCGGCTACAGCACTACAAGAGACGTATTGCTTACTTCAACAAATAGACTGAGAAAAAAGAACAGAAAGAAAATGGTCATTGGGAGTGTTCACAAGAGACATATTGCTTACTTCAACACATAGTCAAAAAATAGACAAGTGCAATACTTGACAAGTTGCAAGAAATGTGGTTGCAGCTGAACTGCCAAAATATGGCTAATGATTACTCATGATATACTTTGATTAAAAAAAGCATGTGCTTTTTGGATCCCCCCACCACCTGTGATTGTGATGATTATCAATTTATGTGCAGTATCATTTTGTTCACATTTGGAGTCAATTTTTTTTTTTTCCCTTCTAGTTTTGTAACAGTAACATGCTTTGAAATTCCAGGAACAGCAGTCCATACAACTTCAGTGAAAAAATACACAGGCTCTGGGCGAAATAGCCCCAAAGAGCCCTTGTAAATTTGCAAAGAGTTCAATGCAAAACAAATTTAAGAGTGTTAATTTCATGCAGCCAAGCTTGAAAAGTAGCCCACAAATTTTTTCCCTGAACAACTTTATAGCGGAGGCATAAAAAGCCACCATGGCTAATCATCCAGTGGATATGCTGTTCAGACAAAAGACAAAGTTTAAAAGACGGACTGCTTTCTTTCAGTGCTGATGAAATTCACTGATTTTCCCCAATTTGAGTGATTTGACTGTAATTCATTGACTTTCGTGAACTGAATTTTATGGTTCTCTCTGATTTCCAAGAAAGCTGGTCACCAATGATATTCCCTGATTTTCCCCAATTTGAGTGATTTTACTGTAATTAATCGACTTTTGTGAACTAAATGTTAAGGTTCTCTTTAATTTCCAAGAAAGCTGGGAACCAGGGGAGTGTTTCACAAAGACTAAGCTCGGCTTTAAGTTGGACTTAACTATGGCAGGCTATTCAAGCCACTGGTTGCTCTCACCATTATGATCTTTAGATAATATATATATATATTTAGATATATATCCCCAGGAAATCTGTTGAGCCATGCTTACCCCCAGTAATGTCGGAGACCACGGTGAGCCCTGATCTTCTTGAGGCGCTCCAGATCCTCACGGAGCTTGTTGTCCAGGTTGTTGGCCATCATCTGACCGTACTTGCCGTCCTTGACGTCCATCTGCCTGTTGAGGAACCAGTCGGGGATCTTGTACTGGCGGGGGTTCTGCAGGATGGTCATCAACTTCTCAACCTGCAATGGAGAATTTGAAGAAAAACAAAATGAAACTGCTGTCAAGTTGCTGTGTTGTAATCATAGGCCAATCTGGTGACAGGTTTATCTCTACCAAACTTAGAACAGAGACATCCTTGTTCACTAGAATCAACTAATATAGCAATCTGCTATTTTGACATAGTATCGGAAATGCCTGTCATGTTGTGGCGGACAACTTTCCCATTTGCTTCCACACACAAAATGATTAAAATTACACTTTATCAAAAGTATATGACTCAGGAGGGTCTTTTCTTCTTGGAGGATGCTATCCATAATATATTTGGAGTAATGCCCCAAGGGAGAAGGCACTTAGGAGAAATGCAAAATTTAATGTTATTGATCACATTTTTCAGTTTTCACAACTACGTCACAATCCACTAATCAACTGCCAATTTGAGATTTGCATAGACTTAGTGATCTCATATTTCAAACCTTTGTAACTTTCTTATTATTGGTCTTATTTATTTTAAACTTTCACCATTCTGTTTCTCTTATCTTTCTGCCCTCTAATGAAGCTTCAAAAGTTTCAAAAACTCTTCAGTCATGGTTAGTGTAACTAATACATCTTTAAAAGAAGCCCTTGCTGTGCATACACAAATACAGCATTGTTATAATACAGGTCATTCAGACAATAATTATATAATATTGACTGGCCTTGAGGGGTATATCAGAAATATTGACCAAGCTCAGATCATATTGCCCCGAGTCGAAAGACGAGGGCGATATGGTCTTAGCGCGGTCAATATTTCTGATATCCCCCGAAAGTAAAGCCAGTCAATATTGTTATTGTTATCCAAATCAGACATCTAGAGCAAATACAGACATCCACCATGACAATCTCAAGAACTGAACAAACTTTGTCAAAACCAACACTGTGCATCCAGTGCTTGACAAATTTTTCGATACACTACAAACAGTGTGTATTTGGTGTGATTATTACGTCACAATAGAGTGCGCGCAAAGTGCGCAGGTTCTCGTACGCATAATATTAATAGATGCGCAATGGAAATGCGAGACCGTGGAAAATACCAAGGTATATTTTCACTCGTCTCTACACGCAAAGTCAATACGCGCAGGGAGACCAAGGAAAATACAAAGAATATACCCCTCCGTTCCCACTGCTAGTGAAAACTAGGGCAATACGGTTTTGTAAATGACCAGCTCAGATGTCTGATACGGGTAATAATGTGTAATACATTTTCTCTTCTTAAATAGAAGGTTGAGTTCTGGGAAGAGGTGAAAAATAATTTGTGAGCGTTTTTCTTATTATGCAAGTGTGGAAGAACATCAGATAAGACATGTTCCCTGAAAAGCATGGCTCTTCAAATGTCTTCATGTTCTAAATATGTCATGAAACATCGTAAAAATCCAGGGTAGGATTTATACGCCACGTGTTCGTGTAGTCCCATATACATCTTTCTGTGTACAGTGTTCATCATTTGACCAAGACTTGGCCAAATTTGTTATCATTTTGATGATTCCAGAACCTTGCAATACACACAAATACTTACATGCTAGATGATCAACCCTTTCTGGTCAATTCCACACCGTTTCTTTCACAATACAATCGCATGACCGGAACTCAACTTCATCTTTAACAATCCAATGTCACTAATAATTAAAAAAAACAAGAAGATCTCAAGCCTCTTTATCCATTACTTACCTCATCATCGGTGAGTTCTCCTGCCCTCTTTGACACATCGATGTCAGCCTTGCGACAGCAAATGTTGGCATATCGCCTTCCCACACCCTGAAAAGGCAAGTAAATACTCCTGTTCATTCATATGATGCATAAGGAAACAAGCTGGCTACAAATAACCGATCAATGCAAATTTTGTTTGTCTTCCCTTTTTATCTGCTTCCCACTAAATTTCTTTCACATACTTTTAATTTAAAAAATCCCATTACCTATTTATCCCTTTCATCTCATGAATTTGTATTTGTCCATGAAAAAACAAAGATTGAAAGTTATTTAGTTATTTACATGACAGTCATAAAGTTACAGGAAAAAAATTTATCATACATAAAAATACTACTAATAGAAAATGCAGTTTTCAAACAAAATCACACTTCTGTTACATCAACTAAATCAATATATTTCTTGATGATGATACAACTAAAAATATCCAAATCACCCAGTTCAAATACCTTTTGTCTCCCCCCCCCCCCCCCTCCCCCTTACATTCAGTTTGTAATACTGGCACATGATTCCATAATGTTTTTTACGGTACCTTGATGGCTGTGAGGGCATACATGATCTTCCTTCGTCCATCTATGTTGGTGTTGAGCACACGCAAGATGTGCTGGAACTTCTCTGGCAGCACAAGAGCAGGCTGAAAAAGAGAAAAAAACACAAATATTTATTTATCGCCAAATTCATAAACACACCACATTTATTCGAGGAAGAGTCACTAATGATACACATTGAAGAAACAACAGCTATCTTCATAGCAATAAATTGACATAGTCCAGGTGTAAATCAAGGGGAAATTAAGGCACCAACAAAAATAAAGAGATTAGTTTAGTGTAAATAGGCACACAGCAGGAGCTTGCCAAATTCAGCAACAGTTTGCAGCAAAACGCATTTTAAACAACAATCGCTACTGTTGAAAAAGTGGCATCAAATTAGCTGCGCGCAATCAGCCTACATACATCGGACAATTACTAGCATTTCTAGACATGTTCAAAATTGTAAACTCTTGGTAGAGGTGACTGTTATTGTCATGTAAATTGCATGTCAGTTCATTAGGAAGGTAAGCAAAGCTGTATCTTTGATAACAAATGACCACATTTTTATTAAATTCTTGACCCGTTTTTTAAATGTGTTGAAACGTTGCACTTGTAACAAAAAAGAATTCTGCAGAACAGTAGAGGTGCATGGCCAATAGAAGATAATATTTCCTATTTAGGAGACTGTCTCTATAAATCTCAGAGATTTTTGGTAGATTATTTGAGAAACATATTTGGGAACCAATTTCCTTTATTCAACATTTGCTGCAAAGGGATTACTTTGTCTCAAAATCAAAGCATGATGAGCAGATTTCTCATAAAAAATTACCCCATTTACTTTGGTTTTCATAACAATTTTTAACTTCTACATTGTACACTGTACAAAATTACACATGCAAACAATGGACTCCTCATCTTTGAGAGGCAAACACAGGTTTCCTTGTCAGTGTTTTTCTTTTTTTTCTTTTGTAAGCTAAATCTCCAACATCGGGAGATAGAATCTTCCAAATCAACCATGCATCTTTTTTTTTACTGAGCAAACTGAAAGATAGTTTACAAGGTCTGTTGTGTGCAGGAACTGGTGATAACATACACAATTTGAGGTTTTGTTCACAAGGCAAATTTCATATAATATCACCAAGCCCTAACACTCGCTGTAAGGCTACCTCCAACACCTGTCCAAAGATAGCCAAAGTGCATGTCTGCGCATACACTTAATTGTGCAAATTTAACAAAACAAAGTCAATGTAAAATGCATCAAGAAAATCATTACGGAATCCGTTTTTCACATCGCCAGCGCGCCGATCAAAAATCTGAAACGTCTGCGAAAATGCGGACGATCCTTATTTTTTAGAAAGCATCGGTCCACGTTTACGAAGAAGATCCTTATTCTCGGACCAGCGCCCCTACTTTTCATGTAGATAATCCTGAACTAGACTAGACTAGCTCTAACGTTACATGTAAAGTGAGTGAATGAGTACACAGACATGGGGACCTTTGCTTAAACTTTAAAGTTCAACATCAAAATGACACAACTGTCTTTTATTTTCTTGCAAAAATGACAATTCTTAATCAAATTTCATGAGATTTTCAGCACACTTCTTTTTACTTTAGAATACAAGGCATAAGACAAGATTAATACGGTGAATAAAACAGAAATTCATTGTAAATTTACGATTGTAAGGCAAGTAAAAATGTAAGTTAGGTCTACGGCTCTACGTAAACATGGTCATGGACGAGTCATTAAATAAAATAATTGAAATCAAATTTATTATTTATGCAAGTCAAGTGTAGAAGTCTAGACTCTACGTGTATAAAAATCAATGAACAATGCCACGGTCAGAGGTTCATTTCATTAGAAGGCAGTATAGTTTAAGTTCAATATTTCATTTTGGCCATAATTTAACTTTAGATGTTCTGAAAGTTGGGGCTCTAAAACTAAGAGTAAAAAGACGCCTGTAACATTATGCTACACGGTCTACAGTGCATAGTACATGTATGTAAACATCGCACAGCAGTCAACACTTCTACTCGGGTGTCGCACTTTTAAAATTGACAAAAATGGTATTCGTGTACAGAATAAAGTCATGCAAAACATTTTATAGTTTAATAATATTTTCAAAATTTGTTTATCCTCGATTTAATGGTAGGATGCTTTCCCAAAGCTGAGATTAAACGTGATATAATTCAGATAGAGGGATGTGTCGTTACCATCTTGGATTCGGTGCAGAGCAAAAAGGGAGAAGGTCGGTGTGCGATTTTTGAGCTGTGATCCCTGATTGGACCAATATTGTAAGACTGCCATAATTCAGCCAATAGAAATCATTGTCTCTCTAGCTCTACGTACGTACGTCAATGCAGTTAGAGTCTAAAATGGCAACCACCAGTACTAGAAAATCAACCAATCCTTTCGATGATGTCGACGAGCCTGAAAACCCTTTTTGGGATGAACATGCTCCAGGAAATCCTGAGGTTCGTTTATTGCTTTTCAAGAATCATGTGAAAAATATAATGATTCTTTATGCAACGCCTGCAAATTTTACCTTTGTGTGTGACCAATTGTTTCCGATGTTAAAATCTACGGTCCCACCTATCAATATTTGTGTCCTAATCCTATGTCGTGCCAGTGGGTTTGGGAGGGGGCGTGGTTTACTGTGTGTGGGATCATTGATTCAGACAACTATACTTTCATTACTTTGTTTGTTTGATTAACGCAAATTAAGACGGGGCTAGTTCAGAAGTCTACTCTAGCTAGAGTGTAGACTATCAAAAATTTGACCCGTAACTCCGAGGTGGAGAGCTAGGTCATGATTTAAAAGTCGATGGATGTAGATCTAGATCTACTAGATCTATGTAATTTGTTACCTGTTTCGTGTCAATTTTCTTGTCTTTTTCAGAGTATTTTTCCTGAAAACAAAGACTTATAATACTTAATAGACCTATGCACTCTCTAACAGGATTCATGGCAAACTGCAGCACAATCAGAGCTACCGAGTACATGTATCATGCATTTGGCGAGACGTCATACATTTTGAGGGTCTGAAAATGCTCTTACGCACACCGCGCGCGCTAGATTTTGAAAAAACGTTATACCTTATACGTGTGTTATACCCTTGAACGCGCGCTAGCGCGCCGAATCATGAAAATGTCACGCAGTGCCGATCTTTGAACTTGGCGTCTCTGCACAATACAATTACCGTCATGATTAGGCAAATTCATGCAAAAAAATATATTCAAAAAATTGACTTGAAAACGCATCACACAATTAGTCTGAACCGAGTCAGGAGCAAATTTGAAGAAATTATATTTCTAAATGTTGTAAAACCAAAGATATGAGAAGAAAACTGACCAAGTATCTGTACTAAAAATCGTACATGTAAAATTGGTCGTAGACATTCGACAGCTGAATATGACGCGCACGGTTGCATTACATGCGTTCTCGAATCCAAAATCGTACCTCACACACACAATCTCGCCATACCGCGAATGGTCCGTCTTGTGGAGCTAGCCGGCTGAGAGTTTGCAGCGATTACCAACGCAGCTTCGGAGCTCCGCAGCGCGCCATTTTAGCGGGACTCGGAAAGGTTTGCGATGGGAAGGCAGCGGCCTAGCTTTTTGCCCAAACAACGCTAGATCGGCTGCTGGCAAAATGAAAATAACTACGATCGAGAACATCGTCGGTTTCTTAACTTTTCAGTGAGATAATTCTGAATTCTAATTGAGACTATATAGTACATTAAATCGACAAAGAAACCTCGGTAGAACTCTTATAACTATACAAAAGCTTGTTTATTTCTTCATTTGACATTTTGTTTTCGACCATTTTTTTGTGCGCGAGTCAATGTAAACTATGTATTACCAAACTTTCAACACGCAAGGAACGGGGAACACTCGCGGACCTCGTAACAAATTCGTTGCAAAAAAAAAATTTCAAGGGTGATTTTGAAGCAGTGAAGAACATTGGCGCTGCGATGCGCAGAAATATACTTGAAAGAAACTAAAAAAATAATACCTGAATTTTCAGAAAATCGTATTTGTATTAGTGTACCTAGATGTGACTTGTTTATAAATCAGATTTTATGAAGATTTGTTTTGGTTGGTCATTTCTAGGCTAATATTTTGAAAGTTGCATCAGTAATGGGCCCGATGTTTCTCTTATCGTACTCGCATGTTATTTCTACATAGATTAAACATAGGATGGTTAAGGGTAAGACCAGATATTAACATTATAAAAAAGATATATCCTTCCACCCTCCCATATCCAAGTTTTGGGCTGATTATTGCCGACCCACCGCAGCAAGGCCATTCAGATTTTCGTACGCGCGCAAAGCGCCCTCTAGTGCCCCATGAATATGCCTATCATGATGGTCGGGTGTGGGCGTGTTAAGTTAGCGACTGTAATCTTAGTTTTACGGTCGCTAACTGAACACATGCACGCGTCTGCACCCCACCGTCGGTATGGTATGCAATCGTGTGAAGAAATAAGATTCTTAGAGGGAAAATAAAAAAATTATATTATTAATATAAAGAAAACAATTAGTGGATAGTGAGGCAATAACGTCACAGACTCATGAATGAGTCGCCAATTTGTCTTTTGATTTTCATTGTACCTTAGTTTTACATACTTTTTCAAAAATTCATAACTTTCTTATTAGTTGCACTATTTTGCTCAAACTTATTTTGATTGGTTTGTCTGATTTTTCTGCTTCTATTGAAAGTAAGTTATTTTTGGAGTAGACTTGCCCTTTAACTTAAGTGCAATGGCAATGCCAATATTTAATATTACATAACACTCTGGCATGTCGTGCTTTAAACAGGCGAAGCACTTCACACATAACTGACGCACACTCAGCATAGGTAAACACATAAAATAGAAAAATCAACAAAAATTTCAGTACAACTTGCAAGATTGTACCTTAAATTTGACGAAAATGAGAATTTGTCAAACTTAAGTAGGACTTAAACTTAGTGAAATACTTAATAAAGAGAAATTTAATTCTAGATCAAAAGATAATGCAATATTGTGACCTTAAAGGACAGTGTATACTGATGCGTCGGCATTATTTTCTTCCTTTTGGGGGTCACACAGATTGAAGAGGCGGTTGCTGAATTGAACCTTGGTGTACTAGATCTCACGTCAGATGAGTTTATCTTGGATGAAGTCGATATTCATATCCAGCAGAACCTCGAGGATGAAGTGGTCAAGGCGGCTTTGGAATCGGTAATCAATCTGCGATCCTCTTCCAATGTTTTTATTTTTATTTCTCCTTTCTATGAAGGTTAAAAGAAATTACCAATGAGAATCACTTTTGAGGGATTGCTTTCATTTTTGGCTTTGGAATCGGTAATCAATCTGCGATCCTCTTCCAATGTTTTTATTTTTATTTCTCCTTTCTATGAAGGTTAAAAGAAATTACCAATGAGAATCACTTTTGAGGGATTGTTTTCATTTTCATAGAAGCTTTAATAATATAATATTGAATGCATTTCAGAAAAAGTTTATTAAATGATTTTGCTGTTTGGAATTGGCGGCTTTGGAATCAGTAATCAATCTGTGATCCTCTTCCAACTCTTTATTTTTTTCTCCTTGTAAAGTTTTCAATTTTAAGGGATTACTTTCATTTTTATAGAAGTTTAATATTATAGTGTTTAATGCCTTTTGGGAAAAGTGTATTGAACGATTTCTTTGTTTGATAAAATGTTCCTTGTCATGGGTACTGAAAAGATTGCCCATATAGTAGATTTATATAATGTACAATTTGACTTTTCCTTGACATCTTTGAATGATGAAAGGCTGATAATAGAATTAAATAAAGTAAAGTGCTGATAAAGTACAATTACTGTAGAGAGTTTAACTCCTTCAAACGTGAATTCAAGTGACAGAAATGTTGTTACCATTCTTTTCATTTCTTTCTTTCTCACCTTCAGTCACTTTTCTCCTGTCCCTTTATGCATCAATGTCACCCCCCCCCCTCTCTCTCTCTCTCTCTTTCTCTCTCTCTGTTTCTCTCCCCCTTTCTCTCCCCCTCTCTCTCTCTCTCTCTTTCTTTCCAACTCTCCATCACTCTGTCTCCATCTCTGTCCTTTGTGAATCTGTATGTGTGTTTTCTTTCTTCAATTCTCTCTTTAATTCTCTCTTGTTTTATTATTCAATATTTAACCCCCCAAAATATAGGGCGTGGATCTGAGACAGTATTCCAAACAGATAGAAGCTGAACTACAGGAAGTGGAGAACGCCTCCATAGATGACTGTATCCTTTTGCCTTGCATATAAATACCACATACTGGAAGAAGGGTTGTCTTATGAATAAATCACAGATTTTATATTGAATTCCACCTGTATAAATCCTGTCCTAAAAGGCTATGATGATGGGAAATTCACAACTTTTATTTCTTTAATACACTGTTATTGTTAGGTAAATTTACGTGTATGATCATGCTCAAATTTTGTATGAGAGATACTTTTTTGCACTTCAATTAAAGTTGAAGTTAATTTTTTCTTGACCATCATTGCAACAGACATCAAAGAAAGCCAAAACATTGCCAGTCTGCACAACCAGATTACAGCATGTGACACCATCCTTGAGGTAATTTTATCATTCAATGATATATTGTTATATCTGTCTAGCATTTAAAGAGACTTTTGGTCAACAGTTTATGGGAAAAAAAACGGATGCCTTTTTGTACAATCATATCGAAGCATACATGCAGAAAAGTTTTTCCACTGCAATGAAACTTTTCTGCATTTAACAACTAGTCTCTCCAATGGAGGAATCCATTTAAGAATAATGACCACATTATACATATTAATGGACAAGACAAGACAAGTCTCTGCCTTCTTGATTTCTAGATAAAAAGGTTTGAACAACATTTTCGGGGTTGCATGCAGTTATATTTGTACACCCCTATTGCCATTCTTTTACCCCTAAAATGGTCTTAATGCTAGCATTTTAAGACCGTCTACAACAACCTGGTGAACTTTAGAAGTTTCATATGAATAGATTTGATGCATAATTTGATTGATTGGTTTCAGAGGATGGAGCAGATGCTGAATGGTTTTCAGTCCGACCTGGGTAGTCTGAGCGCAGAGATACAGACGTTACAGGAGCAGTCCATCGCTATGAATGTCAAACTCAAGAACAGGCAGGCCGTGAGGGGAGAACTCAGTCAGTTTGTGGATGAGATGGCTGTCAATGAGAGAATGATCAAGTAAGTTGACCCCTGACCCCTTGAACCCTGACCTCAATGCTGAAGGGTTTCCAGTCTGACCTTGTTTGTCCGATACAAACCCTAACAAGACCAATCCACTTTTATGAACATTAAACTAAAGAATAGGCAGGCAGTTTGTGGATGAGATGGTTGTCAGTGAGCAAATGAACAAGTTAGTTGTTCGCTGAAGAAAAAAACAACAATAGTCTAGATGATCGGTTTGTGTATTAAAAGTCAGAATTATTCTGGGAGACAGTCAAACCTTATCAGCTGTTCATCCATAGCTTATTGGCTTACCAATAGCAAAGCTGCCAACCAGTCCTATTTTTGAGGAGTTATTCCTACTTTTCGGCCCTCAGACTAATGTTATGGATCTTATATTCCTCTCTTTTGTCAAAACTTCTGTGACTGGGCCAAATGAATGTATTCCTAATTTTGCCTTGAGGAATTCCTAATTATTGCTTTGAAAAGCTGGCAGGTATGCAATAGAATGATTTCAAATGTTGGCATTGAATATGTTCCCTTGTTGTCAATACTTCCATTGTTTGTAGAGGTGTTGTGGTCGAGTGGAATACTTCGCCGGACTGTCGATCACTTGGTCCGATGTTCGTGTCCCGCCGTGGCACTAATGTCCTTTGGCAAGACATTGATCTACATTTGTCACTCTCCACCCAGGTGTTAAATGGGTACCTGGTACCAATGTGGTATGCTTAGCAATTTGAGCCTAGTAACTCTTGTTAGAATGCTCCCCAGGGAGTGGAGAAAGTGCATACATTGTGTGCGGGCAAGCCAGAATCTGATTACCAGAGTAATAATGTAAAGCGCTTAGTAACTCGGACATTCCCGACGTATTAATATTATAATATTATTATTGTCTAGCATCGTGTTGGAAGCCCCTGTGACAGACAGACAGTTCCTGGAGCAGCTTCATGAGCTAAACCATAAGATACGCTTTGTCAAGGAGCAGGCCTTTAAGGATGCCCTGTCTTGCCGAGATGTGGAGGACATCCTGGAGAAACTCAAACTCAAGGTCAGTATAAGGTCACACCTGCCGACCCTTACGAATAATCCGGAATATTCTGATTTTCTGGATTTTTAGGACCTGAAAATTCAGAATATTCAAATTTGTCAAAATTTCGAGTTTTTTGTTTTTGTTTGTTTGTTTGTTTAATTTTTGGGGCTAAAGCCAATTAAGCTTGTTTTATCATGTGCTGCAGTTTGAGAGTTCACGTATTGCGTTCGTTGAATGGCTGCATGATCGAACAGCGAATTTGTATTCGCTTTTTGGTACATATTTACCGAGTATTGCCAGTTGCACTGCTGCTGCAAGTGTGATTTCTTATTTTTGAAGGTAAACCGTGCTAAAAATTACTAGGTAATTCTTATTTTCAAATGTTGGCAGGTATGTAAGGTCATTAAACTTATGAATAATTCATAAACTACTGTGGAAGGTGGAGCGGCTATATAACCAGTGCTCAAGAACAATGTCTGTACTCAAATTCAATTTCAATTTTATTTCTGTTTCCAACAAAATATTACAAATCAATTATAATCATTACAACAATTAAGGAATACATATTGAAAACAGAGGGGTCCACTTAAAAGCAATGCTTGTACAATTGTGGACCCCTCAAATGATACTTTGGAATAATGAGTGATTAAATTAATTACAAAAGGAACTACAAATAGGGATGAAGAAAAAAAGAAGGGGGACGTGAACAGAGATGAGAACAGGACAAGAGAGTACTTTACATGGCAAAGATAGGAGAGCATGGTTACAATACAAAGAGTAGACAATGCCAAAAAAAGAAGTGAGAGATCAGGAGTACAGAAAGTAATACAAAAGGATGAGCTGCATGTGGGGTTAAGAAGAAGATGAGGAAGAGAAATGCTCATTAGAAAGGAGCTATGCATGAGAGGGCACAATGTAATAAATCAAATTACATTTTGAGTCGGCGAGTAGATGTATGGTGTATTTCACGAGGCAATGGCATGATCAGTAGCCTACTCAACATCAGTGAAACAGTACGTCTAAGAAATGCACACAAGTAATGTTTACGGTACAAACAATAAATCAATAAGTACAAGATTTGCCCTTTAATGTGCGTGTAATCATAGTGACATAGAAACATGTTCTCTTTTTAGTTTAATAAGATAAAATATATATATAATAAAGGAAATCCATGGTAACTTGCATTCATTTACACTTTCATATTTTAATACAAATTATGACACTATACTTTTTTATTCCATCTAATTTGTGCTGTAGCTTTTCATTTATGTGAATGATGTAAGTATTCTATTGTAAATTTGAAATGTATATTTTCAGGCCATCTTCAAGATTCGAGAGTTCATTCTTCAAAAGGTCAACCAGATGAAGAAACCAATGACAAACTACCAGCTACAACAGAATGCCATGCTAAAAGCAAGGTATGTAAAGCTCTCAGTAGCTTCCATTTGTCCTAACCATAGCTAAGGCCTAAAAAAAAAGATGTTGTATTGCCCTTTGCGACCGACGCAAAAATCTTGAAATCTACGGTCGGCTTTTTAAAAAAGTTTTTTTTTTAATCGTTTTTAGAGCAAAAAAATATTAATGCATTCAAAACTGAAAAATATCAACCCAAGGAGGAAAAAGAAAATAAAAAAGATTTCTGACCGACCGACCCATGTTTTGGCACCTAAAGGGCAATGCCACATCTTTTTTTAAGGCCTAATAGAGAGATAGTGTTGTGACATTCATCCATGCACTTGTTCATAGGTCAATCAATACTTGAAGCTCCAAATATAGAGTGGTGAAGTGTGACGTCATCAAAAAACTACTTTCAGAATTTCTCGATTTTTTCTTCATTTTCCGAAAGAGCATCAAACATAATGTCGAAATGTCGAAAACCAATGAATATGTTAAGTATTGGCTGAGATATGACCATCTGAATAAATAAATGTCTTATAGGAACTCAGCGTTATTTTGCTCTGGTTCATAACATTACAACCAGAGCAAAATAACACTGAGTTCCTATAGGAAATCTATTTATTCAGATTCAGATGGTAAATACACCAATTTCCATTGTTAAAAGGACAATGAATATGAATCTTATGAACCTTATTACTTGACTCATAACATTGTTTCATACAGATTTTTCTATGAGTTTTTGCTGGCCAATGAGAGACATGTGGCGAAGGAGGTGAGGGATGAATACGTGGACACCATGAGTAAAGTCTACTTCTCCTATTTCAAGGGATACATCAACAGGCTCATGAAACTACAGGTAAGATGAATTGATTGATTTGATTTATTCGTCCACAATGTGGAAATATGCTTCCCACCAGCAACAGATGAGGCTTTTCTTATGTCTAATGGTGGGTTATTCCAAAGCTTTGGAGCAGTGCAACTGAAAGCACAATCTCCAAGATTTTCACCACCAATTCTCAACCTGACTTAACTTTATTTTCTGACAGTAATCACAGTGATTTATCACGATCTTCAAGTGATGTCAAGAGTGGATCATTACAAAATCTTTTAAAAATATTGCTTAAAATACTTAAACAAATATTTCAAAGTACGGTATGTCAATGTTCACACTTCTCAAAAGGTGATGTACAAGGCTATGAAAATTGCCTCAGATTAATTTTTTGAACATTTTGGGGATGGGATTTGTTAATACAAAAACCTGATTGCCCATTAAAGAGGAATTGCATTGTTGATGGCCTTATTTGCTCTCATACTTTTCTCAAACTGAGCCCAAAATAATTCCTGTCCATCTTCATCATTCGTCCACAACATGTAAGGTTTGTTCCTACTCATGAACAACCTTACAAGATATGGCAGGTTCTCATCCTCAATGTCCTCCAAAAATATCAAGATGATTTTGTCCAGACCTGTTTCGTTAAGATGCTCCAGTGCCATACGGAGCTTGGTCATGCACCAGGCATCACGTATAGATTGGTTGCTTATCAACAAGACAGTCTTGAAGCTGTTATCCAGGGCGTCATTGATGGCATTGATGTAGAACATTCCAAGATGGAGGTCTCTGTCCCCGTAGATGATGTTCTGCAGATGCGGGAACCTCTCCTCCAGGGCAGGTTTCATGACCCGATCAACCCATTCCTCTTCCTCTTCAAGGAACATGAGCTTCAGATGAAACTCGTAGTTATCTGCATCAAAGTCTTCTGCCATTTCTTCGTAGCCAACAACAGCTAGTTTAAGAAGGAAAAGCTTGTGATTCAACCACCAACGTCTGTTGTAAGCAAGCAATGTTATGAAGAATAGGAAAATACCTGTGAAGGAAATACCTGCTATAAGAAAGATGTTGACTCCACAATGATCATCAGGATGAAAGGACAGTATCGGCTGTTTTGATAGTCCTTTCAGGGACGTCCCGGAGCACAGGGTCTGGTCTGCATGTTTAAAATCAATGTCGGCAGAGTCCAACCACTGCCTGAACCATGCCAAGGAGCACGTACAGGAGAAGGGGTTTTTGGAGATGTCGAACCTAAGGGAAGTATTACCTGGTAGAACTGTCCCAGGTTTAATGGTGCTGATTTGATTCCCAGGTAGATATAGATCCGTCAGTCTTAGTGTCTGGGCGAAAATCTTGGGGTCCAGACTACTCAGGACATTGTTCTGGAAGTACAGCACTTTCAGGCCGAAGAGGCCATTGAATAGGTCTCCAGGAACCTCCACTAGATTGTTCTCACTGATATAAAGGTACCTTAGGGAGGGGAGAGGACTGAACAGTCCTGACCTTAGCATATGTATTCTTGAGTTGGTCATATCAAGATGGACCAGTTGTGAAAGGTTCTGAAATATCCGTACATCAAGGTCATACAAAAAGTTGTCTTTGATTCGCAACTTACGAAGCGAGAAGAGACCGGTGAAAAGTGACTGATGTTTGTCTTTATCATACAGAACAGTATCTTTCAACTGTGCCTTCTCCATACGCAGTTCGCTTAAACTACTCATATTGAAAAACTGCTCTGTTGATGTTGGTGACACTTGGATGGGTGCATTTGATAGATCCAGAATGAGCAGTGTATGCAGTTGACAAAAGGAATTTTGCAGAAATGTTGCCTTCTCATTTTTCAGGTACAGCTCTTTTAAATTTAATAAGCCTGTGAAAGTTTTGTTACTGTAGTTATCGATGTTATTGCCAGATATGTTCAATGCCTTCAAATTGGTTAGCCCATCAAATCTCTCCTTGGAAACACCTTTTAAAGCATTGTTCGATATGTCAAGCATACGGAGGGTCTTGATTGTCCAAAGCTGCTGGTCATTGTTCAGTGCGTCGATTCTGTTACTTGAGAGGGATATGGTAAGAATGGATGACATGCCATAGAAGTATCCAGGAGAGAGAGTCTGCAATAAATTTCCAGATGCATTCAGTTGTTTCAAACTTAACAGGCAAGCAAATGTCCCATTTGTGAAGGATGTTAATTTGTTGTATGAAATGTCTAGTTCTGTAAGTGACTCCAGATGACAAAATGACTGATTCGTGAGGAGTTTGAGTTTGTTAAAACTCAAGGAAAGCACTTCTAATGTTGTGAAGCCCCAGAGTGCACCCTCTTGTACAATCTCGATCATATTAGATGATAACGTTAGAGTTCGGATGGTCGGGTAAGTGATGGACAGATTAGAGGCAAAGTCAGGAGGTAAAAGCTCATGGATCTGGCAGCCATACAATGATAAATGTTCGATGTAAGTCATGCCAACGAAAGGTTGAATGTCAAATGAGTCAATTTGATTTCCTACAAGCATAATTTGTTGTATCGAATTCAGATGCAAAAAGCTTTGTGGTTGTAGAATTTGAATTTTGTTAGATAGAAGGGTCAAAGTGCCGATTGTTGTGTTCTGCAGAGGAAGAAAGTCCTCTTGTTGAATTTCTTCCAACTCATTTTGGTCGAGGTTTATTTCTTCCAGATGAGACCATTGAGAACATCCCTCAAAGTTGATACTCTTGATTTTGTTCCCCTTGAGTTCCACCTTTGACAGATTGGGTATGTTTGAAAAGGCTTCATGAGGAACAGCGTTCAGGTGATTGCCATTCAACACCAGCTGTGTGAGTAGCATGTTCTTCAGAAAGATATGTGGAGATATAGACTCTAGATTGTTACTATTGAGGATGAGAGTACTGAGCTTTGTCAAGGTCCAGAAAGTTCTGCTCTGTATAGAAATTATAGGGTTCTTATTCAAGCTAAGGAGGGTTACATTTGGTATATCCTGAAAAGAACTGTTGTGGAGGACCGTCAGTTTGTTGACAGACAAGTCGAGCTCAGTGACACCTTGGGGTAGATCCTGAGGAACTTCTGTGAGTCCAAGGTGCTGACAGCCGGCAATAACTCCATGGCTAGAGTTCTTCAGCCGACATTTTGTGGGAGTATTGACAGTTTCTGCACCAAATGCATCAGGTAGGTCCACTTGTAGCCAAATAAGTCCTACCGCAAGGAGTAGTAGCTCGAAACGAATTTTGCAGCGTACGGTGTAAACTGCCATAATTCTCTAATACCGGACAGGTGGAAATATATAGTCAGTGCACTTTCGAGATATTACAGTATCATCAAGAACAAGAAGTTATCAGAGTGTTCATCTAAAATGTTCCATTTTCCATTTGCACACAAAATGATAACTTCCTGATTAAAGTGCTGGAGCTTCTAATTCGTATGCAACTAGCAGGAATTTTGCTGTATTGGGTTCTATGTAACCCGAGTGCGAGAGACAGGAAGATTGTATTCTATGTTACATCCTGTTTTATTTCCTTTTGGTGCTGCTGATAACGGTATCTAGGAATATTCATGGCCCATTCAGACAGAGGAAGAAGTTTGTGCAGAAGGCATTTAAAGAAATGTCGTTTAAAGAATCATCATGTAGCAAATGGGGCAGACAGATGTGGAGAGAGTATTGTATGAAAACATATTTTGAAACTCGCTTTGAAACGGTCAGTTAACATATGTTTAGTGTCACCATAAATGTCAGCTGGCCGATCATCTATTCACACTCACATGATATTAATCCAGGTTACACCGTTTTCATACAATACACCATTCTCATAAGAAGTGGACTCTGATTGTAATAGAATTTTCCTTTGATGTGATGCTCAAGCGGTTCTAGGACAATTACCCCTCAAAAAAAATTCTGCTTTTATTAAAACCAACTTATTATCAGGATGAACTTCCCCTTTAATGAACAGGGGGGTAGTTATCTGGGGGGGGGGGGGGTAATTGTCCTTAGTTGTCATTGGGGCGGGGAGGGGGGTTGTCCTAGAGGGTAATTTTCAGGGATGGGGGATATTTTCTGGGAGAAATTGTCCATGCGAGTGATTGTCCTTGGGGGGGGGGGGGGTGATTGTTCATTGTCCTGATACGGTACGGTAAATCTTGGTATTCTGAACATGGGGTTAGATCCTGTCAACTTGTCAAGAATGTTTGGTTGCTGAACTTCCTGTTAAAGGTAACTCTTAGTTCTGGTATTGATGTAAAATCATCATAGAATCATATTAAATAGATTTATACTGAATGGTCAAGCCCATTAAAATATAATAAAATAAAATAAAATAAAATCTGAACTATTTTTTGGTATCCCGTGCGTTAAGTTATATCAGATTATTAAATGAACGTTTTTTTTTAAATATTCAATTTGAAAATTCCATTCACCTATTTCTTGTAAATGATCAAGGACGATTCTTGAATGATCAGTTATTTCAAGGGGATACCAATTAATTTGTATTTTACCTGTTTATATGCTTGTGTATTTATCTATTTTGCTTTTGATGCTGTTATTTGTTTTTATCATTACCAAACAGGGCCTCATGGAAGACCACCAAATTGGTGATATGTGCCACCCTGTATAAATGTCAGAAATAAATTTTTTAAAAATGAATTATGGCTCAATAATGAGCAAAGAACAGCCTGAAAATTGAGTTGGCTTGTCCTGACTGCTTGTTGAGCAATACCGGTGTGTTTTATATTATCCAGATGAGATGAGATCAATGTTTGTTCCTATAGTCCCAGGTGATCTTTTTCATGTCACTTCAGGCTCGTTCAGAAATTAAAGGGAACCAAAACATTCATAAAAAGGTACTTTTATTGTAAAGTTTAAAATATTTGAATAAAATCAGTGAAAGTTTGAACAAATTCGGGCAAGGAATAAAGAAGTTAAAGCTTTTTTTAAATAACTTGTCACTAGAGGGCAATATTCAACATGGTGACATCCTTTGTGGACAACTCTCCATGCCTTTTGTACTTCAAGTTTCATGTTTTTCCTTCTTTCTTGTGATTGAGATAATTTACTCCCCTGAAAGCAAGATATGGAATGCAAAATGATAGTCTACTTCACATTTTAGGATGTCGGATCCTGAACACGAATGAATACAAAGAAAATGAAAGAATTGTGAAATTACATGGTCAGAAAGAATGGAGAGTTTTCCATAATGATGTCATCAAATTAGATATCGCCCTCTGGTGACAAGCTATTTCAAACAGCTTTAACTTCTTTATTCCTCGCCCGATTTTGTTCAAACTTTCACTGATTTTATTCAAATCTTTTACACTTTACAATCAAGGCAGATTAGTATGAAGGTTTTGGTTCCCTTTAAGTGGTAAATCGCTGAAGATTATTTTCTTCTATAGCTCTGTGTTAAAAGATGTGAAGAGTATGACACTTTCAACATCATTGAAAAATATGTTAAAACGCTGCAGTTTTCCAAGGCTTTATTGTCGTGCTGGGTAAGTCATAAAACACCTAATCAACAAGGCTTAATTGTGATCTCTTTCTCTCTATTTTTCTCTCCATCTCTCTCTCTCTCTCTGTGTCTTCCCCCTCTCTCTCTCTCTCTCTCTCTCCCTCTCTCTCTCCCTGTCTCTTCCTCTCATTCTCCCCTCTCTCTCTCTCTCTCCCTCCCTCTCTCTCTCTCTCTTTCTCTCTCTGTCTTTCCCCTGTCTTTCCCCTGTCTTCCCCCTGTCTTCCCCCCCTCTCTCTCTCTCCCTGTCTCTTCCTCTCACTCTCTCTCTCTCTCTCTCTCTCTCCCTGTCTATTCCTCGCTCTCTCTCTCTCTCTCCCTATATATTTTGTTTTTATTTACAGTTTGATGAAGTGGCAGACAAGGATGATCTGATGGGTGTAGAAGATACAGCCAAGAGAGATATCCTTTTACTCTTCTTTAAGTGTCAGACATATAAGTATTCAAATCAGTGTCCAGCTTGAAATAAAATACTCTTTTGGCTAAGTACGCTATATTACCCTTAATTTTAAGACAGCTTCCTAGCAGACTGAGCCAATTATTTTGGAGGCCTTTATTGGCAGGCTTATCACACACAGACATCGCAATCTGCGCACAATTATGCTTGCACGCATTTAAATTTAAATGAGTTGTGTTTGTTGCGCATCATTTTGGATTGACAATTAATGTACGTCACAATACTTATTCCCGGGTATTTTGCTTTACCTTTACAATAGGCTTCCTAAAGTAAAATGCTCATATGTGATCTGAATAAGTTATTCCACCAGTTTGATTTAATTTAACATTATGGAAGTTCAAATTTGTTAAGCACATCTCACCCCCTCCCCCATATACTAAGGGTTAGTATTTGAGGCAAGAAGGAAATAAATGTGTTAAGATCTGCAGTAGACTAATTTTTCCTTGACCGGTGGTTGTCATTTACGTCTCTTCTCGTCCAAGCCGTCTCTCAAGAATCGATCCACCGTCTTCACCATTGGTAACCGTGGTAACATCTTAACCTCCGGGTTAGAAGCCTCCATCATCCTCCCTCATGCAGCCCAGAAGGATGACACCAAGGTATAGTTGTAGATAGTAGTGTGATAAGTAAGCTCTATGGGCTGTTCAGACCTCATTAATGAAGATAACCTTAAAGGTACTATGTCCCTTTTGCAGCCAACCTCAAATTCTGTAGAATTTTGCATGGATTATTAATATGTCATGTATGTCCTATCTGTGAAATTTAAACATTAGCAGTGTCCTCATATTCAAATTATGCAAGGAAACCCGTTTACTTGCTAGACTTCACTGTCAGACACTATTGAGGGACTGACTGGCTTTTTTTCTTCTTTGGTAATAACATACATGAAAAGAGTTGTAAAGGGTACATGAGCATTTGTCTACATCAATAACCCACTTCTTGTGATGGCCAAGATTAAACTGATTGAATCTTTGCGCAGCATAAAACGTATGACCATTCGGTACAATTGTCTGAAAATCAAGACTATTACTTTTGGGCTCTATAGCCCTAAAGTCGATTTGACAACTAACAGTCGTTATTTTCCCACTTGAAGACATTTTCAAGCCCCACCTTTTTTAGGGAAGTTCTAAATTAGTATTATCTTTCAAATGCAGTTGGAATTTAACTTTTTCATTTTTTTGGCCTGCAAATGGGACATAGTACCTTTAACCTAATAGAGGTGTTGTTGTCCAATGGTTTAAAAACTTGACTGAAAATGCAAAAGCTGATGGCAAAGACATTAATCTACCCTTGCCACTGTCCACTCAGGTGTTAAATGGGTACCCGGTAGGTTGCGAACATTAGTGGTTGACTTGGCAAGTGTGCACTTGGAAAATGGCATGTGTCCAAATCACTCCCCAGGGAGCAGAGCGTGTACACTGTAATGTGTGGATGATGAGCAATTGAATTAAATGACTAGGGTATAATTGTAATTACAATGTAAAGTGCTTACAAACATAGTACTAAATGCTATACAAATGCAACTATTATTAACTATAACAATGAATTATTCTCTAATCGCTCAGCTCTTGGTTATGTGGAAAGGCATTTGAAATCATTGTTGAATCGCTCGGCCACCAATCTTTTTTTTTAGTGTAGACCTCATCTAAAATATATATGAGCTAATCATCTGATTATATGTCAGTGGCAGATGAAGGAACGGAGGCATTGTCCAGTGTTTCATCGACAGAATCTATGATTTTTATTGTCGCAAAATTTAGTAAAGTCTGACAACAACTGTCTCTGTCTCTCCCCCCCCCCCCTTTTCCAGCATACTTTTGAAAGCTTATTTCGCAGCCAGCACTTTGCCCTGTTGGACAATTGCTGTCGAGAGTATCTCTTTGTCTGTGATTTCTTCATGGTGAGCGGTAGCAATGCTCAGGATCTCTTCACCAATCTCCTGGGAAAGACGCTCTCAATGTTCCTGGTAAGAGCATGCTTTCTCTGCTTTTCTCTGCTCAATAGTGGTATATACTTTATAAGCAGAGCTGCCAACCATTCTGTTTTTTGCCGGAATTACTCCGTTTTTTCCTCCAAATTACGGTACTACGTTTTTTCTTCATAAAATATGTTTTTTAATAATTTTTTTTTTTTTTTTTTTTTTTTTAACATACCACACGTCAAACAACTGCCCTTAAATGGTGATTTGATTGCAAATTCAATAGAAAACTTATTTTAAAACATACTTGAAGAGAAATATTCTCAAAAGAAATGAAATGCCGATAATACCAAAATAACCACCAAAAAAAATTACCTGCTTGTATGGAAAAAACAGCATGATGAATGAACATTTCTGCATTGGAAGTGTGTCGCACGTGGTTGTAAGGTTCTTTTTATGAATTCCTTTTTTTGGCTTGAAATTCCTTTTTTTTGCCATCATGATTCCTTTTTTTGGTCGCACAAGGTTGGCAGCTCTGTATAAGTAATGTCATCTAGGAAATGTAAATTAATGGCAATTGTCAGCACAAGAAAGAAATATCTTATCCTGTTTTTTTATAAAAATATATACGTGTCTGCTCCTTTCCAAGGCTTTTACTTGAAATCCACTTTGATTTGAAAGGAGGTACACAGTACAGTTTAATAGCAAAATATAATAAAAGACAGCCAAGTGTTATCATTGCATTTTTTATGACTCATTTACCAAAATTTAGTCCACTTAAGGAGTATAGGTTTTGCAGCTGAACTGTTTATAATTCTGTCTTGCCATGAATCAATTAAATCAAAGAAATCTGTTTCATGTTGTTGTAAGATTATAGCACTATATCAGAAATCAAAGTATAGCCCTATTCAGAAAGTATTTTTTGCTCTCACAGTATACTAAAGAACAATATTTGCTTAAAGTGATTGGGTAACTTTGTCTCAGATTCTGAAACAAAATCCTGGATTTAGCTCATGCTGCAATGATAATTTTAAACCATTAGGTCAGTCAAGAACCCCATGACTTTTACAAGCTAATCGCCTGTCTGATTATCAAGATATTTATGATTGGAAATCGAATCCAAATTTTGCATTTTCCCAACGGTTTTCATAACACTACAGTCTATTGGGGAAAACGAGTATGGTAAAACCGTCACTCAAAGATTTTTACTTTTTTGAGGCACTTCATGATCATTTTGAAGTGCAATTTTTTTAGGGCTTCAATATTAGACCATTACACAGACACTGATAACATGTAGGGCCATGCATCTCAGATTTAACATTGTTAAAGGCCCGGTCTCACCGCCAGCACTTTGATGGAGCGTTCCTGGAGCGGTTAAAACAATTCATCACCGCTCGTAACCGTTCACCACCGTTTAACAGAAGTTGGCCCTTTGTTAAGGCAACGCCGTATACGCTCGGCCACCGCTGATGGTCCCTCCTACCGCTCCGAAAGTTTTGAGCTGCACAAAATATTGCGAGTGGTGAGGAGCGGTCAAAGTTTGGCACCGCTAGACGCAAGTTCGTGGACGCTTTGGTCCGCTAGGCCAACGCAGAAATTTTGAACGCTGGACCACTGCTGCTTCGCCAGCTTTGCCCGGGCAGTGATTAAACGTTGCACAAACTTTGGTGGAGCGGTTGTAAGCGTTTTACGAGCGGACACGGGATTGCTGGAACGGTGTCGGGCGTTGAAGCAGCGATCCATTGCGGTGATGAACTTTGGTTTGGCGTTGGTATGGAGGTGTCGGAGCGGGACCAACGCTTGCTACCGCTCGCTACCGTTAAACCAACGCTAAAGCAACGCCGGCTTCAGCGGTGCACCGCTAAGGCAACGCCCGTGTTTTCGATTTGTTTCCCATTTTGTGCGCGGTGACGAGCATTGTCCAAATTCTGCCCCCTCTCCCTACCGTTCAAGGAACACTCCAGCAAAGTTCTGGCGGTAAGATCGGGCCTTACACAATGCCTTTAATACAAACAAACTTGACATGGTGGCCACCTCTCTACATAGCTAAACTGTCTAAAGTGGTCACCCGAATTGTCTCCCTCTTAGAAAGAATCGAGTGTACCGTAGTAGAACCTGTCTGAATAGGCCACCTGTCTACAGTGGCCACTTTTTTCTGTTTCCCTTGGGTGACCTTAATATACAGGTTTGACTGAACTTGATTCAAGACCCATTTTGATAACTACTTGCTTGTAAGGCCATCATTTGCCTCTACGTTGTATGACAAACTATTTTTTATGGATCATTGAAATGTGTGTACGAATGTGCTCTTTGTCTTGCACAAACAGCACAATAATAATGAAAGACTTCTTTTCTCGCTGTCCTCTGTTTAGAAACATATGGACACATACACGAATGAGTGTTATGACTCCATAGCGGTATTCCTCTGTATACACATCATCCAACGGTATAGAGTTCTTATGCACAAGAGATCTGTTCCAGCCTTAGACAAGTAAGTGAACAATGAAGTGAAGTTTGAGTACATATAAAGAGGTGTGCTTTACTATATTCATCATTCTTTCATATTTGTTCTATTCATATGTTCAGTCATAATTTTGATGTTTTTATTGATGATGATTCATGATATTGATTGTTATACATGTATAAATTATTAAATATTACATAATCATATGTTTTAGATATTCGAGAGATTCTTCTCTGAATGCTATGTCAGATATACATGTACATACAGTAATGGTAACAATTTGACATCAATTCTATTGCCATAAAATTTTGTAATATCCATTAAATTTGTGACATTCTTTCTATCATTTGTTGTAGATAATGGGAGATATTTCTTTACATGCCACAGCAAAGATGTATACAGTGACAATATAGATGGCATTTATTTTGTATCTGTCATATTCATTGTATGTACAAGTATATTTTATTGTACATGTATTTGCCATTTAGTTACATGTTTCAGATGTAGGGGGACTTTCCTGTAGATACTACGGCTAAAAATTCATAGAAATGCATTTCTTTAGACACATAATCACCCTTCCCAGCATATTATATTTATTCTATGTTACTCGCATTTTGTTTTGTTTTGTTGTATTTACCATATTTATTGTGTTATCGTATGATCATTGTTTCCAGATATTGGGAGACACTTTTCGAGATGCTCTGGCCGAGATTCAAACTCATCCTAGAACTCAACATCCAGAGTATTCATGAAATGGACCCACAGAAACTAGGATCCATTGATGTCAGACCACACTACGTAAGAAAGGATATTATGATGATGATGATGATGATGATGATGATGATGGCGATGATGACAATGATGATGATGATCATGATGATGGTGATGATGGTGATGATGATGATGATGATGGCGATGATGACGATGATGACGATGATCATGATGATCATGATGGTGATGATGATGATGATGATGATGATGAAGATGGTGATGATGATGATGATGCTGATGATGATGGTGGTGGTGATGATGGTGATGATGGTGATATTGAGAATAATGATGGTGATGATGAGGATGATGATGCTGGTGATGATGATGGTGATGACAGGGATGATAGTGATGATGATAAAGATGAGGATGATGAGGATGATCATAATACTGAAGATGAGTAGGAGGAGGATTATGATGATGCTGATGATGACGGTAGTAGTGATGATGATGATAATGATAACAATAATAACAATATTACTTATAGTAAGAGTTATTGTTATCAACTTAAAGACAAAGTTGAGTGCTGGTCATATTGTACTAGGAAATACACTTTGTGGGAGCAACAGAGGAAGGTTGATTATGTAATACATAAGAATCAATGTATACTGTGAGATTTCGCTATAATCAAAATGAAAAGGAATGGATAACAATGCAATTTTTATCACACTGTTACAGAGGCAGGGAGGTCGTCAAGTTTCTCCTAAAAGGAAAATATGAAAGACATGGCTAAAGTCACAAAAACTTAGTTGTGGAAGTTTGATTGTTTGACATGTAAGTGAACATCATATACACAAACAGTTAATTGTGTTCAAAAGATTTTTTAAATACAAACCATGTACTGATTGGATGATAAATGAAAGCTACAATCTATCACCATGACTCTGAACATCCCTGTCCTCTCCTTTCAGATCACTCGTCGCTATGCGGAGTACTCTGGTGCCATTGTGAACCTGAACGAAACGTTCCCAGATGAGCGAGTGAACAGGCTCCTTCTGAAGCTACAGTCTGAAGTGGAGAACTTCATTCTGCGGATGGCTGCCGAGTTTCCGTCCAGGAAAGAGCAGCTTATCTTCCTGATCAACAACTATGACATGATGCTCAATGTTATAACTGTGAGTTCTTTGACCTTATTTGAAACTTTGACATTTTTTCCATGCTATAACAAGATGCTTAATGCTAGAACGGTTAGGCCTTTGACCTTATTTCTTATTGTGACATGGTGGGCATTGTAATAACAGTGAGCTCTAAGACCTTCATCCTTATAAAAATGGTGTTCAGTGTCATAATGTGGAGTCCTTTGGCCTTATTCTGTACCGTGACATGATGCCCAATGTTAAAACAGTTAGTCCTTTGTGCAATAGAATAATGGTAAGCTCTTTGACCTTATTACAAGTATGACTTTTGAATTTATTCTTTACTTTTGCATAATGCTCACATGTTCTTTGATCTTATTCCATATCATCTTAACTTTTAACCAAATCATAAAATTATAACCTTTGAAATTGTTTTTGATACTAACTATGCTCATAATTTAAAAAAAAAATAAGCCCTTTATAAACCTCATTATAACCTTGCTCTATACTTTGACATGATTCTCAAATGTTCAATTGATGAGTAATTTGACCCTTTTTCAAACCGTTACTTTTAAACTTATCTAAAACCATGACATTTGAACTTAAGACATGAAATATGACACAAATGCTCCATGTTAGAGGAGGCGAGTTGGCTCAGTCGGTAAAGCGTCTGCTTTTCGAAACCCACCTTTTCTACCTCGAATCCCACCTAGGCGGATGACTGAAGCCTGCATTGTGTGCTAATGTGCCCCCCCCTTGATTCATAGATGCAGGCTATCTTAAGTGGAGAACACTCCGTCTCTCGGATAGGACGTTAAGAACCCACTGCACTATTCGTATAACAGTAGAGGGAAACCCCGGTGTAGTGGTCCACCTGCATAGCCCAGTATATACATCTGCAAGAATCTTTAGTATTGAAGGAGGCAGATTATCCATAAAAACAGAAGAAGAAGTTATTTTTACCTCTTTATAAACTCTGGTGCGATCTCCCTTCTTTCCAGGAATGTACATCGGAGGATTCGAGGGAGGCAGAGAGCTTCCGTCAGCTCCTGGACGCCAGGACGCAGGAGTTCATCGAGGAGGTTCTCGCTCCTCACTTTGGAGGGATGATGTCGTTTGTCAAAGATGCGGAGAATCGCATCGAGAGGGGACAAGCAGACCATCTCAAGTCACAAGAACGTAAGACATTGTGCTGTTTAAAGCCCCACTGTACTACTTGTAGCTACTTGCTCCCTCAATATAGAAAACAATGCCTAAGCGGTCCCCCATGATCCTCTTTTTCTTATGTTAATTGAGAGCTGAGTTGATGAGATAGCCACCTGTCAGTGACCATGCTGGGTGGTCTAATCCCTCCTGGCCAAAATAGTACAGAGTACAGACAGGCTTTAACATTCAAAGTCTTGTAACTCTGATCCATAATAACTTGTTTGTTATTATATTTCTGTAAAAATAAAGAAATAATAGCATCTCAAATTTCTGATAACTTGACATATGTATGTGGAGTCCATTTTTAACTTGACTAGAACATTCATGTAGAAGTAACAATATGGAAGTGAAAAATTATATTTTACTTGTTTTTATGGTGCGGCAAACCATATTGTTTGTTCTACCCATCATCAACTAATGTATGCAATTTGCATTTTGACTATTGAAATACAGTTGTTCCCAACATGTGAATGCAATAGCTCATTGTTAAGTTAACAAGCATAATTTAAGTCTTTTGAGATAAGATATTGTTTTGTGGTTGTTTTTTCAGGTCATGTTGAGCAGTTGGTCCGAGGTTTCTCATCGGGTTGGAAGCAAGCCATTGAGCTCATCAACCAGGAAATCATGAGATCATTTACCAACTTCAAAAATGGCACCGGCATTCTACAAGTGAGTCTCATATATACATTAACCCTGTCTCTTTAACTGCCAACCCTTCCTCTTTCAGAGGAATGATTCCCAATTTATTTTCTGCCTTCAAACCCGTTTTATGAACTCTACATGTCTCTTAAACTTCTAATTTTTGTGGAGACATTTGTATAAAAGCATGCTATGTGCACTATATTTCTAAATTGATATTATTTTCTTCGCAGAGATTCCTAAATTATGCCATGGAAGGTTTGTTGGCAGGTATGTCATTGCGCCACTATGTTTTAAATAAAAGATCCAACATGAGATTTCAAGAGTTAAGTTTTTTAACTTTTTTTCTGGGAATGTTAAAAAAGGCATAAAATGAATTTAAAAAGGCATAACATGAATTCCATTGCAATTAATTTCACAATGAGGGTACCTGCTTCTCCTTTGGGAAGATAAAACATCACATTGTTCAATTCTTGGGCAGAATTTGTTGCTCATGGGATGGATAGGGTAATGAAGAATATGGGCCAAATTACATTTTGACCCGACCCATCTGAGGCATAAGTTTTCTGTTTTCTTAAGTCCCACTGTACTACTTGTATCTACTTGCTCCCTCTATATAGAAAACAATGCCTAATCAGTGACCATTGGTCCCCCATGATCCCCCTTTTTCTCATGTTAATTGAGAGCTGAGTTGATGAGGTAGCCACCTGTCAGTGACCTTCCCGGATGGTCTAATCCCTCCTAGCCAAACCAGTACAGATAGGCTTTAATGCAGCTTTGACTAATTTCATTTTGCATCCCTAACCGTTCATTGGAATGAAGCCATGAGCAAATTGCTCTGCAGCAAGTGTCAAACCACAAACAAAGTAATTTTGTGTCATTGTTTTATTTTTATTTTTTAACGTAGGGTGCCCTGACACAACTCATCCAGTACTATCACCGGTTCCAGAAGGTCTTGTCTCAAAACCCTCTCAAAGCTCTGAGTGTGAGAGGTGAACTCATCAACATCCATCATCTCATGGTGGAGGTTAAGAAACACAAGCCAGCGTTCTAGATCAGCTTCAAACAGAGGCACTGATGGGTGTAGTGGGGTTGGGGAGGCAGGCAGGGGTCAGTACTATCACCCGTTCCAGAAGGTCTTGTCTCAAAACCCTCTCAAAGCTCTGAGTGTGAGAGCAGAACTCATCAACATCCATCATCTCATGGTAGAGGTTAAGAAACACAAGCCAGCGTTCTAGATCAGCTTCAAACAGAGACATCACTGACGGGTGTGGTAGGGTTGGATAGGCAGGCAGAGGGGGGGGGGGGGGGGGGGGGGGGTAAGGTTACCCATATACATCATCTTATGATAGAAATTCAGAAACACAAGCCAGCATTCTAGATCAACTTCAAACAGAGGCAATACTGACAGGTGTGGTAGGGTTGGATAGGCAGGCAGAGGGGGGGGGGGGGGGGGGGGGTAAAGGTTACCCATATACATCAGCAGGAGGCGCGATGGCTCCGTGGTAGAGCAGTGGTTTCGTAACCGGAAGGTCCTGGGTAGGCAGGTAGGGGTCATTGGTAGAGCAGTGTCCTAGTGTCTTTTGGTAAGGCATTAATCCTTATTACCAAGTCCCCCGGAGAGGACTTGAAGCCGTCTGTCCTTTTGTTGCTTACTTACAAGCATACACTAGCATTCAGGTAATTCAGATTAATCAAACAAATCGTATAATAGAAGTTAAGAAACACAAGCTAGCATTCTGAATCAACTTGAAAGCAGAGGCATCACTGAAGGTCAATGGTAGGGTGGGCTGGAATGGAATCAGGTTACCATCAACGGTTTTGTGATACAAAGGTGGAAGTATTCCTTTCAAACAAGAAAATCAAAACAAAAGACTTTCATGGAGCACCTCTATCTTGTGGTTGGATGTGATTATTCTGAAATACCAAAGGAACCTCTCCATTTACAAACAAATTATGGATATCGTGGGGAATTTTCAAAATGTTCTTACTACAGACTTGTTTATAATATGTAAATTGAAACAATTTTATAAATCCGTGAATCGTTTATGAATAATTCAAAAATAAAAATGTTGAGGGCTATAAATTCTTTCTCCCCCTCCTCTCTCTCTTATATTTTTCACAAATATCAAATCAACTCGACAGCCTCTATGCATGTTCATGTATATCCAGTATACAGATAGACATGTGAATGTAGTGGGCTGATATCATAACCAGTAAACCATTTACATGTAGGAATTCTAAGTAATGAGGATTCCTTGCGCAAATATAATTCCATTCCAATTCCTGTGAATTTGTTCTTTTATTGCATGGAGAAAGCATTTTGCTTTGGTGTATTTTATTTGGGCAAAACCAACTTTATTTCTGTATTCATTGAGATAAGCATGACTTGTTTTTTGTTATGGCCATCATGTCAATTTTTTCCTCAAAGTATATCATATATACAAAAAATGTGCAATTATTTTTGTCTAAACTCTACATTGTGTTTACATGTCAGCATCATAGATGTACATTATTTTTTATTCCAGGATCGTATTGCTTATTTCCATTAGACGATATCCGTTTCCGTTCATTTTGTGTATGTTAACATGCAGGAAGGAAGAGAGATAATGTTTGCACATTGTACCTGTATCTGTCCCCCCGGGAGCGCCGCCTCTGACTGAGAGTTATCTTTATCAGGAAGTTCAGCAACTAAACATACTTGTATACATTGTATCTGTCAAGTAATGTATTTGTTGGTATATAAGTTTGAAGTAACTATGCTTTTGATGACACAAAAGATATAGCAAGTGGAACACAATGTCAGTGAATTAGGCATCCAACAGTTTATGAAAATGTTGTTCTTGCTTTAGAGGAATCTGTATATTTGTATGTTATATAATATATATGTATAGTTATTAAATAGATAATGACAAATGAATATGAAAATGTGTGTATAATTGTACATCATTTTCATTTTTTGTATGAGTACTGCATACAAATTAGAATGTATACATTGTGTATTGAAGGCTGGAAATGAGTTACTGTAGGGTTTTATGGCAGTAAAAGAAAGAAAGGGAACATTTCGGTGGGTAAAGATGAGAGACGAGAGAGAGAGAGAGATGGGAGATAGAAAGATGGGGAGAGAGAGAGAGAGAAAGATGGGGAGAAATAGAGAGATGGGAGAGAGAGAGAGAAAGCAAAAGATGGGGAGAGAGATGGGGGAAATGAGAGGGAGATTTTCAAACGGAGAGGTATGAAATGGAAGGAAAGAGCATGAGTGATGGAATGAAATATGTGGAAAAGGAGTATGTTGCACTTTAACAAAAAATGTGAAGCTGATTTTTAATTGCAAGTTCTAAAGTGACTACATTTATTCCTTTTTAGTAGCTTTTACTTCCAGCTGTTTTGGGGGAATAAATCCAGCAAATATCTGCAGATAGCAGAGTACTGGTATTCATACAGTAGTGATGCTCTTTAAAATTCATGCTTGATGATCAACGAGAGTAAATATACTTAAATAGAGATCATCTGAGCAACACTGAACAAGTTATTAGATTGGCCGATTTTGGGACTGAAACAACAAAAAACAAAAAACGCGAATAAAACAAAGTTCAAATGGTATCAATTCATACAAAAATATACAATATATAAAGTTTCAAGTTTTATTTTCTATTCAAATCCATATCAACACAATTTATGAAAGTATAAAATAAAAATTACATACAATATAGAAAACAGAGAACACACACAAAATGGAAATATCTTGTGACAAATATAGCCGAATTATAAACTTTTAATCAATAGAAATGAATTGGGAAAACTGCAAATAAAACCGTAGGTTCTGTCGAGGCAGTCCCAGTTATTAAAATATACATACAAGTTCCAACAATTGCCTTTTAAAGATATAACAATAACACAACAGTGTACAAAACATAGTAGACTTATTAATATGCATACATTACTATTGATTTAAAAACAGAAGTATTTTTTAATTTTTGATTTTAAAGACTTAAAGAAAGTAGAATCACAGATATCTCTCGGGAGAGAATCCACATTTTTGAACCGGTGTGTCTAAAAGTAAATAAAAAATTTGTTGATGGACATTCATAAATAAAGTAATTATATTTCTAACTTTCTTGTATTATAATTATGAACAGATTGTTTACATTTCATCGTAGTGGCAAGAGTAATCGGCAGTTAATCAGTTTTATGTTTAAAAACCATGAGTGATATACAATATTGATACAACTGATAAATATTTAAAAACTGTACTTGTTGAAATAATGGTTTTGAATGGGCATTGAAATCATACATAAGACATATTCTTACTATACGCTTTTGTAATATAAGCAGTGGTTGCAATCTTGTTGGATATGTGTTGCCCCATACAACATTACAATACATTACATACAATAAAATCAAAATGTTTTGTGGCAAGATATGACGTAATCAATGAACGTGCATTGTTTTAGCTGAAAAAATATACCTCCTGACACTATGAATATGACGGACAAAGAAAGAGGACAAAATATACAGTTCCTCAGGTAGACAAAGGAACATCCCTTCACTGCTATTATGTAAAATGTGTAGAACAGGTGAATATGCATGTGACACCTGTTCTACACATTTTTACATAATAGCAGTAAAGGGATGTTCCTTTATCTACCTGAAGAACTGTATATTTTGTCCGCTTTCTTTGTCCATCACATTCATAGTGTGAATATACATTATACATAGTTCGACGAATGATTGATACATGAAAGAGTGTTATGCCATCTACGGTGGTATGATATCCAATATGCATGCAGTAAACTACATAATATACCAATTACAAATAAACTATGTCTATATATGAAAGAGGGCCCAGCGCTCTTGTTAAGTTTTCCAGACTTTAATTGCTCTCTACTTCTATTTATTGTTTTCACTGGGTAAGACAAGGACCAGCTTGTTCATTTGCTTGCTGTTAAAATAAAAAGTAAACAAAAGAATATTCTTGCACATGTAATCATGCAACCAGTTAAATTGTAGCTTTAATCCTCTAGCACACTTTTCAAAGGTAATGTACAAGGCTATTAAAATTGCCTCAGATTCATATTTTGAACATTTTGGGGATCGGATTTTTTTAATACAAAAACCTGATTGCCCATTAAAGAGGAATGGCATTGTTGATAGCCTTATTTGCTCTCATACTTCTCTCAAACTGAGCCCAAAATAGTTCCTGTCCATCTTCATCATCCGTCCACAACATGTAAGGTTTGTTCCTACTCATGAACAACCTGACAAGATATGGCAGGTTCTCATCCTCGATGTCCTCCAAAAATATCAAGATGATTTTGTCCGGACCTGTTTCGTTGAGATGCTCCAGTGCCATACGGAGCTTGGTCATGCACCAGGCATCACTTATAGATTGGTTGCTTATCAACAAGACAGTCTTGAAGCTGTTATCCAGGGCGTCATTGATGGCATTAATGTAGAACATTCCAAGATGGAGGTCTCTGTCCCCGTAGATGATGTTCTGCAGATGCGGGAACCTCTCCTCCAGGGCAGGTTTCATGACCCGATCAACCCATTCCTCTTCCTCTTCAAGGAACATGAGGTTCAAATGAAACTCGTAGTTATCTGCATCAAAGTCTTCTGCCATTTCTTCGTAGCCAACAACAGCTAGTTTAAGAAGGAAAAGCTTGTGATTCAACCACCAACGTCTGTTGTAAGCAAGCAATGTTATTAGGAAAAGGAGAATACCTGTGAAGGAAATACCTGCTATTAGAAAGATATTGACTCCACAATGATCCTCAGGATGAAAGGACAGTATCGGCTGTTTTGAGAGTCCTTTCAGGGACGTCCCGGAGCACAGGGTCTGATCTGCATGTTTGAAATCAATGTCGGCAGAGTCCAACCACTGCCTGAACCATGCCAAGGAGCACGTACAGGAGAAGGGGTTGTTGGAGATGTCTAACCTAAGGGAAGTATTACCTGGTAGAACTGTCCCAGGTTTAATGGTGCTGATTTGATTCCCAGGTAGATAAAGATCCGTCAGTCTTAGTGTCTGGGCGAAAGTTTTGGGGTCCAGACTACTCAGGATATTGTTCTGGAATGTCAGCACGTTCAGGCGGAATAGGCCATTGAATATGTCTCCAGGAACCTCCCCCAGATTGTTCTCACCGATATAAAGGTACCTTAGGGAGGAGAGAGGACTGAACAGTCCTGACCTTAGCGTATGTATTCTTGAGTTGGTCATATCAAGATAGACCAATTGTGAAAGATTCTGAAATACCCTGACATCAAGGTCATGCAAATAGTTGTCTTTGATTCGCAACTTACGAAGCGAGAAGAGACCGGTGAAAAGTGATTGATGTTTGACTTCATCATATAGGTCAGTACCTTCTAACTGTGCCTTCTCCATACGCAGTTCGCTTAAACTACTCATATTGGAAAACTGCTCTGTTGATGTTAGTGACACCTGGATGGGTGCATTTGATAGGTCCAGAATGAGCAGTGTATGCAGTTGACAAAAGGAATTTTCCAAAAATGTTGACTGCTCATTTTCCAGGTGCAGTTCTTTCAAATTAAATAAGCCTGTGAAAGCTTTGTAATTATAGTAAGTGATTTTATTGCCAGATATGTTTAATGCCTCCAAATTGGTTAGCCCATTAAATCTCTCCTTGGAAAGACCTTTTAAAGCATTGTTCGTTATGTCAAGCATACGAAGAGTCTTGATTGTCCAAAGCTGTTGGTCATTGTTCAGTGATTCGATTCTGTTACTTGAGAGGGATATGGTAAGAAGGGATGACATACCATAGAAGTATCCAGGAGAGAGAGTCTGTAATAAATTTCCAGATGCATTCAGTTGTTTCAAACTTTGCAGGCAAGCAAATGTCCCATATGAGAAGGATGTTAATTTGTTGTATGAAATGTCTAGTTCTGTAAGTGACTCCAGACGACAAAATGACTGATTAGTGAGGATTTTGAGTTGGTTCAGATTCAAGGAAAGCACTTCCAATGTTGTGAAGCCCCAGAGTGCACCCTCTTGTACAGTCTCAAGCTTATTAGCTGATAACGTTAGACTTTTGATGGTTGGGTAAGTGATGGACAGATTAGAAGCAAAGTCAGGTGGTAAAAGATCATGGATCTGGCAGCCAAACATAGATAAATGTTCGATGTAAGTCATGCCAAGGAAAGGTTGAATGTCAAATGAGTTGATTTGATTTCCTGAAAGCATAATTTGTTGTATCAAATTCAGATGCAAAAAGCTTTGTGGTTGTAGAATTTGAATTTTGTTAGATACGAGGTTCAAACTGCTGATTGTTGTGTTGTGCAGAGGAAGAAAGTCCTCTTGTTGAATTTCTTCAACCTCATTGTGGTCCAGGTTTATTTCTTCCAGATGGGACCATTGAGAACATCCCTCAAAGTTGATACTCTTGATTTTGTTCCCACCGAGTTCCACCGTTGACAGGTTGAGTATGTTTGAAAAGGCTTCGTGAGGAACAGCTTTCAGGTGATTTGCCTTCAACAGCAGCTTTGTGAGTAGCATGTTCTTCAGAAAGATTTTTGGAGGTATAGACTCTAGATTGTTCCCATTGAGGATGAGAGTACTTAGCTTTGTCAAGGTCCAGAAAGTACTGCTCTGTATAGAAATTATAGGGTTCTTACTCAGGCTAAGGAGGGTTACATTTGGAACATCCTGAAAAGAACTGTTGTAGAGGACGGTCAGTTTGTTGACAGACAAGTCGAGCTCAGTGACACCTTGGGGTAGATCCTGAGGAACTTCTGTGAGTCCAAGGTGCTGACAGTTTGCAGTAACTCCATCACTGGAGTTCTTCAGTCGACATTTTTGGGGAGTCTTGACAGTTTCTGCACCAAATGCAGCAGATAGGTTCACCTGTAGCCAAAAAAGTCCTACTGCAAGGAGTAGTATCTCGAGATAAATTTTGCAGCTTACTGTGTAAACTGCCATAATTCTCTAATACCGGACAGGTGGAAATATATAGTCAGTGCGCTTGTGAGATATTACAGTATCATCAAAAACAAGAATTTATCAGAGTGCTCATCTAAAATGTTCCATTTTCAATCTGCACACAAATAATAACTTCCTGATTTTAATGCTGGAGCTTCTAATTCGTATGCAACTAGCAGGACGCCAATAGGATCGCTTTACAATATCTCCTATAAATAATTATTTTTAAAAGGATTTTGAAAAAGAATTTTGCTGTATTTGGTTCGGTGTAACCCAGGCGTGAGACAGGAAGATTGTATTCTATGTGACATCCTGTTTTATTTCCTCTCGGTTTCGATCTAGGAATATTTATAACCCGGTCAGATTGAGGAAGTTTATGAAGAATGCATGTAAAGATCTTTTTCATGTCACTTAAGCCTCGTACAGAAATGAAGTGGTAAACCGCTGCAGATTTGTTTGTATAATATGTAAATGAATGGCCACTGCGCACAACAAAGGTTCTACACATATTCACTGAGCTCTGTGTTATAAGATGTGAAGAATGTGAAGTTTGAAAAATGTGTATAAAAACGCTGCAGTTTACCAGTTAATATCTGAACAAGGCTTTATTGTCGTATTGGGTAAGTCATAGAAAATCATAATCAACGAGGCTTAAATGGGTTCCCTTTCTCTCTCTCTCTCTCTCTCTCTTTACACCCTTAAAAAAGAGGCACTCACCAGGGATGAATAAAGTCAGGGATGAGAATAGGAAATGGGCATTTGTCGACGGAAAAGGGGCCCCCATCAGATTTTGAAAGGGGCACTTTTGGCGTTCATGAAAAAGTGGTGGGCACTGTGCCCCCCCCCCCGGGAGCGCCGCCTCTGGCTCTTTATCAGGAAGTTCAGCAACCAAACATTCTTGACACGTTGACAGGATCTAATTACCTGTTCAGATTACCAAGATTCATCGTACCGTATCAGGACAATTGCCCCCTTGGACAATCACCACCCCCCGGAAAACTAACCCCAAGGACAATAATCCCCCGAAAAACACCCCACAGAAAATTACCCCCCATGGACAATGACCCCCCCCCCCCCCAGGAAAATTACCCCCGTGGACAATTACACCCACCCCCGAAAATTACCCCCCCCCCCCTTTTTTTTTCATTAAAGGGGGAGTCAACCCTGATAATAAGTTGGTTTTATGAAGAGTAGTTTGTTTTTCGGGGGGGGGCTGATTGTCCGGAGGGTGATTATCCAGGGGGTAATTGTCCTTGAACCTCATTGTACAGCTATGCAAAAATCACAAGTCTGAACGTTGTATAACAAAGAATTGACAATTCTAAACAGAATTAGAGTCCACTTGAGAATGGTGTATTGTATCGGTAAAGGGGTACTTTTCACTCCCCAAAGCCCGGCTCGTAGTACACAAAAATCCGACCCGTATTGACTTTACACACCGGACTTAGGGGGGGGGGGTGTTTTCAAAAGGAGGAACATGCATACGCGTACCCTAAATAACACTGAGTGGGGGCGGGGGTATTACACGCATTCTGCATAAACTTCCTCACTTTCAACACGCTATAAATATTCCTAGATACCGTTATTATAAAAACCAAGAGGAAATCAAACAGGATGTCACATAAACACACAATCTTCCTGTCTCACACTTGGGTTACGTTAAACCCAATACAGCTACATTCCTTTTCAAAATCCTTTTCAAAATACTTATTTCTAGGAGACATTCTTAGGTCCTACTGGCATCCTTGCTAGGTGCATACGAATTAGTAGCTCCAGCACTTTAATCAGGAAGTTATTATTTTGTGTGCAAATGGAAAGTGGAACATTTTAGACGAACACTCTGATAACTTCTTGTTCTTAATGAAACTGTAATATCTCGAAAGTACACTGACTATATATTTCCACCTGTCCGTTATTAGAGAATTATGGCAGTTAACACCGTGAGCTTCAAAATTCGTTTCGAGCTACTACTCCTAGCAGTAGGACTTATTTGGCTACAGGTGCACCTACCTGATGCTTTTGGTGCAGAAACTGTAAAGACTCCCACAAAATGCCGGCTGAAGAACTCCAGCGATGGACTTACAGCAAACTGTCAGCACCTTGGACTCACAGAAGTTCCTCAGGATCTACCCCAAGGTGTGACCGTGCTCGACCTGTCTGTCAACGAACTGACGGTCCTCCACAACAGTTCTTTTCAGGATGTTCAAAATGTAACCTTCCTCAGCTTGCACATAAACCGAATAAGTTCTATACATAGCAGGACTTTCTGGAAGTTGACAAAGCTCAGTTTTCTCATCCTCAATGGGAACAATCTAGAGTCTATATCTCCAAAAATCTTTCTGAAGAACATGCTACTCACACAGCTTTTGTTGAATGACAATCACCTGAAATCTGTTCCCCATGAAGCCTTTTCAAACATACCCAACCTGTCAAATGTGGTACTCGGTGGGAACAAAATCAAGAGTATCAACTTTGAGGGATGTTCTCAATGGTCTCATCTGGAAGAAATATACCTCGACCAGAATGAGTTGGAAGAAATTCAACAAGAATATTTTCTTCCTCTACAGAACACAACAATCGGCAGTTTGACCCTCACGGCTAACAAAATTCAAATTCTACAACCACAATGCTTTTTGCATCTGAATTTCATACAAGAAATTCTGCTTGGAGGAAATCCAATCAACTCATTTGACATTCAACCTTTCCTTGGCATGACTTACATCGAACATTTATCTATGTTTGGCTGCCAGATCCATGATCTTTTACCACCTGACTTAGCTTTTAATCTGTCCGTCACTTACCCAACCATCCGAACTCTAACTTTATCAGCTAATAAGATCGAGACTGTACAAGAGGATGCATTCTGGGGCTTCACAAAGTTGGAAGTGCTTTCCTTGAATCTGAACCAACTCAAACTCCTCACGAATCAGTCATTTTGTCGTCTGGAGTCACTTACAGAACTAGACATTTCAAACAACAAATTAACATCCTTCACAAATGGGACATTTGCTTGCCTGCAAAGTTTGAAACAACTGAATGCATCTGGAAATTTATTACAGACTCTCTCTCCTGGATACTTCTATGGCATGTCATCTATTATTACCATATCCCTCTCAAGTAACAGAATCGACGCACTGAACAATGACCAGCAGCTTTGGGCAATCAAGACCCTCTGTATGCTTGACATATCGAACAATGCTTTAAAAGGTGTTTCCAAGGGGAGATTTCATGGGCTAACCAACTTAGAGGCATTGAACATATCTGGCAATAACATCAATTACTACAGTTACACAGCTTTCACAGGCTTATTAAATTTGAAAGAGCTGTACCTGAAAAATGAGCGGGCAGCATTTCTGGAAAATTCCTTTTGTCAACTGCATACATTGCTCATTCTGGATCTATCAAATGCACCCATCCAAGTGTCACCAACATCAACAGAGCAGTTTTTTAATATGAGTAGTTTAAGAGAACTGCGTATGGAAAAGGCACAGTTGAAAGATACTGACCTATATGATAAAGACAAACATCAGTCACTTTTCACCGGTCTCTTCTCGCTTCGTACGTTGCGAATCAAAGACAATTATTTGCATGACCTTGACGTCAGGATATTTCAGAACCTTTCACAAATGGTCCATCTTGATATGTCCAACTCAAGAATACACACGCTAAGGTCAGGACTGTTCAGTCCTCTCCCCTCCCTAAGGTACCTTTATATCGGTGAGAACAATCTGGGGGAGGTTCCTGGAGACCTATTCAATGGCCTATTCCGCCTGAACGTGCTGACATTCCAGAACAATATCCTGAGTAGTCTAGACCCCAAGACTTTCGCCCAGACACTGAGACTGACGGATCTTTATCTACCTGGGAATCAAATCAGCACCATTAAACCTGGGACAGTTCTACCAGGTAATACTTCCCTTAGGTTAGACATCTCCAACAACCCCTTCTCCTGTACGTGCTCCTTGGCATGGTTCAGGCAGTGGTTGGACTCTGCTGACATTGATGTCAAACATGCAGACCAGACCTTGTGTTCCGGGACGTCCCTAAAAGGACTCTCAAAACAGCCGATACTGTCCTTTCATCCTGAGGATCATTGTGGAGTCAACATCTTTCTAATAGCAGGTATTTCCTTCACAGGTATTTTCCTGTTCCTGATAACATTGCTTGCTTACAACAGACGTTGGTGGTTGAATCACAAGCTTTTCCTTCTTAAACTAGCTGTTGTTGGCTACGAAGAAATGGCAGAAGACTTTGATGCAGATAACTACGAGTTTCATTTGAACCTCATGTTCCTTGAAGAGGAAGAAGAATGGGTTGATCGGGTCATGAAACCTGCCCTGGAGGAGAGGTTCCCGCATCTACAGAACATCATCTACGGAGACAAAGACCTCCATCTTGGAATGTTCTACATCAATGCCATCAATGACGCCCTGGATAACAGTTTCAAGACTGTCTTGTTGATAAGCAACCAATCTATACGTGATGCCTGGTGCATGACCAAGCTCCGTATGGCACTGGAGCATCTAAACGATACAGGTCTGGACAAAATCATCTTGATATTTTTGGAGGACATCGAGGATGAGAACCTGCCATATCTTGTCAGGTTGTTCATGAGTAGGAACAAACCTTACATGTTGTGGACGGATGATGAAGATGGACAGGAACTATTTTGGGCTCAGTTTGAGAGAAGTATGAGAGCAAATAAGGCTATCAACAATGCCATTCCTCTTTAATGGGCAATCAGGTTTTTGTATTTAAAAAATCCCATCGCCAAAATGTTCAAAATATGAATCTGAGGCAATTTTGATAGCCTTGTACATCACCTTTGAAAAGTGTGCTTGAGGATAAAAGCGACAATTTAACTGGTTGCACGATTACATGTGCAAGAATATTCTTTTGTTTACAGCTTATTTTAACAGCAAACAAATGAACAAGCTGGCCCTTGTCTTACCCTGTAAAAACAATACAGAAGTGGAGAGCAATTAAAATATAGAAAGCTTAACAAGAGCGCTGGGCCCTCTTTCATATATAGACATAGTTTATTTGTAATTGGTATATTATGTAGTTTACTGCATGCATATTGCATATCATACCACCGTAGATGGTATAACACTCTTTCATGTATCAATCATTCGTCGAACTATGTATAATGTTTATTCAGGAGGTTTATTTTTCAGCTAAAACAATGCACGTTCGTTGATTACGTCATATCTTGCCACAAAATATTTTGATTGTATTGTACATAATACAAAGGTTTTACTGTATGTAATGTATTGTAATGTTGTATGGGGCAACACTTACCCAACAAGATTGCAACGACTGCTTATATTACAAAAGCGTATAGTAAGAATATGTCTTAATATGTCTGATTTCAATGCCCATTCAAAACCATTATTTCAACAATTACAGTTTTTTAATATTTATCAGTTGTATCAATATTATATATCACTCATGGTTTCTAAAACTGATAAACTGCCAATTAATATTGCCACTATGATGAAATGTAAACAATCTGTTCATAATTATAATATTAGAAATTTAGAAATATAATTTTTTTATTGATAAATGTCCATCAACAAATTCTTTATTTACTTTTAGACACACCGGTTCAAAAATGTGGAATTTTCTCCCGAGAGATATCCGTGATTCAACTTTCTTTAACTCTTTAAAATCAAGAATTAAAAAATATTTCATCTGTTTTTAAATCAATAGTAATGTATGCGTGTTAATAAGTCTACTATGTTTTGTACACTATTTTGATATTGTTATATCTTTAATAGGCAATTGTTGGAATTTGTATATATCTTTTAATAACAGGGACTGCCTCGACAGAACCTTACGGTTTTATTTGCAGCTTTCCCAATTCATTTCTATTGATTAAAAGTTTATAATTCTGCTATATTTGTAAAGATGTTTCCATTTTGTGTGTGTTCTCTGTTTTCTATGTTGTATATAATCTGTATGGTATACTTTCATAAAATGTGTTATTATGGATTTGAATTTAAATAAAACTTGAAACTTGATATATTGTATATTATCGTATGAACTGATATCATTTGAATTTTGTTTTATTCGTGTTTTTTGTTTTTTTGTTTTTTGTTGTTTCAGTCCCCAAATGAGCCTTTCTAAAGCTATTGTGGAGCCCCACAGAATACCCCCCCCCCTATTTTTTTGTATATCTTTGACTATGTATGTATGACACAAGTATATTTCTAGCCCCCATATATATAGTCCCTCCTCTTAGTTAATTAGGTACCCCCTCCTGCGAGAGTGGCCTCATCCACAACTAACCTAAACACACCAGCTGGGATACCAGGAGTGGCTTCTCACTTTGTTTTGCCATGCATCCTAGTCAACACTTTTCTTATTTTGTCTTCCTTTAATAGGTAAGAAAGAATCTTATATTATTCAATTGTGTTATATTCTTGTTGTTCATAATATGTGTATTTCTAAACTATTAGCTTCACTATTCACATATCTTGTATTACTGTGTAAAAAGAGATATTAATGATCTTTGCCAATGAGATGTTGGATTATATGACATGTGGACTATGGGTGGAAATATAAGAAATGCCATGTGGGAAGAAATGCCATGTGGGAAGAGATAATGTCATTAATGTACATAGTAATTACTTGTAGAAATGATAAGAAAGTATTATCGAGTGTGTGAGATTGATGATTATGTTGTTTGACTTAGACAACATTTTAAGTAAGTTTTGAGAAGAGAATATACTTTATTACTGTCAGTATATTTGTCTTTTGCTCGATATTCATGTGTATATATATATTCTTAGCCAAGGACATGTGCCATTTACTATGCATTATGCCAAAGCACATTGTTATATATTCTAGTTCAAGTTAGATACAGTTTGAATAGCGAAATGAGTTGTTCAAGTCCAGATTATCTTTAACTTACAGTATTATGGTATGAGTGAGTGTGGACGCACCATGTGTACAATACTAGTGTGTTATTAGGATATGGCAGTGCGTTCAATGTGAACACAACTTCTTATCAGAGTTCTTAATCCCCTCTCTCACCAAGCTTGACCATCCACTGCAATGCATTACACGCACACAGTGTAGATAGAGTTTATGCTATACCCAAATGCTATGTTGAGAAGTGTTAGAGATAGAATGTGTTTGTTTTTGACCCATGCTGGAAATGGTATCTTAGGCGGGAATGAAAGTTTGGTAGAGTCAGCAAAATGAGAAGACAAAGGATTTGAGTTGGGGAATACACTTTGTTGAGAAACACATGGTCAAATTGTCTAATAGTTAGCTAGTGATGGATGGGTTGATGAAATATTGTAGTTGAAGACTTGCATAATCAATGTCTGGAATTCATTGTATTATATTGTTAGGAATGATAATTCAGGTTAAATGTTATTGGGAATTACTCTCTCTCTCCCTCTCCTTCTCTCTATCTCTCTCTGTACGGTTCACCCTTTCTCTTTCACTCTCACTTTGCTTTGTATATAACCATGAAATGAATATACATGTATTTAGTAAAACTATTGGTTGTTGTTTAGAATTAGAATATGAACTGTATGTGAAGATGAGATTATACAGTAAGAGGAATTCGTAATATTGGTTGTAAGTTTGTTAGAGCTATTAGTACAGACTGCAGACTAAGACTATTTGCCAGTTCTGTGAATATTGTAAGGAGTTTAGGATATAAGTTGTTGAAGATGTATCTTTTCAAGTTCAGTAATCTCGCTGGAAAAGATAGTATTAGATCAAAGTGATGCAGATGACTATTGGAAAATACATGAGCTATAGTTAAGGAAGAGTTATAAGTTTATTCAGTATTAATGTGAAGTCCTGAGACAAGAAGTAACTTGTGAATTTAGGGATTAGTGAAGGCTGAGAGTAGAATTACATTCTAAGGATCTATGTGCACAAGGGATCCTCAGTCTTGGAGCGTAAAGAGTAGAAAGCTTATTAGGCAATAGTATAGGGATGATTATGCCAACATTCTTGTATTAGGTCTATATATGTGATTTCTTGAAAGAGACGCTAAGTGAAGAGTTATATGATTAGAAGCTAAAGTAGATTGACTGATACCGCAATGTTATAGACATTTGATAAGGGTTAAGTTATTTATTAGTAGCCAAGTTATGATTATGAGATCGATGAAGAGTTGCGCTTTTAAATAAAGCATTAAAGTAAGGATAGTTTCTTTTAGAGATAGTAATGTAATGAAACTTTCCCAGATGATGTTCTTAGTGATATAGAAAGAGAACACGGAGAGCTAATGAATTCAATGTATGCGAACAGGTAGATTTATTTGTGTTTAATACTTGAAGAGTATTGTTAATGTTATGCCATTTGATCGTATATATGTTATTGTAAGAAAAGACTGTTATTGTAGAAGATTAAGTAATAAAGACTTTGTTTTTGCCACGCATCTCAGTCAACACCTTTCTTATTTTGTCTTCCTTTAATAGGTATGCCCCCTCCCTCGGGGTGTGGGCGCTACAAATTTGGCGACCTTGCCAGGACGGCCATCGTCGAAGAGACACGAGGACGATGTGCTGTCCTATGACACGAACAGTTGGATCAATCGAAAGAGAATAGCAGCGAGCAAACGATACAGGACCAGAAGACAGAGTGACGGAGAGAACCTGATTTGACAATGACGTTGGCTCAGCATCACAGAGAATGGGACGAGCTACAGAGAAGAGAAAAGGCTACCGTGCAATACGTAGCAGGGTGCTACAGCAAGGGGATAGGGCCCTGGTGCGAAGTCTGGCCCCTCCAGGTGGCCAAGGAAAGCTTCACCCTTACTGGGAGGAAATAGATGGCGGAGCAGTGAGTGGAGTCAAGGATGTCCAGGGGTCCTCCAAGCCGCCATCCTCAACAGCCCAGCCCCCAGCACCTTTCCAGTACCGGTATGACCCACCATTCTACCCTCATCAAATGCCTCTACAGATGCAGACGCCGATAGCCCACGAGCAACTAACCCTCTACCAACGTCAGATGACAGAAGACCAGCTTAAATTTTCCCAGCGAGCGAGTCAGTCATTGAGGAATGCTTCAAACAGATTCTTTTTTCTTTTTTTTTTACAGTAGATGCATCGATGTATAGAATCATGTGTGTTGATTAGTAAACCAGAAATACGAGTAACAAAAAGTAGTATAGGATGAAACAAGTTGTAAATCGTTTCATGAATTGTGGTGTATAAGCCTATAAGGAAACAAGCGATGACACTCGATTGTGATCAATTGATCTATGTGATAAAGTCTTCGGAATGAGTCTCGAGCTTTCCAAGAAACCTTCACCGTTTGTCAGACGCACCCGTAGAATGGGTTAATGTTTCGCAAAGTTTATTTGTATGGAAGAAAAAGCCACGTAATTCTGATACGATATTATGATATGTAATTCTGAGGTTTCAAGTACCTATTAGGTTTCGCTATAACAAGTTGCAACAAGTGTATATATGAACTCGATGTACTACATGTATTTCGCAGAAGAATTGGAGCACGATGATCTGTCAGCGTTGCAAGCACATAGACTTTCATGGACTTTGGTGATAAGTCTCACCTCCCTGATCTGTCCTAAGTTCATGACGGCATTGAACAAGAACTATATGAACGTTAGAAATGTTATACTATAATGATGAATTGATGTAAATGTTTGAAAGTTGAAATGTCCAGGAGACATTTATTTTTGGAGGGGAAGGTGTGGAGCCCCACAGAATACCCCCCCCCCCTATTTTTTTGTATATCTTTGACTATGTATGTATGACACAAGTATATTTCTAGCCCCCATATATATAGTCCCTCCTCTTAGTTAATTAGGTACCCCCTCCTGCGAGAGTGGCCTCACCCACAACTAACCTAAACACACCAGCTGGGATACCAGGAGTGGCTTCTCACTTTGTTTTTGCCATGCATCCTAGTCAACACTTTTCTTATTTTGTCTTCCTTTAATAGGTAAGAAAGAATCTTATATTATTCAATTGTGTTATATTCTTGTTGTTCATAATATGTGTATTTCTAAACTATTAGCTTCACTATTCACATATCTTGTATTACTGTGTAAAAAGAGATATTAATGATCTTTGCCAATGAGATGTTGGATTATATGACATGTGGACTATGGGTGGAAATATAAGAAATGCCATGTGGGAAGAAATGCCATGTGGGAAGAGATAATGTCATTAATGTACATAGTAATTACTTGTAGAAATGATAAGAAAGTATTATCGAGTGTGTGAGATTGATGATTATGTTGTTTGACTTAGACAACATTTTAAGTAAGTTTTGAGAAGAGAATATACTTTATTACTGTCAGTATATTTGTCTTTTGCTCGATATTCATGTGTATATATATATTCTTAGCCAAGGACATGTGCCATTTACTATGCATTATGCCAAAGCACATTGTTATATATTCTAGTTCAAGTTAGATACAGTTTGAATAGCGAAATGAGTTGTTCAAGTCCAGATTATCTTTAACTTACAGTATTATGGTATGAGTGAGTGTGGACGCACCATGTGTACAATACTAGTGTGTTATTAGGATATGGCAGTGCGTTCAATGTGAACACAACTTCTTATCAGAGTTCTTAATCCCCTCTCTCACCAAGCTTGACCATCCACTGCAATGCATTACACGCACACAGTGTAGATAGAGTTTATGCTATACCCAAATGCTATGTTGAGAAGTGTTAGAGATAGAATGTGTTTGTTTTTGACCCATGCTGGAAATGGTATCTTAGGCGGGAATGAAAGTTTGGTAGAGTCAGCAAAATGAGAAGACAAAGGATTTGAGTTGGGGAATACACTTTGTTGAGAAACACATGGTCAAATTGTCTAATAGTTAGCTAGTGATGGATGGGTTGATGAAATATTGTAGTTGAAGACTTGCATAATCAATGTCTGGAATTCATTGTATTATATTGTTAGGAATGATAATTCAGGTTAAATGTTATTGGGAATTACTCTCTCTCTCCCTCTCCTTCTCTCTATCTCTCTCTGTACGGTTCACCCTTTCTCTTTCACTCTCACTTTGCTTTGTATATAACCATG